TGCCAGGACACGAAGGGATATGGATATGGACACGAAAGCCAGTTGAATCGGCGGAATCCTCGTTGGCGACGCTCGACCTCATTAACGCCGCGAATTAACGGCCATTTAGCCGGCGAACAAAACGCACAAAACGCTCTCGGGACACCAACGAAGCTAAAAAAAAATAAAAGGGGGAGGTAGAGTAAAGGGGGGAGGGAAGGGGGGCTGGTTGCAAGGATAAGGTGCAAGGGTCCTTGCATGTCTGTCGATCGTAAAAATTCATATTTAAAATGCATAACAATGAGTGCCGCACGCGAAGCGTTAGGATCGCATGGAAAATTCAAAAAAAAAAAAAAAAGGAGAAGGGAGATTTGGGAGATCAAGGATCTGAGGATCTGAGGATCGCGGATCGCGAATCGCGTGGCGGGACCGGCACCCACGTACTATATGTATACTGTACACTGCAACAACAACGTGCGGTTGCACCAACTTTTTTGGCCACACAACAAAAGCCGACGAGCAAACGGACAAACAAACAAACGGCGAAATTAAGCTGGAATTTTGAGTGGCACGAGCCGTCGATCCTCGCGATCCTTGCGATCGTCGCGATCCTTGCGATCCTCGATCCCGCTGCACTGCACTGCTTATCCTCAATTTCGTTCGCCCGGCTGTTGTCCTGCAACTCCTTTTCTCCCCCCCTTCCCCTTTCCCCCTTCATCCTTCCATTGGGGACAGGTGCAAACTCTTTTTCTTTTTTTTTTCTTTCTTTTTTTTCTTTTCTTGGTGTTGGTGGGTTTTTCGGCTCGTCTGTCCCCCAAAAGTTGCCGCCGAGTGTCCCGCGAGTGTGCTTACCCCTTGATCCTTAAGCACACTCACACTACGACACTCTTACACACACACTCTTGCACACACTTATATACAGTTACTAATACAGAGAAGACAGAGACACACGCTGCATTAATTCGCTTCTTTATTTTTGGGTAATTGCCGAAAATGTTCCGAGTGAACGAGCGAATCCTCGTGCCCTTTTCTATCCTTTTATGTTCGGTTCTGTTCTGTTCAGTGCAGTGTCCTGTCGCGCCTGCGTGTCCTGATCCCGCGTCAGCCGGATTAGGCCAATCCCCTCCACCTCCTCCTCCACCTCCCTCTCCGCGTCCTTCTGCTCGTTTTCGTGGTGATCCTGATCGCCAGCGCCTGATTGCGATTTCACGTTCCTCTCATTTTTCAACAGTTTCAGTTTTAGTTTTAAGCAGCCGTGCGATCATTGACTTTTGTCAGGCGACGAAGGTGTGTACTAGTATATACACACACACATGCACACATCGTCCTGGACAGAAGTGTCCTGACATCGTCACCCCGATCGCGAGTCCTTTCCCCTTCGATTTCCAGACTGCTCTCACCAAGGAAATGCGGAAAATTCCTCCTCATACGCAAAACAAACTGTGCGAATCTCTAAAGTACCTCATTCGTTTGGCAACTGATTTCTAAAGCCAAAAGTATAACTAAACTAATGAAATTAAAATAGATTTATGCTTTGTAATATTGAAAGTGCAAGAATTCTATTAAAGTTGTGTGCCCCTGAATAAAAGCCAAAGTCAAATTCATTTTCTATTGCCTTCAAGGTTTCAAAATAAGAAATGAAGTACATTAAATTAAATATATGTCTTGAACTTAATTACCATATTTAATTATACACAAATAGTTCAATGTTTTACCCATCTTCTTTTCTTAGTAAAAATTTTGATCTTCTATATTAATAATAATATTTTTTATTGAAACTCATTCATTTTTAAAACTTCACTTTTCACTTTTTGGTTAATACCTATTATTTTTCTTATATTTTATCGGACCAATTATCGGTTCTTAGATCTTATATTAATATTTGTAAAGAAGAAATCAAAATTTGTAGTTAGGATTTAAAATTGTATTGTATGTTTATTTTTGAAACGGCATAAAAAATAAAGTGAACCTGAAAAGAAGGAGTCTCCTATGTTTTTGATTTTAAATGGTACAGTAGTGTTATTACCGCTAATGGCTTGTTGAAAAAAACAGATAAATAACTTTCACAATTTATGAGGACAAAAAAGCAAATAAAATTTACCGGTTGGCAAATCAAAATTGAAATGCTTATACTTTGACCACCTTTTGTCCAACATTTCCCTGGGCTAGTTCTGCTCCACCCTTTGCCTACTTCCAGTCTTAAACCCAATGGGTTTCTACTCACAATGCCTATTTGAGATTTGGTCAAGCTTAGGGCATCCCGGAGGCAGCTGGACATCATCCAGTTGACCGTTAGGTCCGGAACAAGCCGAACTTGATTGACCATTCTGGGCGCCATTCTCCATCACCGAGATCCTCGACAGATGTCGGCATCCTGGTCAGCTTGCTTTTCAGCTTCTCCTGCAGCTTCTCTTCCAGTTTCTCCTCCAGCTTCTCCTTAAGCTTCTCCTCCAGCTGGTTGGCTAATTTTGAATGACAAAGGAGCTCGGGGTCCGCTGGCCATTGTGTGGACCAAAGGAGTGGCCCAGCTGGCCTGGGATGCTGGGCGGTCCGAGCTTCTCACGCTCCTGCTCGCACTTCTCACGCTGACCACTGGCCACCAATTGTTGCATGCCACCCAGTGGCCAGTTGCCGGACAGCTGTGGCCCAAAAATAACGGCGCCGACACCGCCGACACAAAAGCCAAAAATCCCAAAATCCGAAATCCGGCTGCCGAAAGCTGTGAAACTAGAAGTAGAAAAGCTTTTTGTTATCCGACTCCTTTGTTGTCCCCCTGCCCCGTCACACGCTCCGCAAAGGACACGCACAATGGGCCTAGGTTCGGGGCTCTAGGACTCCCAGGACTCCTAGAACTCGAGTCCCAGACACTTTCGACATTTTGGGCGCTGTCTCGTCCCAGCGAAAACAATGCAAATTTCGGAAATGGGAAAGGTGTTGGGAAGCCGCAAACTGGTTGCGTTGAATTAAGTTTAGATGAATTATGTTGCACAGGAGAAGCGAAAAGCGGAGAAGCTGTGAAGCTGTGAAGCGGGTTTCCCAAAGTTTCGGTGATTTAATTAAATTGGAATTTAGACGCCTTCATTTCCCCATTGCGATAAGCGGATTTTTACAAATTGTAACAATACATAGTAGTGAGCATATATTGTAAATTGCGATTCAAATCAAAGGACCCATCACTTTTTAGAGTTTACCTCTAAACAGACACCCCCCACTCCAATGAATTATTTCAATGGGCGTGGCCAATTTATAAAACCACTGTCTGCGCATTCTCCACTAGAATCTACCACTTGGCTGCCACAGAAACAACTAAAGATGCCTCGGCATGACTAGTATCTATATATTTATAGATGCACAGACATTTGATGATCGTTTTTAAGACGCTACTATATGTTACGGACGCTAGAGTGATAAGTATAAATGCACATCTGTTCCGCAGTATGAAATTAAATGAATTAGTTAATCAAATTAACATTTTTCTGGCACATATATTTTAGAGTAATCTTTGTAAAACTGCTAGTGAACAAGTATAGCTTTAAGAAGCAGCATTTTGATAAGGCTTTTAAGCATTTCTATTCTGAATTACTTCTTTACAAACTTTTTTGTAAGCTTATGAGAATTTTGCTTGACAACTGCGTGGATAATTACAACGCAGTGAGGGAGATACTGTAATACAAAGCTAATTAGAAGAGTTTGCTTGATTTTTATGGTAATATATATGTAAATTTGAACCTATCATATAATATATCACAAAAATGCTTCAGGTATATATGCTTAGGTATATAAATATTAAAAAAAAAACCTTATTGTTTGTCCCTATTTAAAACTCGTTGTATCTTTAGAATTTTAATTTGCACCTAATAAACTTCCGTTTTATTTGCACTTCTAGCGGGACCAAGAGGTTTCTGGCCAACTGAGGAGTTAAAGCAGTCAATGCAAGCAGTGCGAGGATTACGCCTCAGATTGTAGAAGTCGAACCAAGAAGGTTCCCCAAACATAAAGAAAAATGTCAAGTAATTTATACCTCAGTTACCCTTCAAAAGCATTAATATTAAGATACGCATTTTTTTAAGATATCATTAACGCGAATAAATTATTATTAAGATCAGAGGGTTGTATCAAATTATTGAGATACTTATTGTATTTTTACACTTATGCCCAGGGGCGGACGCAGGGGGGGTGTCCGGGGGGTCCGGACCCCCCCCAAAATCTCAGACTTTTTCAAATTCCCTTACAGCACACGGCCTTTCAACCATATAAACTAAAAATTTTTTGATCGGACCCCCCCCAAACGAAAAAATTTTTCGACCGGACCCCCCAAAATTTTTTTCTGCGTCCGCCCCTGCTTATGCCTCTCATGAAAGACGTACTACTTACTGTAAATCCAGTAAGATCTCTTTACATTACATATTAAATACATTTACTTTCACAGGTTTTTGTTTCTTTTCTAAGTGAAAACTTAACTTGTGCTCAAAACCTGTATTTTTGGCGACACCTAGCGTTAAAATCTTGTTTATTGGCGACATCTGGCGTTGATAAAATAAATGCAATTAAGCGACACCTGCCATCAAATAACTTATATCAGTCAGAGCTAGGTGGCGCTTAGACAAAAATATTCTATATCCCTTCAATAGATTTATATTTTGGATACAGGTTTGTAAGACAGTATTAAACTGATCCTAAAAATGGGTTAAATCAGTATCGCCGAACTATTCGGCCTGAGTCCTTTAAAGCTATACACTCTAAAAATCAGAAATCCTAATAATTATGGAAAATTGGTTCCTTTTAAAGTCAGTTTAATATTGCTTGCATAACAGTCGCAATATAAGAGATATCAGGACTTTTCTTACATTTCAAAATGAATTAAAAGGCAGTCTTTATATAATTGATTCAGTTATTTTAGATTTATTCAAGATTTTACACTTAATATTAACGTATATATTTCCTATATACCAGTTTTACTTAAGCCTAATGTTGAGTGCATTTATAATAAATTTGTCTACTAAGAAATAAAAAGGTTAATGTCCGTTTTTGAGTCGCTACAAAATGTACACAATGGTTTATTGCTTGTCCAAGTTCTCTATTACTAAACGCTTTTACTCGCACAAAAAAAAGTCTGGTTTATGCTTAATGGTCTTGGCATACAAAAATTTAAGGCTACTTTGGGGGATTGGGGAAGCGGGATACGACATAATTGTATTTATAATATATAGAACTGTGGGCAGGAAAACCTTGGTGGCTCGTTTAACATGTGGTTTATTTCTGTATAAAAAAATAATAATTTTTCTTTGTTTTTGTATTGACAACATTGTTGAATACATAATTTGCTTTGTGTGTGTATGTGTTTGTGTGTGCTTAGGTGCTAAAACAGTTCAAAAGCCTTATGGTTTAATCCGATCGCAGACTCTTCCTGGCGGTAAACTTTTAATGTAGGCCAGCGGGTCTGCGAACGGAACCTAAATCGACTTAATTATATCTATCAAAGGGCTATCAAAGGATTCCTGTGGCACAAGATCGCTGCTGCTCACTTGTGCGCACACCTTCTTTACTTTTTTTCAATTTTACTTGATGGATGCAATTTCAAGGAAAGTTGTAAGATAATTACAAACGAAAACAAATAAACAAAACACTTGATTCTCTGTAAGTGGCACTTGGCTCTGCTCTTTCCTCTTTGGGGAGCAGAGGCGACTCCCTCTGATCAACCAACAGCTTGAGCCTTACTTAACAAAAGCCTCTGGCGGAATTTTGTTCTCCTTGAAGAGCTTCTCGAACACGAAGGCCGCATGGTTGTAGTCCCAATTCGTTTCTTCGAGGCATCTGTTGAGAAAGGTTAGTTAGTTGATCAAGAGGTACTATTTATGTGACCTAATTTGTGTCTTACTTGCGACTCCACTCCACATTCATTTGGCTCTGGGTACTCATCGCCTGGATCATCTGCATCTTGGTGTTCTCATCCGGAATCCCCGCGGGAGCACCCGGTGCAACTGCCACTGGAGCACTCGGAACACTATTGACTACCGGTGTAGCTGCGGTAAGTGGACCGGCTGGCAGAATGGCCACTGGACCTGTGGCCACGCCCACGCCGCCCGGATTGAGGCGGCCCTGCAGGGATGTTCCTGGCTGCGCGGAGGTCGCCGCTGCCGCTGAGGTGGAGGGCATGGCCCCGGGAGCTGGCTGGTGCTGCGAGCGCTTGAACTCGGTCACCTGCTCGTGCGAGGCGTTCGTGATGAAGATCGTCTCGTTGCGGATGCAGTAGCCCGTGTTCTGCGGCACCACCACGAAGGTGCGCGCAAAGTGGCGCAGCTCGTACGATTGCATCGAGGCCGGAGTCCTGGCCTCGCCGGTCAGCTCCTTGAACAATCCCGTCACCGTGAACACCATCATCGAGGGCTGCACGAGGAAAAATATAATATATATAATTAGTTTGCAGGTTAACCAAACATTTCTAATTTTAAAAATAGAAATATAAATGCAAAATATATAAACGCAAACAGACAGCTTTATATTAAATCAAGTTTTAACTTGTTGGCTTAACGAACTTGTAATTTTACTTTAGATAATTTAGTAATCTATTCTTTATATTAACCAAGTAATGTTTTAAATTTTATAATTTGTATGTCTGTTACATTTAAATGTATATATTTCGCATGTTAAAGGTTGTATATGGTTATAGACTTTATACAATATATTTGTTAGGACTTTTTCATTTATAAGGAATTTAACTGATCAGCTTGGTATTTGTTAAAAATGTAAAACCAAAGACCGGACTATACTTACGTTGTAAATTGTGAGGTCGACGGTAAAGGTGCGACGCTCGTGCAGCGTCTTTGGCCACTCGTCCAAAGTGGAAACGCAGGCCAGGCGTCCGTATTTGAGATGACGGATGCGGTGGTCATCGCCGTTCATCAGACGACGCAGGTTGCGGTTGAACTTCCAGAAGCTGTTCAGCCTGCTTCACCGAAATGATAAATGGGACGATTAAGGAGATGTATCGGTGTGGTTCAGAAGCGGTTCACTTACCTGCCCGCCTGATTGGCCGACGGCATTGTGATGGAGAGCATCGCCTGCTCGTGGTAGGCATCCAGCAGGGACTGGCGGCTGTCCGAGTCGAAGATCTGGAAGTACTGGTCCAGGAACTGGCGCACCACCTCGGCGCCAGAGTTGTCGCACAGGTAGCATGACTTCGTGTCGATGATTCTCCCCTGCTCGGCTAGATCAAAAGTGACCTGGGGCGCCAGGACCTCTCCGTCCTATGTGGATTTGATTGGATTATGGTTTCTTGGATCTTTAAAGCGGGTTATTAGCAGCGATGGAGACTTGAAATCGTTTTGGAAACAACAGTTTACCAGTTTACGAGCCTTCCCATTTTACTAAGGAAATAAATTCTGCATTTATATGAAAAAATGAAGGCTGAATGTCTTCTTGAAATTTCTTGCTGCACGGATAGCACTTACTGTACTTTCTAAAAACCTAAAACAACTCAGTTTTCATCTACTTTTCTAAAGTAATTTCATTGCAGTAATTTCAAATCTAGTAAAGTCAAGTAGGTTTAAGTAAATAGAATAGGAAAACCAATTGGGATACTCCCATAACGCTGCTAAATGGGTGGGGAAATACGGAAATATTCTATGGGACTTAAAACTTACCAACTTCAGAAGGTGGGGGAACTTGCGACGTACTTCGCTGCAAGTTTCGAAGTGGATATTCGACCGTATTTGTTGGCATTATCAGGAGGGCGATGACAGATATGCGAGTTAAATAGCGAGAAATAATAATTAAATGGGTTTTTTGCGTGCTCTATGCGCTGCAGCGTTTGGAGCCAAGCCAAAGCCAGGGGTGATGACTCTTCCCCACATGATCCACAGCAATAGATTAACCATTACTCGACAAGCTCACAAATGTTCGCGGAGCTTTGAGCAGCTGAAGAGGCAGAGGCACTCGGTGCTCGGCCATTGTTGTGCCACTATTTGATTGAAGGTACGTTTTGAGTGCAGCGGAAAAGTACAATTGGGCAGTGCATTGTGCCTGGGCATCTTTTCTATATGCATACGTATTTTTTTGCATTCATGTTTTCTATTTTTTTTCTTTTTTTTTCTGTTTTTTCTTTTTTCTATGTGTGGACCCAAGCAAAAGCTGAGTGTGATGGCTGCGTGCCATAGCTGACTGCTGTGTCACTTCAGTACAGTTGCGTTCGACAAGTCGCGTCACGTTCGCACACACGTCGCATCCGCAGGCGAATCATGCGCCCAACAAAGTCGTACAATGTAAACATATGTGTAAACGACCGGGCAACACAACGCAGTGGCCACTGGCGCCAGCAGAAAGTCCGTGTGTGTCTGTGTTTCTCAGTGGGTGTGAGTGTGTTTTTGTATGTTCATAGTTCGTTTGGTCCTTTTTAAGTCAGGTTGCGTTATCCTGCTAGACGCAGCGCACCCAAAGTGGGCGCTCTTTAAGCCACTCCCCCTCCGCCTCCTCTTCTTGGCAACCGCCGCGAAATCAACAAGCGGCGACACAACAGCGCAACACAACAACGCGCACAGGGCACGCAGCTAAGAAGAGGACGTCGCGCAAGCGCAACTGCGCAGGCGCATGCGTGCGTGCGCCGGCGTGAAGTGGTTGCGTGTGTGTGCCCGTGTGTGTTGTAGCGGGGTGCGTTGGTGGGTGGTTGGGTGGGTTTATCGCTATTGATCGATTGCTCGATTTCAGGGTTTTAATATTTGGTGTTTTTTTGCCAACTTTGTTGTTGTTGCCGTGTGTCGGGACTGCTGCATGTCCGCCTGCCCATGTGGAAGTGCGAATAAGTGTGTGTGTGGTGTCACGTTGGTACAGTTGTGTCGTTCGTTCAGCGTTGCCACCTCGTTGAAAGTGAAGTTCACTTTGCTTGGCGGCCAATTGCTTTGGGTTCCACTGGTTTTTTTTTTTCGTTTTTTTTTTCTTTCTTTTTTTCATATTTTGTATTGTTTCTTTTTCTGCCCTGCTCAAAATCTCTTCTGCAGCATTTGGCTAGCCTTTCTTTCAGGCAGCTCTCTTCAAAAGATTTTTTCCTTAAGTGCATTTGCCTGCTCAACCGCTTTTAAATCTGGCTGAAGGCCTTTCAAGTGCAATTGTCTGGCAAGGAATGGAGTTCATCCTGGTTTTGGGGTCACGATTCTGCAGCGCATGCGCTTCAAAAAAAGAATGGAGACAACAGAACAATGGAAATGTGCTAATCTTAGTTCCTCTGTGACTCCCGACGCGGCAACTCCCACGTCGACTATTGCGGCGGCATCCTCTAGAAAGGTTAGAAGAGAGCCAATCACACCATAGTATACCTGATAAAGTGCTGAGAGTCCTTGTAGCGCGAACGTAACGGATTGTTCTTCAGTACCAGCTCCATGATGGATAAGTTGCGGAAAACGACCAGATGTGCCAATGATGGTATCTGGAAATAGGATTCGCATTAGTAACTCTTTCAAATGGAAAGTAGATGTGCACCCAACTCCTAAATGAAAATAACATTAAACTCCACCATTTTATCACCTTAAATCACCTTAACTTATCTACCTATGCTTTCTGCTCACCTTGTTATCCCCCAGATAGAGGATCTTGAGGTTCGGAATGCGCTTCTCGATGCTCTTGAAGGCCTCCATGCTGGCCATGCAGTTGTCATTCAGGTTGATGGCCTCCAGGTCGGGTATGTTATCGCTGATGATGTCGATGGCGGCGCTCATTACGTTCGGGCGGAAGAGCGGGCAGAAGATCTGCTTGAACTCGGGATCGGCGTGGAATCGGGAGAGATCGAGGGCCTTGGTCTGCGCGTTGTACCGCTTGGCCATGGTCGTCTTCATCTTCTCCTTGAGCGCGTCATCGAGGGCCACCTGTGGTATTCCGCTGCGCACGCGCGGCATCAATCGATAGCCGTCCGGGAGTTGGGCGTGCCTTCCGAGGTGCTGGATTCGCTCGGCGACCTCATAATCGTCGGTGAAGAAGATGACGCAGTTGCGCTCCTCGCGCCAATACTGCGGAATGAAGACATGCGGCGACATTGCGGCCAAAAGGGCTCGCAGTAGCTTCTCCTTCTCGTAAACCTGTGCATTTTGGAGCTGCAAAGGGAGGTAAATGAGGGGTTTCATAAGACACCTGGTTACGGAATTGCTTTTTTTAGCGCAAAAGATAGCGACGGGGGAAGTTATCTCATCTGCCAACTCATGACAAGCCCCAGAAATGGGCGCTGTTCTATTTGCCATTCTATGTGGCCCACATTTCGTGTTGGCTTTGCATGATCCATCGACGGGGAGTGTACAAAAAACAGAGATATCTCAAAAACCAAAACCGTAGAAGAGCACGTACAAGTCTGTAGAAAAACATGCCGTAATATCCAACTTTCCCCAGTTAAGTTTATAGAAATAGAAAGCATATTGTATAATTCCCTACTTGTACACCATGATCTGTTTCCTGTTTAACACGAACGAATTCTTGTATCATGATAGAAAGTGGGGTATAAAGTTTGCACGGCATATCAAATAAAGGAAATTACCTCAACGAGTATTAATCAATAAAGGTATATTTGTGTTTGCGAATAAGGATTGTCTTTTTGTTTCGGACAGCGAAAATCAAAACCGACTTAAATTCTAATTGATCCAGTTGAAGAAAAAAAGACCTAAAAAGGGGCCCTCATTCGATGGCTGCGACCATCGTTAATTGGCTCTGTTCACTCGTCACATTGCACCCAATTACGATAGGAGAATTATTCGTCGAATTCGTCGATTTGCATGCCATTCTCTCCCGAGTCTCGACGCCTAATTACACTTTTCGGGGAGTGGGAGCGGAGCGATCTTATCGCCGAAACTGTCAGTGATTTAATTACGAGCACTTATCCGGATGTGGCAAACAGCAAAGCCAACAAACAGATAGACAGACAAACAAGCCGGAGTGGAGTGAATGGAACTCGGGAGTGGAGAGCAGACAACTCCATTTGGCGGCACTTCCTCCTGCTGGCAACGCGAAGGTCAGAGCATCGATGGCCGATACCAATATCGGTCACTCGGCTATAATTACTGGCCGACTGGGATATCTAATCAGACTGCAGCCCTCATGCACATATGTCCCATATAGCTAGCTATATACATATATATAGATAGAGAGAGAGAGGGAGAGATTTTTCCATACAAAGAATGAGTTAAATCAGTGAATCAGTGGTAATTCAATTTGTGCGATCGCTCCGTGTTTTTTTTCGAGCGGGCACAAAGATGGGGGCCATATTCGCCGACGCAGGCGAATAATGATCGTGTGAATGATCGCCATGCCCCCTGAATCCCCTGGACCCCCCCGACCACCACTCTGATTCGCCACTCGACCCTATTTATATCAACAGTATCAACAAGATAACACAGCACAGCTCGGCCGCGCATCTAGCCCACTCATTCATTGCGCATTAATGCGATAAATTTATTTATTACGGGCATTAGCTGTTATTATTATACATAATATTGTCTCCTCTCACTCGAACCCCAAAAGTCCCAAATATGGAAGGGAGTTGCGAGTCCAATTATGGCGAAACAAATTAGAGCGTATTTTAAAATGACTAATTGTACAATTCTAACAACTCAACTTTATAATAAAACTTGATAAATAAATGCATCGGTATCACTTGCACTGAAATATTAATAAAATAACAATTTGAAAATTGATTATCAAGTTTTATGGGCTTTTGGCAGGCTTTACCTTTAAGATTAGTTTTTCTTTTTTTTTTTTTAAAGTTAAATAGGCTTTCTTAGTCTAGGATTTGTCTAAAGCTCTAAATCGGTGACTCAACAATGACAATTAATAGCCCTTCAGGCTAGTTAAATTACAAGCATTGTTTGTAGGTGTAGTAATATCATAATACATTTTAAGTTATTTCAACAATGCTTATCTTTGGCTTTATAATTATGTTTAATTCAATGGATTTTATTTAAAGCTTCAATAAGACTGCTTTTAGATCTAGAATTTTAATTTCAAATTGGAAAGAGTTGTAAGAAATTGAAACACAGTAAACCCAGAGATGTTTCTTGAATGAACCACAAGGACTAACCATAATTATATATTATTATTTACCCTTATGAAGTTATTAGGTCAACTGGGTTGTTAAAATCAATGTCTAGGTTTTATGGCTTTTCCAGATGTACCTGTATGCTCACATTAAACCCATAACAAAGGGTGTAGTCTGCTTAATTACCTCTCATCGAATATGAATATTTAGCATTTTTCCAGAATCGAGCACAGACAACACAATGGGAATCGAGAACTGAATCGAAATCGGTGGAACGAACGCACCTGATCGATCGGCAGGCAAATCGAACCGTTAAGCCGACAAGGCCAGTTTCGCTTTCGAAAATAAAGATGATGACTGTGTTTCTGGGGATCGGAAACTCTCGGGAAGCGCCAGTTCCGCCCCAAAAAGGTGAGGGGGTGGGTGGTGGTGCTTGGTGCTTGGTGGGTGGAATGTGAGTGGTGTATTTGCACAGCTCACAGAACATACACACAACAATCACACATACAATACAAGAGCTACTATATATGTGGGTACACTCTTGTTTATTGTATTCAACACAATACGAAAAATACGAGCTCGCCGAGACATATTTCTAGAATTGATATGGAGCCATGACAACTCCGGCGTCGCAGTCGCCGTCGCAGTTGTTGTTGTTGCTGTTGTTGTTGTTGCCAACGAACGGCGCAGCTTGGGTTGGGCTGAATTGGCTAACAAGTGAGCAGAACACCGGCGAACGGCGCGGCATTCGCTGACGGACGAGCGGCGCTGAAGCAACAACAAGTGGCGACAGATCCCCCTTTAAAAAAAAGGAGGCATCCATACAAAACCCAGTAAATAACAACAAAAAGAAAATCCAGGATGGGAAGCTGTTGCTCGAAGGATCTGGACGATAAGCGCTCCTGGAGCCCCGAGGAGACCAAAAACGGCGTAAGACCTTGACCAAATTGCACAGTGTGTCAAGTGGATGATACTAATAGAGAACCCTTCTCCATTTCAGAGCACCACCTCGACCATCATTGCCCAGCCGCTGGACGAGGTCGGCACCACCGGGGTCTTCACACTCACACGCACCACCACGAACACCACCAGCAGCACCACGCGACAGGAGAAGACGGTGACCACCACCAACGACGACGAGCAGGATTAGAGGGAATAGCTGGCCATCCCATCCCATCCAGTTATGGACTTACTATCCACTAAATATATGCCATTTTTTTTTACACCTTTTGTTGAAACAATTTCAATGCCATGAGTGTTTGCTCAGTGTGTGTGTGAGTGTGTGAGTGCGGTGTGTGTGTGTATGAATACCGGAATGTACATACCGACAGTGTGAATATGAATATACGAATCAAGTTAAGCTGTTAACGAGTAATTAATAATTGTTATGCGCCTGAATACCAATTTCGTAATAAATTGTTGAATCGCTAAACATTGCAACCGCCTTACAATGCCGGCAAAACGAACCTGAATTCCCAGGCAAATCGAATGCAGTCAATGTGGTTTCGGAAAATCATCTACTTGTGTTTTTCCAACTGTCTGGATTTTAATGTGGAGCTGAGATCATCCGACATCTGCCACGATCTAATCAAGTGATATTCAACCTACAACTTCCCAGGAATAACATGTGTTATCGCAGGAAATATGACAAATTAACTTCAACAATTTTGTTTTCTCTTTTTGTATGGTTTTTTCTTTCTTTAATTTTTGTGAACTGAGTGTTTTTTTTTTGTGATTCATACAATAAATTTACACAACCCGTTTCCGTAATCAAATCATAATCAAATTCTGCTAAAATTGAATCACTAAAAACACATTTTTTAAAGTATACTTTCCAAAAACTTTCTGTTCAACATATTTATTGGTAAACATATTTTAAATAAGGCTTTTCAAGCTTACCAAAAAATTCTATTTTGTGGGTATTAATTGTGGTTCAAAACAAAATTCTACATTTATTGTCATAAGATGGCATAATTGATAAGGTTTTAGAGCATTCCTCTGTGATAAACGAAATGCGACCGTAATTTGCTAATTTTGAAATCAATTTTTAGCTCAATCCCAATAACAATAGTTATAGTTATGTAGCATTCAATTGAAAAGTAAAAAAAAATATATAAATATGAAAATATTTTGCCAACATATTATCTATATATATATTGTATGTGTCGTTGGAGTTGGCTCAATATGTATTGAGAAGGGATTCAAATGATTAAATAGAAACCCAATATTTTTGGGGGTCTTCTGCACGACTATCTACTGTACCAAGTGTGGGACGACAGATTGGAGAAGTGGGACTACGAGGGGGGCGAAATGGGGAAAGGGGCTCCTCCGCCGGTTCAATTGGCGAGATAAGAGCGACGATCCAATCCAATCCAATCCAACGCATTACTGGCCGATGACATCAGGAGATGCACACACAACACACACCACACAGCACACAACACACACCACGCAGCACACCACACAACCCACAGAATAAAGAGCCGTAAACGACGCAAAATGTCGGGGGACGGAAAAGTGGGAAGCGCTTTATTGTTGAAGTGTTGGTGTTTGGGGTTTTGGGTGGTTGGGTGGTTCGGTGGTTTGGTTTTACCCCCCTAAATAGACCGTTCCGCCGAGTGAGTCAGTGCCATTTGGCCCGCAGAGAGAGCGGTTATCATCAACTGCTCTGCTTCCATTCTCGGCCAGAATGACTAACGAAAGGGGCACGTGTTTGCCGTCAGAAGGCGACCGACTAACTGCGAAGACAACAACGATCACTCATTCCGTCCGTAAATGCCTCGGAATGTTTTGGCCATTCCATTCACACGTATTCGCATTTCATACATATAGCATATAGCATATAGCATATAGAATATAGATATAGATATAGTATGCTCGAGCCAAAGTGGTCGCATGCCGGCTGGGAATCCATTAGCCGAATGCAAATTAGACTGGCAACTGCGATTTTCAATTTGCAATTATCAATACTTGGCCAAGTCGTTCGTTACAAGCCACTTGACAATCTCCACTCGTTCTGCTGTTGTCACTCAAGAACATTGTTAATTGCATTTGCCAGATCGTAGAAATAATGCATAATAGTTTATATACAATAATAATAACTTTGTTGGCATCGATGCGGCGAGATGTAAAATAATTTATGAGCCAATGGAAACTTTGCTGAAATTCATAGGGAAAAGCTTTCTTTCAACGCCTGAAAACAGGCAAAATAATTGTGGTCAAAGTAATTAAAAAACGCGGTGTCGATAAGAATGTAAAATTCAGGAAGAGCTAAACGACAATTCGAAATTCGAAAAAACTTTACTCTATATTTAAACCAGTTAAGATATTTTTACGCCATTTTATTTAATTTTATAAAAGGATTCTGTTTTTAGTTTAAAAATATGTATTAGTTATTGAATCAATTAAGCTTTTCTTCTGACAGCATTCAGCTGTTGTTTTAAAAACTTTTCGTTTTTACCTAATTAAATTACTATCATTCAATATTTATAATTGTCTTTTCGTTGCCATTTTAAGTACCATTATGAGAAATTTGAGTGAAATGACTTGATTTTCTTTGCAATTGAGATTGTTGAGAGTCTGATAAGCGAAAAAGTTAAAAATCATTAAGTGGTTTTAAATTATAAACCCGTTTGCGTTCGATTTGAATATTGACTTTAGTAAAAAATACACATACAGTGGCGAGCAAAAGTGAGTGCATGTTCGGAAAACTGACTTTCGTCGTCAATAAAAACGGAACGGTACGAGATAATTTAACAAAGTAAATTTTTTTATGTTTACTATTTTATTTATAACAAATGCGAAAAAGAATCAATATCATATAAGGTAAATTCTAAAAGTTAGAAAGAAAAAACCAAAAAAACACGCATAAACTCACTTTTGCACGTTTGAACCAAATTATTTAAATATATCCATTTTAATATTTGGTCCGCAAACCCTTATTAGCCATAATTTTTTTAATGCATTTTGGCATTCCCTCTACCAAATTTTTTATAACATCTTCAGGGATTTGATCCAATTCCGATGTTACACGTTCCCAAAGGTTGGCCATGTTTGTTGGGGCTGCTTCTTACTGCCGGAGCCGTTTTTTCAAAATTGATCAAAGATTTTCAATCGGATTGAGGTCGGGACGTTGTGCTGGCCACTCCATTAGCTGAAAATGTTGTTTGCCAAACCATTTTTTGACAATTTTCGGTGTGTTTCTCGGACTGCAGCTCAAAAAAGGCGAAATATGACTCCCAAACCGCTAGTCAAAGGTAGAAAAAAATTATTGACAGACTCAGATGCTCGACTTATGATGTCCAAAATGTGAAAAGTCAAGCTGCTCATACCAAAGGGTGCTTCTAAGGCCATTAATAAAAATGTTAGCCAGTGGACGGCCAGGAGAGCACTGCATAACATTGGTTATGTGTCAATCGTTAAACCTGCATTATCTGCCTAGAACGTTAAAGCATAATTGGACATATTAAAGACGACAAAAACTGGACTACTGATGATTGGAAACGTGTTATCTGGTCTAACGAATCCAAGTTTAACCGTTTTCAATGGAAAGAAATACTGCTGGTGCAAGCCCGGTGAACGTCTTCAAAGGCACCATGTAAAGCAAACTGTAAAACATGGCGGCGGAAACATAATGGTTTGGGGATGCTTCACATGGTGGCATGTTGGCCCTCTGCATTTGGTAGAAGGTAAAATGCGAAAAGAGGACTACCTAAAATTTTAAAAAATCAATCTTCCCAATTTTATGGAAAAATATGCTTATCCTGAAGACTAAATTGTTTTTCACCAAGAAGGGTGATCCAAAGCAAACACCTAAAATTGTCAAAAAATGGTTTGGCAAACAACATTTTCAGCTAATGGAATGGCCAGCACAACGTCCCGACCTCAATCCGATTGAAAATCTTTGATCAATTTTGAAAAAACGGCTCCGGCAGTAAGAAGCAGCCCCAACAAACATGGCCAACCTTTGGGAACGTGTAACATCGGAATTGGATCAAATCCCTGAAGATGTTATAAAAAATTTGGTAGAGGGAATGCCAAAATGCATTAAAAAAATTATGGCTAATAAGGGTTTGCGGACCAAATATTAAAATGGATATATTTAAATAATTTGGTTCAAACGTGCAAAAGTGAGTTTATGCGTGTTTTTTTGGTTTTTTCTTTCTAACTTTTAGAATTTACCTTATATGATATTGATTCTTTTTCGCATTTGTTATAAATAAAATAGTAAACATAAAAAAATTTACTTTGTTAAATTATCTCGTACCGTTCCGTTTTTATTGACGACGAAAGTCAGTTTTCCGAACATGCACTCACTTTTGCTCGCCACTGTACATGTTTTTAAATGCGACTGCTGTTTGAACTGTTCAGTCGAATAATAAATTAGGGTTGTATGCAACTTAAAACTACAAAAATTAAATAAAAATGGAATCCCAATTTTTCGGGTTATTTTCAAACCAAAAACATAATCAAGTTAATACTAAACGAAAACTGTAAAGCGTGTGGATTACTTAAGACTTGTAATTGGTAAAGCATATCTTTTGAAACCATTAACAATTCTTCACTTTACAACGGCTTGTTCAACTGGGTTTTCGGACAGAGAGTGGAGTTACAACTGCAACAGATAAGATTAGGCCAGCAAACATGCAGAAAATAAAAGTCGGCGAGGGCACAAACTGCGCAGATAAATTGAATTGGAGGCGGACAAAACAACGTAACAAAAACCACAAAAGCGAAATCAAACGAAGGCAATTAAAGAACATACATATGGAGAAGAGCGAACGAGGGGTCGATGGATGGGATGTGCTCGTAGTGCTGCATATAGCATGGCATATGCAGATAAAATGATTTAACCGACCCTAAACAGACTTTTCAATCAAAAGCATCCCCAGTGACAGTGTTGTCGCAAAGTTTCATTTTTAGCTAAACCAATATCTTTTATCTTAAAAGTGGAACCTAACAAATCCTTGGTAAGATGTTATAAAGGCTTAAAAATGTTTAAAAACTACAGATTTTAATTCGTGTAATTAGATTAAAATTACATTTATCAAAAGAGTGTGATAATATTTTAGATTGATGCAATATAAAATCATTTTCATTTTCCTAATTTTTGGAAACCATAAATTCGTTCTAGTTTTAGGGATATTTTAAATCCAATTGATTGTATGAAGGAGCGTACACTTTAATTGGTGTAAATAAATTAAGGTTATTATAGAGTGTAGTTACATTTGGGGGTATTCTTTTAAGATCGACGAATGCAATTTAAATTGCTTTTCTTTCAAAACTTCTTATAATAATGTATTTAGAAAAAAACGCACTTTCAGCAGATCTGACCTCATGAGTTCACAATATTTTCGGTCTCCCAAATCGAAATGGCAAACAAAAAGCCAGATGCCACAAATATGGACGCCAGCACTGTCCCACGGGGCGTCCAAGTGAGTGATAGGAACCACCGTCAAGTGGGCAGAAGGGGGAATGGGGAATGGGGATGGGAAGGGGAAGGGAAAGGGTAGAGTGGTGCGGGGAGGCGGACAGAAATTGGAGCGCACCCCGAGTCCGAGTCCGAATCCGAGTCCGGGCCACGATCGTCGTTGGACGATGCCATGCGACGCGATGCGATGCGATGCGAGTCGAGTCAAGTCAAGACGAGACGAGACGGCACAGTGCCAAAGCAGAGCTACCCGCAGTCGGACGGACGCACGGCAACCAAATGACTCTCTCATTCCCGGGAAACGTCCTGCTCCTGGCGGCGGCCCTCGGCGGCTGCCTGGTGTGGTCGCTGCCCATGACGCCGGAGCAGGAGCAGGAGCTGCGCACGGACGTGCGGCCCATCACCTACCAGCTGGCGCACGTGGCCAAGAGCGAGGCGGAGTCGGAGTACGTGGGCAGGATTCCGCCGCACGACGAGCACAGCGTCGAGGAGGATCCCGAGTTCGCCGTTCATCTCGTGGAGCAACTGGAAGCGGCCGGCGTGGAGTCCGCCGATCGGCGGGCATTGAGCACGCTGAGCTACAAGGAGCTGGTCCGCCTGCTGGCCCTCTGGCACATCAACCAGGAGCGCAACGTCTACGAGGCCAACGGACCCGACCAGCAGCCCGACCAGGCCATCGATGCCCGCTGAGCGATCCCTGTTCGCCGCAGCCAAAGCCCAGGTCTTGGCCAAATCGAATGTGACAAGAGAATAAGGCTAGCCGAGATTCGGGGAGTTGTTCCCTGGCAGATCTATATGATGATATGATATTCCGATACGATACATGTGTAACTACAAAGGCAATTGCAATTTGTTTTTCCTTTTTTTTTCGACAATTAGTTCTACAACAGCTACAGTAAAAGTGCTTAGGCTCGTATACAACTGCTATTAAACGTAACCATACTAAAATACGCCACTGTTTGTTCTAGTCACTTGGAGGGACGAACCGAGTCCCCAGTGCAGCTGACCCGGATTGGATTCGCAAAGGTAAGCAAGCGGCAGAGGTGGGAAAAGCACAGGTCCGAAGTTTCAGAAAAGTGATTAAGCTACGCCACCGCCTTGGGTTTCTCCCACTCGATCTCGTCCAGCCGCGGTGGCGCCGTGGCCGTCTCCACCGAGATGCCACCGATCTCCGAACTGGTCCCGGTGACCACCAGCAGGGGCATCTGGCGCCTTTGCAGCCGTTTGGCCAGCGGCGGCACGAAGAGATCGTGCTTGATCAGCGTGCAGTCCGCGTCCTGGTAGATGCGCCTGTTGTCGTCCCACTTGAGCAGGGCGCACAGCCAGGAGAGGAGCCAACCGCCCAAGAAGGCGATGACGAAGCCCAGAGCAGCGTACCACATGTAGCTAATCCTGTACAGGTAGAAGTAGTGCTGCTCCTCCTGCTCCTCCACACTGGCTCTCCCAAGGAACACGTCGCGGGCGAAACTCCTGTTCAGCGGACAGCCCTCGGTGGACATGGCCAAGCTGACCAGCGGAGGCTTCGGCTGGCCGAACCCAATCCAGAAGCAGAAGGCCAGCGAGGTGACCAGTGCCGCGAGGGCTCCCTTCTCGTTCGCCTTGGGCACGTACATGCCCAGCGTGAAGAGTCCCAGCAGCGGACCTCCGATGATGCCGAAGATCGAGAGCGCCGCCTGCAGGAGTCCTCCGATCGAGCCCGCCATGAAAGCCATGCCGATGCAGAGGGCTCCGTAGAACAGGGAGAGCAGCTTGGAGTACCACAGGGTCTGGCGATCGGTGAGCGTGCGCTTGGCACAGCAGCTGACCAGTGGCTTGAGGTAGTCCTCCAGCGTGACGGCCGCCAGCGAGCTGATGATCGAGCTGATGGTGGAGAGGCTGGCGCAGAAGATCCCCGACACGAAGAGTCCCGCGAGGCCGGTGTACCCGCCCATCGTGTCCACGACGAAGAGCGGCATCACCTGGTCGCGCGAGCTGACCCTGCCCTCCAGCAGGGGATCGCAGTGGCGGTAGTACCAGTAGATGCACAGCCCCGAGAAGCAGGTGCTCACGCTCAGCAGGCACAGGATGGGCAGGCACCACCACAGGGCCGCCCTGGCGGCACTCAGGCTGCGCACCGCCATCAGGCGCTGCACCTGCGCCTGGTTCACCCCGTAGATGGCCAGGTAGGTGGCACTGCCGCCCAGGATCTGGGTGAACCACGTGTGCCGCTCCGTGGGATCCACACTGAAGTTGCTCAGATCGATGCGTCCGTCCTCCTGCGCCACCCGCCAGATCTCCTCCAGGCTGCCAGCCTTCACCCAGGCGCAAATGATCACGCTGAAGACGGCGGCGAACATGAGCAGCGACTGGTAGATGTCCGTGATGAGCACCGCCTTCATCCCGCCGAGCGTGGCGTAGAAGGTGCAGACGACGCCGACGATCACGATGGAGAAGACCTGGCTCAGTCCGGTGACGGCCTCCAGAGCCAGCGCCGGAGCGTACACCACGATGCCCATGTAGAGCACCATCTGCAGGGTGAAGCTCAGCGAGGCGGCCAGTCGGGTGGCGTAGCCGAAGCGCAGCTCCAGATACTCGTACACGCTGGCCGTCTTCAGGCGATAGAAGACCGGAATGATGAGGTAGGCGGCCACCGGGGTGCACAGAACGTACGACAGGTTGATCAGCACGAACATCGTGCCGTACTGGTAGTTCTCCATGGACACGCCCAGGATGGTCACCGCGGACATGAAGCTGGCCATCAGGCTGAAGGCCACCGGGGCCACGCCCATGGAGCGGTCTGCCAGCAGGTACTCGCTGGTGGTGCTCTGCTTGCCGCCCACGAAGCGGTAGTAGATGCCGATGGCCACGGAGATGACCAGCACCACCGCCAGGATGGTGTAGTCCCAGGCGCCCAGAGTAGCCATCGCCGACGGGCGGTTATTCCGGTGCAGGTGCTATGCTAGCTGAGCTCTTATTCACCGGTCTCCCCTAATCGCACATCTAATCGCTCCGGCTGATAAGTCGGCCCGTAATCGGGTCTCTTGAGATTCAGCGAGTATGCTTTGGGGCTGCGGACGTTGGTCGTCGGACGCGGGAACACGTCTTTACCGTCTGCCGGCCGTCGGTAAAATAAAGGTCCAAACGGAACGGAACCAAACGGGTTCGGTGAGCCAGGCCAGCATGTACGCCATTTACGACCCCGTCGAGAGATATCAGCCCGTTGTGCTGCACCACGTGTGGCTGGAAAACGGGGCCGCTGGGCAAAGGATGGCCATTGGCCAACTGCCGATGGCCCGACCGCAGGCCCAAAAGCCTTGGGAATCCCATTCGGAGTGGGTCATCCCACGAGCCCAAAACCACCGGAGGCTCGGCTCCACTGCACTTTTTGGCTCGCGGGGACGCAAACTTGTCTCTGGCACTGTGGCCGACAGAGTTTAGCCATCCATAAATATTTATTTGCCCGCTCGTCGGCTTGCAATTGTAATTGTTGTAGCGATTGTCGTTAGCTGTGTAGAGCTGTTGAGCTGCTTCCCCCTCCTGGCTGGCTTGTTTGCTTTACGATTTTTACGAGGGAAATTAATTAATAGACACAACGGGCCCGGGCGAGAAGTCAGTGGAGCACTGGGGCAGCAGAGTACACATAAACAAACAAGCCGCAACATTTAGTGCTTACAAGAAGTGGCAACCTAAGCGGTTCTTGGCTGATGTTTCCGGGCTCGAAGCTAACCAACAGCCGGCTATCAAATCACATGATTTTGAAGAGGCTAAAAATAATAGTTTTACGGCGCTTTCATAAATCTGGTATCTATATGGACCAGTCTGGCGATTGTACCTAGTTGTGGCGGACACAAAGCCTTCGGGCAGAGTACAAATAAACGAGAAAAAACAAAGTATTTTGTGTTTACAATAAACAATCAAGGGTATTAGTTCTCAATGGATGCCGAAGCACTTAAAGAGAACCACAAGTGAAACCTTTATATTAAAGAGACACCTATGAAATCATAATCGTATGTGTGCATTAATAAATCGTATGTATCTTAGCGACCTATAGGTAATATCGAAACAACAGGCGACCCGCAAATCACATGACATTCTTGCAGACTAAAGAGAATAGTTTTACGACTGCCACTATAAATCTGGTATCTATATGGACCAGAGCAGTCTACATAAAAGGCAATATGCTTGGACTCACCGTGATTTGGTACCAGCCAAAGCTGTTGGGCATCAGTTTGCCGAACTTGCCACGCGGAATGGGCGATCCTCGACGACGAGAGGTGGGTCGGTCCTGGGAAGATATCATAAGAGACTTAATTGGGTATTTCAGTCAAACGTTAATGTGGGCATGTGGTGACCAACCTTGGCGGCTGATGTCATTTCGTTCATCTCGTCATCCTCGTCCCAGCGACGCAGATCCTCAGGACGCAGCTTGATATCCTTTTTGTTGTGCGGGAATTGTGATGGCTTGAAGCTGACGCGGCGCTTGTTGCGATCCTTACGCCTTTGGCGGTCCTCCACTTCTGCAACGATTATTACATATTACATATATGGTTAGTTAGTGGTCGCCTTATAAATTTTTATCTAGCTGTACTGACCATCGAAATCCTCAAGAGCCGAGTAACGTCCGCCGCCATTGCCGACATTGTTGTTGTACCCGCGGCCACCACCGCCACCGCGTTTGGGCATCTTGGACTGTTGTCGTCCGAAATTTATACAAAATATATAATAGTTGCTTTCAACACGCGCACACACGTTTTTCGCGGCTGCTTTTGTTGTTGTGTTTGTTGTTGCGAAAACTGTCTTCTGGGTACAAATTTATTTGCGCAAACGAATGCCCTCGGACACACAGTGCCACTAATTGCTTAGGCTTGCTGCTGAAGTCCTTTTACCGAAATCCTTGCATTAAGTATTGTTTGGCCAGCGAAATATTGTTTGCAAATTTAACAGCGTAAATACAACGCAATTTTGTGAAATTAGTTTTTTTAGTCGCTAGAGACGAACGATCTCAGTTCGATAAGTACTGCGACTAGTGGTTTTGCAGGATTTTTCGGTAGTATCCGAAATGTAATGACCTGCTGTTCTCGGAAAAAATTGTATGCTATTGAAAAGCAACAAAACAGGAAAGCAAAAATCAAAAGCAACTGTGTTTGCAGAATTTATCTTGTGTTGTTTTCGTTTTACCACTTTCGGCAGAACTTATCGATGATGGCGAATAGTGGGTTACTATCGCCCACATCGTGATCAGTGATGGACCTTTGGTTCTTTGTATTCATTTCGATATTTTCAGCGGGACTTTTCCTAAGAAAATAAATTTCAATTCATTTTTTATTTTTTTAGATCACATTTGATTTTATTCTACCATTTATAGAAAATAAAGTTTTTAGTCAAGTTCTGTTTTAATTATTTCTCAGCAAAGTCAATAAAACATAGTTTTGTATAGTTGTAAAAACCTAAAGCTAACATGTCTATAATTTTGAATTGAAAACAGGCTGATTTACACAATTACCATTACCGAGAGCTAAGCTTACTTTGTTTATTAAAAATTAATCAAGCGTTTTAATGAAAAATTAAGGTACAATTTTTTCTCCAATATCAAAATTCAATACTCAATAAATTCTCGGCAGTTGCAGTGTAAATTTCACCAATCTGGCAATCGATAGTCAGTAACCCGAAAAGTGATTTATGGAAACCATGGCGGAGAGTCGGGATTCATTATCAGCAAACATGTCGGAGCCAAGCAATCAGGTAAGAATAGTCCCGGCCAATTCGGAGGACAAACTGGTCCTTGTGCTGGCCGATCTTTTGGTGCGCAGCTCCGAGGCGGCGTTGAAGAGACAGGACAAGTTCAACGTGGGACTCTCAGGTGAGGATCGGGGTCGGAAAGGTCAAGTACTGATAAGCCCAACTTAGGGTGACCTTGCTCGTGAACTCGTGCGCCCAAAGTCAAGTGTCTCGTCTGCTCTCTTGGCAGGTGGATCCCTTATCCAGCTATTGACGAAAGCCCTCAAATGGGGAGGCCTGAAAACTGAAAAGTGGGTGTTTTATTTCTGTGACGAGCGGTATGTCCCCCTGGATGACGGCGATTCCACCTACGGCGCGTACAAAGCCGAGTGGCTGACAAACTTCCCCGGTATTCAGGACTCGCAGTTCGTTCGTGCCGATACCACCAAGTCGCTGGATGACTGTGCCACGGACTATGAGACCAAGGTCAAGGATCAGGTGGGCTGCGGGTGCCTACCGCGCTTCGACCTCTTGCTCCTGGGCATGGGTCCCGATGGCCACACATGCTCCCTCTTTCCCGAGCAGCCGGCCTCGCTCCAGGAATCCCAGCGACTGGTCATCCCCATCCGCAACTCCCCCAAGCCGCCGCCTGAGCGGATCACCTTCACCCTGCCACTGATCAATAACGCCTGGAGTGTAGCTTTCGTGGTCACGGGCGCTGGAAAGGCCAGTGTCGTTAAGGTAAGATAACAGTGAATGCTTTAAAATTGTTTCGCAAGTTGCAAATTTACTAAGCGTCGCGTTCTTCCAACATTTCTTAAAACTTTTGCGTTCTAAATTCTTAAATTTTCTTTTTATTTTAGAGTGTGTTTGTCGATCAGGACAAGAAGTATCCTGCTGCCTGGGTGAAACCCACAGATGGAGAATTGATGCTGATTGTAGACGAAGGAGCTGCAAAAGAACTTTTAGCATAGTTATGACATTTATTAGTGATAATGAATCTTGTGATATCCTTGCAGAGGGTATTTTTATTTCAGTCTAAAGTTTGCAAAGCAGTTAATAAGATACCTCCGACCCCAAAGATCTAAAAAGCTGTTTCCATAAAGATCGGACTACTATATCATAAACCTGCCATAGAAAAACTGTGAAATATTTAAAGAAAAACTACACAGTAAACCTTAATGAAAGAGTATATCAGCTTTGCCTTAGCAATGCTTGCTTTCTTTCTTGATAATAAAAATATTTTTATACAGAAGGATTTTTTTATTTTTTTTTGAGAAAACTGAGGGGTGTATTAAAAAAATGAAAATAAATATGTCGCCGCTGAAATTATAAATTCCCTGAAGATTATTTAGATGAAGACTATTTCGTTATATATATTTTAAATATATTTGGTTAGCGACCGAAAATTTTTTGTATAAAGGCTAAACGATTGTAATATCTAGAAAAAAAAAAGAATAGAAATCAAAGAATTTTGTTGACTAAATATCAAGTATTTAGTAGAATAAAGCCGGTTTGGCTTAAAAATATTACCACGTAAAATCGTTATCGATACTTTGCACAATGTTTCGTGTGACCGTTAGCGGTAACACAGCGAATGGCACACCCAGTATGACCGCACTTGAGGTCACAACAAACGCCTCGTATTGGTAAAAAGAAAATTAAGGAAATGCAGCAGCAGCAGTTGTGCTAATTGTTGATGCCCACATGCAATAGCAAGGACTCGAGGACGCGAAACAGCCATGGCAACGCACCAGCATCCGCATCCACAGCTGGAGCCGGGTTCGGGTACTGGTTCTGGTCGGGATTCGGAAGGTGAGCCGGCGGTGGACAGCAAGTTGGTGTCCGTGGAGCTCAACTCGGTGGATGCGGACCGCGTCTGCCGGGTTTGCCTGAAAGACGCAGAATCGCTGGACGGGGAACTGCACTTCATCTTCGCAGATGCCCCCGTTGAGCAGGGCGCCAATCTAGCCCACATTCTGGACGAGTGTACTTTGCACCAATGCCAGCGGCACGACGGGATGCCCCCGCACATGTGTGGAACCTGTGTGGAGGCAGCCCGCCATGCCTTCCGCTTCAAGCGGCAAGCGGAGCGCTCCTACTGCTCGCTGGTGGCTTTGCTAGGACGATCGCCCCAGTTGAAGGCCCGCGGAGCGGAGGTGAGCAGCCAAACGGACCAGGTGGCCCTGCTGCCGTGCGAGATGTGCCACGACCAGTTCCTCAACAGCCTAGAGCTGCGCCTGCACCGAAACCAGGTGCACAGGACGACCAAGGAGGGCACGGCCACTGGAACGGAGGGCACGCAGATCGAGGAGTTCAAGTGCAAGTTTTGCCCGCAGCATTTCCCCCATCTTCGGCAGCTGCGCAGTCATTTGGCGCGCAGTCACGAACAGACAGCCCGCCTCCAGTGCTCCCATTGCCAGCGCACCTTCAGCCGGCGGGATCACTTGCTGCGCCACATGCGCAACCAGCACCGGCTCGTGGAGGAGGACCTGCTGCGCACCTGGCCGCCGGCGGATGAGAACACCATGCTGAGCGATGACGGGGATGAGCTGGTCTCCGCAGAGGTGCTGCTAAACGAGGAGGACGATGAACACGACGGAGTTGGCGACACCTTTCAGTGCAACACGAATCCCATTTCCAGCAACGAGGACGAGGACGACGAAGGCAATGTGGCTAACCAAACGTTGTGGCTGCACATCAAGCCGGAGCCCTGTTTGGAGGCGGAGGAAGTGGACCTGGCCATGCAGCTGAAGCTCGAGAAGAAGCGGCGGCGACGTGAGAAGGCGGAACCTCAAGCTGAGGACTCGATTGACCGCACAGTGAAGAGTGAGTGTTTTTCGCATGGGAGGATTCATATGTCTACAAACCAATGCCTAATTCTTTGCACAAATTCCAGATGAACCCATTGCCATCGGCGACGGGCAGTTCAGCATCAAGGAGGAAAACCAGCTTGTGGGCAGCGAAGACGAAGCACCGATGGGAGTGGAGGACTTTATGAAGCTACATGTCAGCGGAGACCTGCCGCTCAGCGATGAGGACCGGTACGATGACTTCATTGACGAAGAAAGCGATATTGACGACGATGAGGGCGACGACGAGGACGGAGATGAGGACGGCGAGTTCCGGCTCAAGGAGGAGCCGCTGGACGGCGAGAAGTTGCCGAAGAAGACCAAGTCCGGTCGGCGCCGGCGGCGCAACAAGCAGGGCGAGCCAAACCCCGAAAACCGATGCGAGGTGTGCCAGCGCACCTTCTCCCGCCACTGCCACTTGCTACGCCACAAGCTGTCGCACCTGGAGAAGAAGCCCCACAACTGTCCGCACTGCCCTAAGGCGTTCGCGCGCAGCGACCACCTCAAGGCGCACGTGCAGAGCCTGCACAGCAACAAGGAGCACAAGTGCGGGCTTTGCGAGGCCGCCTTCTCGCGCCTGGACGCCCTGGAGCGGCACAAGGTCAGCAAGCACAACGGCGAGGGCCTGGAGCCGGGCAGTGAGCTGAAGCTGCAGCTGGCCGAGCACACTTGCGAGTACTGTTCGAAGCGCTTCTCCAGCAAGACCTACCTGCGCAAGCACACCCTGCTGCACACGGACTTCCTGTACGCCTGCAAGACCTGCGAGGAGACATTCCGCGAGCGAGCGCAGCTCAGGGAGCACGAGAAGACCCACACCGGTCAGCGCAATTTCCTCTGCTGCATATGCGGCGACAGCTTCGCCCGCAACGACTACCTCCGCGTGCACATGCGACGCCACAACGGCGAGAAGCCCTACAAGTGCCGCTACTGTGTCAAGGCGTTCCCGCGCGCCACCGATCTCAAGGTCCATGAGCGGTAAGTGAAGTTCAATTCTCAGTTCCAGTACGGGTTGTATATAAGTATATAAAGCTCTATTGGAATCCAACATAGACAAACGATTACCTCTTTAAATATATAAATATATTTATAGGTTATTAGGTGTATAGTTCATTTTATTAATATTTTTAAATGTTTTTTAATAAATGTCCCTTTATTGCAGGTACCACACGGGCACTAAACCGAATCTGTGCAATACCTGCGGCAAGAGCTTCCACCGGGCCTACAACCTGACCATCCACATGCGGACGCACACCGGCGAACGGCCGTACAAGTGCGACCAGTGCCCGAAGAGCTTCACGCAGAGCAACGACCTCAAGGCGCACATCCGTCGGCACACGGGCGAGCGGTACAAGTGCCCGCACTGCGACGCCTACTTCCTGCAGCTGTACAACATGCGCAACCACTGCTTGAGTGCCCACAACAAGCACATCGAGACGAAGACGGGGCGCCTGCAGCGGACGGGACTCCTCGACGATGGCGGTCAGTCGCATCTGACCACTGTGGTGATGCCGCCAGCGCGGTATCAGCCAGGAATGGATCCCCAACTGGCGGTGGCTGCTGCTGCCGGGGCCGAGAGTTCGTCCTCGACCGCCGTCATCCACTCGCCGGGCACGTACAACGCCACATCCTCCGGACTGCCCGGTCCGGGGTCAGCGTCTGCTGCTCCAGCCAGCACGCTCGATGGAGCCAGCTTCGCGCCCACGGCGATGAATGCGACGGCTCCCTTTGGCGCCTTTAATTTTCCGCCGGCCGTTGTGGGTAAGCACCGCTGAAATTAAGTGTACCAAATATAATCTTAAAGTTTCATCATTGCTCTTTTGCACCGTATTTTTATAAACAGGAATGAGATTCTGATCTCATTAGACTTTAGAACCATAACTCCTTCCGTACCTTTAAAACGCTTAAATTGTATTCCTTAATTTTGAATCATATGTGATTTTTTTCGAAAAATTTGTGCATTTTCTGCTCTGTAACAGTAATTACATAGTGGGAATTTTTTGTTTCTTAAAAGAAAACATTTTAAAAGTTGTGTTACCAAAATTCGTGTAGATCGATTTATAAAATAAAGGGCATTTAAATTTTCAAAGCTGATACAAAGATAATAACAAGTAATGAATCCCAAGTTTATATAATAACAGCCTTATAAATGGACGCACCCTTATAGAAATAGTTCAATAATATTGACTGTCCTTGTCTAATTCCTCTGTCTCTTTTGGTTTCAGCGCATCTCATGTACAATCACGGAGGAAGCAGTCAGCACAGCCAGAGCGGCAGTGAAACGGGCAAATAGCCATCGCATTGGCTGTGGCTTTGGTTATGGATGCTCCTGCTCCTGGGGACACTGCTGCACCGCATCCCGAACACACAACTATTCCAGTGTAGTCTTAAGCTGCCCTCTGTAAATAGTTGGCGAAGTGGAGAGTGGTCGCCGCCACCGGGCTGCCCAATCGAAGGGGGTACATCACAAGGGCGGCCGTTTTAATGTGTTAATATGTATGTATTTAATAGTCGAATAAGAACTGCTTACATTTTAATGCGCTATGTGGGCGGTTGGATCATTTTATAAAGCTTACATCAGTGCGCATGTATGTATAATAAAGTAAAAATCGCTCCCATCCCCCTAATAATTGTAATTGATGAGCCAATAAATCTTGAAATAGTAAAACATCTAAAGTTACATCAAGTTGTTTTATTTCGATCAAGTTGTATGATATATAAGGTGTTATTAATAATAACATGTATGAAAATTGTCAAATATGGAAAGTAGTTAATTATACCATTCATATTTCAGTACTTGTAAATAACATTATTATTTTGGGACTATTACGCAGACTTCAAAATGTTGCACACATTTTAAAAACCTCTTCTGACTCAAATACCATACCATTTATTTACTTTGATAAATCTTACGAAAATCGTATAATCTTAAAAATGAACTCTTTTTAAATGCTTTAGATTCTTCTGTAGTTTTATTTAATAATCTTAAGTAAGTTAAAAAAAAGTTTTAAAAAATAATATAACTCTTTTCAAAAGGAATAATAAAGTGTTATCAATATGAACCTGAAGTTGCCGGACAGTGGTTTTAGTAAGATCAAAGTTTTCCGATTGTAAATGCGATAATTCAACGTCTTTAAATTAACTAACAATGATTGTTCTTTAGCAAGGCTAACTACACATAATTCGTGGTCAAGCAACACACTTAATTTTTATTAGAAAAACGTAAAACAGAAAATAAAATGCAATACAATAAGAAACGCCAACTGTAAAGAGTAGAAGGTACGTGTTAAATTAAGATGATCTCCGGTGGAGTTACTGCGGTCTCCGGGGCAGGACCACCAGGAGGCTCTCCCGCGGCACCGGCAGATTGGCATTGACCTCCGGGTGCCGCTTCCTGGGAATGGCCAGCTGATGGCGCTGGCGGGGCAGCATTGAGGAGCGACTGGTCGGCTGGAATTCCTCGTAGCTCACGCCGTTCTGCTCGTTATTCTCATCAGTTGTGTAGTCCGTGTCGCTCGGCGGTTCCTGATCCGTGGACTTGGTGCGCGGCTTCTTGCAGGAGCGCGTGCCCACGCTGCGTCTGCCCATTCCGCCGCTGCGACGCAGTGTGTTGTCCAGAACGCGCACGCGCTTCAGCGGTGACTTGGTGGCCTTTAGCTGGTTCTGCTTCTGGCTGGCGGTCAGCAGGCGCTGCGCCGGCGACGCCTTCATCGAGTTCAGGGTGTTCATAAGGCTGCGCTTCGCGTTCGGCGTCTTGGGGCCCGTTTGCAGAGCGGAGGGATTGAGGCGCTTGTGCAGATTGCCCGTGCTCTTGGTGATGTTCATCGGACGCAAGTGCTGCTGCGAGGGCGTCTTGCGCAGCGACATCGTGGAGCTGGAGAAGGTCGACATGTTGCGCAGTGTGCGCGGCGTACGAGGAGCCGTGGATCCCGGCGCCGGAGGCGGCATAATTTTGCTGGCCGACGCCGGTGCCTTCTTGCGCGCCGAACTTAGCAGCTTGGCCTGGCGATGGCGCTCCCAGTCGGCGGCCATCCGCTCGAGAATGTTCTCGCCGTGCACCAGGAAGGGAGTGTTCTCCTGGGCCTCGTAGGCCTGCACCAGTTCTGTGATCTGTTGCTCGATCTTGGGCAGCTTGGACGTGATCGCCTTGCGCTCCTTCTCCTCCTTGAGCAGCTGCCCGCCGCGGTTGTTGAAGCGATTCGGCTCGCTGGCCTTGGCCTCCAGTGCCTCCATGCGAGACCAGAGTTCGGCGCGACTCTCATACAGATCGAATATTTCCTTGTTTTTGTTGTAGAAGGTCTTCAGGTCGTCCAGCTCCAGTTCGTGCAGCTCCAGCAGATCCTCGTTGTACCAGTCGTTGTAGTAGTTGGAGAATCGCTTGCGCTCCTGCTGGCTCTTCAGCGTGAGGTCCCACCACTCCTTGATCTCGATGCGCAGCTGCTCGATGAAGGTCTTAAGGTTCTGGCGCCGCAGGGCCTGGCAGCGCTGCAGCTCCTCGCGAAGGATGTCGTAGGTGCGTTGGGTATATGACGTGGATTCTCGCACGCGACGCATGGCATACTCGTCCGCCTCCTGCAGTCGCTCCCACAGAACGTGGATCTTGTCGCGCATGTCGTCGATCCGCTCGCGCAGCTCCTTCACCTGGTCAGCGAAGTTTTTCTGCATGTGGCGTAGTCGTTCGAAGGTCTCGGGTGTGAGACAGTGGTCCACCTGGTTGAGCAGGCGCTCCTCGGTGTCCGTCTGGGGCAAGCATTCCAGCAGCTTCATGTCGTGTTTGATGCTCTGGCGTAGCTCGTCCATCTCTTTGATTCGCAACACTCGCTGGTGGCGCAGTTGCTCGAGGCGATCGCGAAAGGCGTCCATTTCCTCAGGCAGTGGCAAGGGATCGGCCAGCAGAGGCTTGGGCAGCTCGCCCAGCTCCTCGCAGAGCTGCTCCTGTTGGAGAAGCAGCTCACAGATCTCCGCCCTGCGCCTGCCCAGCTCCTCGCGCAGGTGCTCAATGCTCTTGTCCAGCTTCAGCTGCCAGATGACCAGTGGCATGTCGTCGGGCCGCTCGCCCATGTCCACCGACTCGTGAAGCAGCCGCGTCAGGTCGGTGGCCTCCGCCCGCAGGGCAGCTATGTCGCCGAGGATCGCCTGCTGCTTCTCGCGGGACTCGTTCAGCAGGTCTGTGAAGAAGCTGTGGGCGTGGTCCTTCAGCCGGAGGAGGAATTCGTCGCAGGTCTTCGGCTCGAACAAGTGCGACCACATCGCGTGCAACTGATCCACGTGCGCGCCCGTCATCTCCAGGATCTGGGCCTTCACCGCGATGGCATTTGGAGTATTCATGATATCGTTGTGTTGGGGATTTTAGGGATTGTGGGGATTTCGGAAACTACTTTGCTTTCTGTGACTATTTTCACTTCGATGTAGTCTTTTGTATGTCAAGTACTGGACGGGGAATGTGAGTTTATTTAGAGTGCATCGCTGCACGAAATTAAGTACTGAATGACAATGACGCCAGACTGAAATTTTCGGTAAATTCAAACTGAAATGGCGGCCAAGCCAATGATGCCACTCCGGTTAAAAACAGTGTTGCATAACAACAAATACTGAAACCAGGGCTTCAGAGTACGTTAAAATGCATCCACACTAATCAAGCAGAAGACTAACTATTATTTTAATTTATGTCGGTTTTCGTTACCCATGCTGGTACGAAAACACTTTTACAACGAACTGGAAAATAAATAACCAAAAATGGATATCTTATTTTAGAGGCACATTTCTATTTTATTAGCTCAAACCGAAAGTATGGTCTAGGACAAAATGTACATTTCAGGTTAAAATATTGATTGGTTTCGTTTTCCACAAATCTTAAATGTGTTTGCAATTAATGTTTTCATAATACATACAATCAAATTATGAACAGATTTTGAATACATATAATTGTTTTAATAGTATTTTGTAGGTTGTAATTATATACTACAATTTTTAAACACAGTGTTTGTTTTATATTTTTAATATACATTTTTGTTTAATGTGTTTGATTTTTTTATACATACTTCTAAATAGGTTTTAATAGAATATATATTCAGATATGGCAAGATATGCGGTTAATTTAAATCAGGTGCTATAAGCACCAGCTTATAAGAATTTGTTGAAATCATGTTGAAATTGTACGGTGATTACAAGACAAACTGAATAACCAAGTCAGGATAATGTAAAAAATGCATTTTTATTTACATATTTATTTTACTAAAATTTAAAAGATGAGAAATTGCTCTTTTACCCAGTACAGTCATAGCTAAAACAATGCAATTTTGTAAAAAACACAAAGTTTTCAAAATAAGTTGTCTATGTTTTCGACTACATCATGTTTTCACGAATAGCTAAATTAGTATAAGGTCCTTTACAAAGTTCGAAGGCGAAGTGTAAAGCATGTAACCGCATTCGTGATAGTAAGTGAGCTAAATACATCGGTTCAGGTATAGATTAAACACAGATCGGTTGGCGATTTGATTCCAATTAAATGTGATTGGGGTAGGCTTCTACGGAGGTTTGCGTTTCTGGCTCCTCACTGTCCTCGCTCTCGTTCTCCTCGCTCGATGGAGGCTGCACACGGACTTGTGGAATCGGGGGGATTCTGCGATTATTCCGGCTGCCGGTGCTTGGCCTGCCGGTTGGCTTGCCTCGCCGCACCGAGTACTCCAGCACGCGCACCTTCTTCTGCGGCGACTTCAGCAGCTTCTGGCCATTGACGCCCAATACTGGCCCCGAATTGTTGCACTCCAGCGACGAGATTAGATTCCGCTTGGCCGCAGCCACTGGCTTTGGACTGGTCTTTCCGTTAGTGGGGTGTCGCCTCTTCTGCAGGTTTCCCGTGCTTTTCGCCTCACTGGTCGCGTGCATCTTTGAAGGCGACTTCTTCAGCGAGGAAGAGGATCCGTTCATGGCCTTGTTGCTCTTCAGTGTATTCGGCGTAAGAGGCACTGAGGGCGGCTTCATTTTGCTGGCCGTGATGGTGGGATAATTCTTGTGCGCCGAGGGCTGCTTCTTCGACTGCCGGTGGTGCTCCCAGTCCGCCGACATGCTCTCCAGTATGTCCTCTCCGTTCACGAGGAACGGTGTGTTGGCGTGGGCCATGTACGACTTCACCAGCTCTGTGATCTGCTGATCGATCTTGGGCAGTCTGGTGGTCATGGCCTTGCGCTCCTTCTCCTCCTTGAGCAGCTGGCCGCCGCGATTGTTAAAGCGATTCGGATCGTTGGCCTTGGCCTCCAGCGCCTCCATGCGAGACCAGAGCTCCGTACGGTTGGCATACAGCTCGAAGATTTTCTTGTTGCTGTTGTAGAAGTTCTTCAGTTCGTCCAATTCCATTTCAAGCAGCTCCAGAACATCTTCGCTCTCGGGATCACTGAAGTAGCTGTTGAAGCGCCTGCGCTCCTCCGTGCTCTTCAGTGTGAGGTCCCACCACTCGTTGATCTCGATGCGCAGCTGCTCGATGAAGGCTTTGAGGTTCTGGCGCCGCATAGCCTGGCAGCGTTGCAGCTCCTCCCGTAGGATATCGTACGTGCGCTGCGTGTAGGACGTGGATTCCCGTACGCGACGCTTGGCAAATTCATCGGTCAGTTTGAGTCGTTCCCAGAGCAGATCCACCTTGCCGCGCATTTCGTCGATCTGGTTGCGCAACTCCTGCACCTGGTCGGCATACTCCTGGCGCATGAGGCGCAGCCGCTCGAAGGACTCGGGCCTCAGGCAGGGGTTCTCCTGGTTAAGGAACCGCTTACCGGTGTCTGTTTGGACATGCAGTTCAAGCCGCTTCATGTCCTCCTTGATTTCCAGGCGCAGCTGGTCCATCTCCTTCCGGCGCTGCACCCGCTGGTGGCGCAGTTGCTCGAGGCGATCGCGGAAGGCAACCATCTCCTCAGGCAGGGGCAGGGTATCGGCCAGCAGCGGCTGGGGCAGCTCGCCCAGCTCCTCGCAGAGCTGCTCCTGCTGAAGCAGCAGCTCAGTGATCTCTGCCCTGCGCCTGGCCACCTCTTCGCGCAGGTGATCGACGCTTTTGTCCAGCTTCAGCTGCCAGATGACCAGCGGCATGTCGTCGGGCTGGATGAGCGCATCCATGTCCACCGACTCGTGGAGCAGCCGTGTCAGGTCGATGGCTTCCGTCCGCAGCGACGCTATTTCGCTTATTATGCCCTGCTCCTTCTCGCGCGACTCTTTAAGGAGATCTGTGTAGAAGTTGTTCGAGTGGTCCATCAAGCGGACAAGGCAATCTTCACAGGTCTGCGGCTCGAACATGCGCGACCACATCGCGTGCAGCTCGTCCGTGTGAGCCGCCGTCATCGCCAGGATCTTCGCCTTGTGTTCGGTGAAAATCATTGTCACGGCCTAATCGGTACCGCTTTCATAGGGTGGAATTAGATCGAATCAGTAAAATAATACAATCAGTTCGTATAAGAAAAATGGACGCTAAGTGACTTTGCTACACCGGTAAATTTTAAACTGTACAACTATCACACACTGGCGATTCAGTGCTGTGAAACGAGTGGCAGCGCTACCTTATCGTCAAAAAAATGTAGATTAAGCATTAGGGGGTTTCCTGAAACCATCTTTTTGGAGCATTTCATATTCGGATTTTTTAGAATTTAATACGCGGCATACGAATGAAGTGCAGCATTAAATGAATACCACATTATATTTCAATCTGAAACTTTTCCACATTAAAATAATCGATGCTCGCTCATTTCCAACGAACAATCGATTGTATCGAATAGGCATCGGTAACTGTGTCACTATCAATACTAAAAACATCGATGTTGCATCCCTCTAAAAATTGATAGCAAAACTGCGTGTGAAAAAGACACGAAGTTTTTGTACACTTTTTCGGGCGTTATTTTTAACTGTTAAAGCGCGGTTTAGCGAACTGAGAGTGCGATTCGATCCGAAAGTTGGCAAAATGCTTTAAAAGAGCCGCGCTGCCAGTAGAAAATCGCTGTTCTACTTTTCTAAATAACACTCGGCCAGTGGACGAGGGACGGGAACGGGCACACATACAAGCGCGCCGCCGAGTGTCAACAGCTGCCCTGGCAAAATGTCGGACATTAAGTAAGTGGGTGTTCGACTGTGGGTGGTTCGCCCCGACGGTCCAAGGACCTTTCTGCGATCAGTTGCAGCGTGAGTGGAGGTGGTGCGGGGTTAGAAATCCGCAGCAAACAGTGGCGGGGGCGACCTGCATGTGTATAACATTTTCGGGTTGGCTGAGTGTGTGTGGGTGTGCGTGTGAGTGAATGCCCCCGGCTGAGTGTGAGTGTGCGTGTGTACTTGCGCCTGTGTGCGAGGTTTTTTCAATGGAACCTCGAAGGAGAAAAAGTCTTAGCTTGGTATTAACCTCTTGATCTCCTTTATGTGCCATCCTATCCCCAACAGTGATGACCTGCTCAACTACGAACTGGGCGACGACATCGATGACCAGGCTTTGCTCGGCGCCGACGAGGATGAGTTGCTTCTCTCGGACGAAGGTAAGTTTTGCACCCAAAATCAAAATACTTCCCCAGCTGACATCAGCGATCGTTTATCCCGGCAGAGCTCGAAAAGGATGTTACCAGCGAGGTAAAGCTGCAGATGCGCGCTGAGGCCGAGGAGTGGGCCCAGGAGCAGATTCGCCAGCACGAGCGCAAGCACAAGGAGCAGTTGCAGGCGGTCTCCGCTGCCGCTGCGGCTCCACCAGCGGAGGCTCCTCCGAGGACAGAGCCCTCGACCTACACTCCAGCCCCAGCTCCTGCAACTGCTCCAGCTGCTGTAAAATCAGCTGCACCCATTGCGGCAGCCACTGAACCAATCCAGCCAAGTGGAGCTGTAACGAAACCGGTTGAAGCTCCTGCTGCCACACCAGAGCCAGCAAATGAGCTGGTGACAAAGAAAGTGACCACTCAGGATTCCAAAAACCCGGATCAGCATGTCCAACAGCAACCGAAAGATGAGACACCGCCTGCAGAAAGCGCCAAGAGAGAACCAGTTGCCCAGAACAATGGCAACGGCGAGGAGGCAGCAGAGAGCTCAAGCAGCCACAACGAGACTGAGCACGGATTGGGCCTTAACTCGCTGCTGGCATCCTCACAAGAGAGCCTGCCCAGTGCCAGCTCCGCCTCGGTGATCTCAGAGCTGCCCGATCCGCGCGAGGACGAAGAAGAGCGCGAGGAGCGCACCAACTACAAGACGGCCAGCGAGCGGTCCGATAATAATACGAGACAGCAGCAGGAACACGCACACATGTCGCCATACCAGCACCAGCAGAGGCGTCACCATGGTGGCCATGGAGGTGGGTCAAACAGGCTCCTTGTTTAAGCCGAATATTACTGATATTTCTTTTGCAGACAAATCGCGCGTAGGCGGAGGTGGACGCTTTATGCATGGGCAGCAGCAGCAGCAGAACCAAATGGGCAAGCCGCCGCGCGGAGTTGGAACACGCCACCACCTACTGCGCAACCCGTCGCCAATGTTTGGCAGCGTCCAGCAGCAGCGAATGGGCATGGCCGGGATGCAGCCGCCGCCGCAACGATACGGCATGCCGGGTAATGCTCAACAACCGCAGCACCTGGCTCTGATGAGCACGCCAGTGGGTGCTGCTCCCACCGCCGCCTGCCTCCTTCCACTAACCGTTCCCGTGTCCCCACTCACCTTGTCACTACCACCCGCCCATTCGACCCATCCGACCCATTCGACCCATCAACAACAGCAACAACAGTCGACACTCAACAATCCGACATTCATTCCAATTCCAGGCCAGTACCCGCCAACTCAGCCACCCAACCAGTCACCACAACAAGCACCGACCAACACGCCACAGCCACACAGCGCTCCTGCCTCTCCCCTCCACACTCCCACGCATTCGCACATGATGCACCACAGTCACAACCCGAACGGAGTCGTGGTGCCGCACCTGCTGCCGCATCCTCACGAGCAGGTGCGTCTGGGTCTGCTGCAGCCACCGCCGCTGGCGTACAATCCCAATCCGGGCGGCTATCGCAACGGAGCGCTCCTCGGTCCGGGACCAGGACCTGGTCCGCACCAGCAGCAGACGGGCATGCGCCCGCCACTCTATCGCAACGCCCCGCCATCGTACGGCTACGAGCAGGGCCATCCGCCGCAGCATCCGCAGTTTATGCGGCCGCACAACGGCTGGCGGCCGCAGGGCGACAACACGCGCATGCAGCGTCCGCCGCTCCAGACCTTGCCGCCGCACATGATGCCCGGTGCCCCGCCCAACTACGCCAACGGCATGGGACTGCGTGGTCCGCCGCCCCAGCAGCAGCAGCAGCAACAGTCACCGCAGCAGCAGCAGCAGCAGCCAGTCCCGCTGCAACCGGGCGGCCATCCATCGCAGCAGCCCGGCGGCAATCCCTGCCAGCCACAGCAGCCGCCGCAGCCGAACGGACCGCCCCAGCAGCAGGGCTCGTCGTCGGTGCCGCGCGTCAGCAAGGTACTCATCAATCCGAATTTCAAGGGCGGCGTGGAGGCGGCCACCAACAAGTTCATTAAGGAGACCCACTTCATGCCCGCCATTAACAGCGAGGCGGAGCTGCTGCGCCAGCAGGAGGAGTTCATCAACAAGAACCGGCAGTACTTCGAGAAGCGACGCATGGAGCGCTCGCCGCCGTCGTCGGGTTCCAACTCGGGAGCAGTGTCATCTGCGCAGGCGGGCGAACGCAGACGCACCCGCAGTCGCAGTCGTTCCCGAGGACGCAGCTACTCGCCTGTGAAGCGCATGGAGAGGGAGCGCGAGCGGGAGCGGGATCGCGAGAGGGATCGGGAGCGGGATCGAGATCGGGAGCGAGAGCGTGAGCGATACGGCGCCAATCGAGTGGCAGGAAACCGAGGATTCCGACGCGCATCAAGTCGGGATCGGGACGAGAATCGCGGCGGAGCAAGTGCTGCCGGTGCTCAAGGAGCTGGAGGAGGAGCTTCAAGTGGTGCGGCACCTCCAAAGCGCCGAAGGAGTGGCTCTGCCGGAACAGGCACCGCCCGGAATCCCTTCTCCGGCGAGCCTCGCGGCCGTCCCTCGGAATCGAGCAGCCGCAGTGTGGTGAGTGCAAGACAAAGACTTCCTAATTGGCTGCAATGTATTTACTCAACTTGTTCCACTTGCAGCCCAGTGACGAGGACGAGGAGACCCGCAACTACAGGCTGGAGATCGAGAAGCAGAAGCAACTGCGCGAGAAGATCATGCGCGACAAGGAGCTGAAGCGCCGGCGCGCTGCCGAGGAGAAGCAACACGAGGTAAGTCCCCAATCTTCTAAACTGGCAGGGTTTAACCAATCGGAATGTGCAGGTTTATACTCGTACACCATTCCAACGCCCTTGCAGGGGGTTGATGAATAGTTTAAATATCCAAAGAGTTAGGGAAAAGCATGTTAGTTGAGGCTCTTAAGGCTGGTTGTGCAGATGCCTGACAGCGTTGCAATTATTAAAGAGGTGACAATAGGAAGGAAGTTAAAAAGGAACAATGATAGTAATGCCGCTTTAGCACTTTCTCCTTGTTAATCTTTTAACGCGGAACAATTTGAAAAGGCAGTTTGGAGGCGGTTTTAGTTAACTGTCATCTTTGTACTTAGGAAAATAACAGATTTATTAGATTATTAGATCAGATCATTACACAACTTAGAAATATATACATATATCTCTGGTATTTCTCCACTTTTAAAATTGCTAAATCGTTGAATTTAAGTAACATGTTTAAATTAAAAATTAAAAAGGGTTGACACTCTGCTTTACTAAATGTACTCATGTACCGTTATAATCAGTCAATATATGTATGTAAATACAAAATGTCCGATAGTGTTTCCTTGTAAACTATTCAAGTATTTTCTGTTTTAATTTGTCCCTCTTCGGAAGTTCCTTTAAAGAATTTGGAAGGACATTTTCTGGGTCCTACCCTTTATTCCCGAATTTGTAGAATTTTTAACGATTTAGCCATTTCAAAGTTTAGGGTAAACCCAAACCATCTTTACAGGATTTGTGCTCTTCAATCTTTTCCTGGGCAGATCTTAAAGATTAGTTTTTGTAATTGTTAAAGGTATATTTGTTTCCATTTTTGCTTTGTACTTCAAACTAAACTTGAAATTTTCGACCTTCACTTTGTATTAAGCGGTTCTGACAACTCAAGGTTAAAACAGTTCAGATTATAATAAAATCAACACGTAAGGTACGACCTTTTAAAGACAATTAGTATGTATATGTAAACTGGAAGTGTCTTTATTCATATAATATCGTGTCTTTATTCATATAACATGTACTATACATAGAATGGCCTGTAAAACCATGATCAATTGGCATTTTCCTATGGGGCTTGGGTATTAATAAATATATTTTAAAAATCTTAAATTGCCTTCATATGATTTTTTTCACTGGAGAAACAATTTTTAAAGAAGTTATAATTACATATTGGGATTCTATAGCAGGGCTTTCTTTTTGTTGAGATGCAACGTAAAATATATAATAACCGTTTATTTAATTATTCAGTTAGTTTTTTTAAGATTGAGTAGATTTTCAGCTTTTTAATAAAATCGGGAGTAAAGTTATCAAAAGAGTGTTTTCTAAAAACATATATTTTTAAAACTCGTAAAATATAATTTTAAAATAGATAAATAACTACAGGGAATTCATGATCTTAAGTTATTTGCAAGGACAATAATCCTTCGGCCACCGAAGCCAGCCTTTAAACAGTAAGCCTCACTGTAGCTTTCCGAAACGAAGAGAAATCCACAATCGAACTAAACTTTCTAGGAAAAGCGCGCCGAGCAGCACAACTCGCCAGCCCGCGACGACCAGGAGGCGGCCGCCGGACAAGGATCTGCCAGCGCGGCAGCTGCAGCGCAAAAGCATCGGCCTGCCCAGCCAGCCGGCGGCGAACGGAAGGTGATCTCGCTGAAGCGCCGCGAAGACCAGGATGCGGGCGGCAATGCTCGCAGCAGGCAGGCGCCATCGCAGTCCAGTGCCCAGCCAGCGCAAGGTCACCAGCAGCAGTCGCAGCAGCAGCAGCAGCATCACCCGGCGCGCAAGCAACTAACGGCAGCAAAGATAGCGCCGGAGGCGAAGCGCACGATAACCGAGCACCTGGTGCCCTCATCCAAGCAGCAGCACCACCAGCTGAATGCAGCGGCGCCGGCGCGAACGATTGGAGGATCCAGTGGCGGTGGAGGTGGAGGTGGAGGAGTCGTGGCTGGCGGCACTCCGCCGAAACCGCGCGACATGCTGCGCCTGGGCACGCCGAGCGATGATGAAGTGGAGCTGGACTACGACGACGATGACCTGCTGCTGGACGAGGAGGATCGTTTGTTGGCCACACCATCGCCGCCGCCGCAGAAGGCGAGCAGCAAGCGGTCGGCCACGCCGGATCTGCTGGTGGTCAAGCGGAACCACAAGGTGGTGCGCGGTGGCAGCTCGGCGACGGCGCCCAGCTTCAGTTCCGGCCAGCGGCGGGTGGTGCTCAAGCCCACCAGCAATGGCAGTGGAGGCGGAGGCGGAGGAGGAGGAGGGGATCAGCAGCAGTCGTCGCACGGCGGCAGGCAGCGGGATCGCAGGCAACGGGAGGAGAACGCACTGCAGCGGAAGAGCGGCGGCGGAGGAGGAGGAGGAGGAGGTGGCTCAGGAAGCGGAGGAGGAGGAGGCATCTTCGATCGACTGGAGAAGCGACAGACCTCCTCGGGAGGAAGCAGCGGAGGAGGAGGAGGAGGAGGCGGCGGGAGCAGCCACAAGCAGCGCTCCAAGGCACCCGCCCGCATCGTACTCAAACATGATTAATAAGGAGACCTAGACTTAAGCCTAACACTTTTTTATTTCGATTATCTCTGTAGCGGGTAAGATGAGTATGTCATGTGCGACGGCGAGGAGGCGTAGGTAGTAAGAGGAACTTTAGCTCTAAGTTATAAAGTTGCTACTTGTTGATCTGTAGACTTGTATACCCAACGTCTATATATAAATAGCGGCTTATATATATATGTATATGTCATTTTGTTTGGTGAGTATGCGTACGGGTGTCTACAACGTACGCCATACCGGTATACATACATATATATATCCATTTAGCATTAAGTGTACAAACCTTATCAATGACTAAAACGTGCTTCGTTTTCTTAACCAAAACTTGTATTTAAATTTAGAATTTAATGGGATGCTTTAAGCTTGACCTGGACAACAAAACAAAACAAAACAATTAACAGAACCACAACCACAACCACAGCAACAAAACCACTAGAACCCAAAAATGCAGTTTTATGTGCATGCATATAGCCTATGTAATCAATTTAAATATGATATATACTTACACTACTATAAATAATTATAAATACTTCAGATTAGTTGTAAGTTAACGAGCTGATGAACCCTATTTTTTTTACAATGATAGTTTGGTTGAAATTAAAGAGAGAGAAAAAATCAAAAACAACAACAACAAAAAGTTTTATAGCTCAAAATTAAGCAGCTCTTGAAAAGTTTACCTTGTAATTAAGTTATAACCCCTACCTGGATTATTTTATTGATTATTTTTTACTTTGTGACCCGTTGCTTGTAAATGAAATTGATTGTCTGTCCCATTGTGTTCTTTGTAACGATTATTAACCATATAGAGAACTATGTTTTGCTTGTCAACTAGTTTAACTAATAAACTTGAAAGTTTGTAGCATATTACGTATATATACACAGAAAGCAATACCATTATGGCCTGAAAAAAAAACGCAGATACAGAATGGTACCGATAACTGGGAATGCAGAATGATCAAACCATACAATAGCATAGAACATAGAATACAGTCTTACTCTACATAACAAACGACGGGCCAGTTCCAGCGGAACGAAGATTCAAGATGCCCTAGCCATTAAGTAATTGTACATACTACACACACCCAAACACACACACACACACACACACACTATTCGCTTAATCATATTTATGTGAACGTACCACACACCCACTCCCCCCCCATTCGTGTACACATCAATCCGTTTGAAAGCTGAGAACATTATTCTATTAAGGACAACAGCCATAACTTCATTTACATTACTCGTATCTGAAATAATGCTTAATGCCTAGACTAAAGAGATTGTTAAATTATTGCCACTTCTACTGAAACCCAAACCTAAATCCTCGAAAGATCTGCAATAGCCTTTGTAATTTGAAAGCTCTAACTGTATTGATAAGCTCATTATTATGTTAATGTGCGTCATTTGTATTGTAACTAAAGAAAATCTGAGCTCGACTCAAGATATCTAGGAAGGGATAAGGCAAAGGCGCGCCGTAGGGATATAGCAAACCTATATGTGACATGAAATGTACTAAAACCGCTCTATTATGATCTAAACGAATCGAATCCCAATGCTGTGGCATTCGGTTTGGTCCAAGCAAGTCCACAATTGAGCTTGACTTTGCAGTAATGTAATTGTAACTTTTATTCATGTGACAACACAAAGGTATAAATATAACTAACTAATTATGAGCCTAAAAAACCTGTAATTGTAGAGAGTCGCAACGCTAGAAAATTATAAGATTTAAATGGAAGCGCATAAAAAAGTCGTATATTCATAGGAATACCTATAACTCTAGTAACCTTAATGCTACACAATATGATAATATATGGACTAATAAAAACCAACTATACTACGTGCACACATAAAAGCGTGCGGCAGCATAACTGTATAAACATCTAAAATTATTCCAAGTGATTTTAGCTTTTTAAGAACTAAGTTGAAACAAACCGATCAACACTCGTAGTGGAAAACACAAATAGCGAAAACAAATAACAAAAACAAATATGATTCCAATCAGCAAATCCGAGTCTGTGATTATTTTTATATTATTCTTATTATTATGCATAAAGTACTATACTACTATATAACAACTATCCATTACGGCCCACTCCCCTAACATAATTTGTTTACCCACCCACCCACTCTTCTTAATTTCTTATTTTGTACACCTCAAAGACCACGACTAAATCAAATCAAATCAAATAATAGAATTAAGTGCTAGATAAATCGGTTCGCAACCAGGCCAACAACACTCCATTCCGAGTCAGAAATTAGGGAGTCATTTATGTGTGATATAAAGTACTGTAAAATTGTCGGGGAAGAAGGGGGTGGAATGGAGTCGGGTTCGGTTGTGATCGACGACTATTTATGTATAAGTCCATTTCTCGGCACTAGATTAAACGCTGGGCCCACAATACAACACCTGACTTTCCTCGCATTTTCCCCAGCTTATTTTCAGTTCGATTCGTCAATACATTTTACCTATGTGTATAGTTAAGAACGACTAGCAGAAATGCAAACACTATTCGATGTTAGTTACGTATACCTAGAAAGTTACTCTCTATGTGTGCACGAACCTACCCGTAAATATTTATTATAATTTTAAGCATTTTGAACGATATCCTGTTTCTATACTACACGCCTAAAGATTTTTGTTTTGTTAGCCCTAGACGAATTGTTTGATTTTGTTATAGTTTGTAACATATATCCCCCATCCCTCTTCATGATCCTGTTTTTGTTACCCAGCCAAATTGACCTCATCCCATCCCAACACCCTCGCAATATCAGTTGTCCCAATAACCCAACACTAAGATTAACCTAAAAAATGTCAAAGAAACTTTTTTCGATGGCAACTGTACCCCCAGTGTTCCCCATCCCGCTCTTTCTCTGTCTCATCACCCCATCTCTTTTTCGCACGCGCTCTAATGCAAATGTCGCTCTGTCTCTGTCTTGCCCGTGCGTAGATGCAGAGCAGAGATAGACGATCTAGAGTGACGATGCAGATATTACCCTAATTGTAGTCATATATAAAAACCTATACCTAATTTTCTTTCAGCACTACTCTTTGTACAAATCGAAAGAAAAAATTGACAAAAAAGAACGTACAAAAAAATCAAATCAAATCAAATGAAACGAAACGAAACGAAAAGAATGAAAAAAGAAGTGAAATTACAGAAAATAGTTAGATTAGGCGAGGTGCCATTTCACGAGGGAAGCTCCGCGGGCAGCTCGCCAAAGAACTTTTGAAGAAGACTAAATAAACTGATATATACACGAATACATGATATATATGGCGACCCAGTCCTGTATATATTTGTATATGTATATTTTTTACAGCATTCAAATCCAAACTGTGTTTTTAATTGGGTTCTAAAGATCGGGGGTTTTAGAGACACTAAATGTTTTGAACCAAGTACCCTATGCATTGTCTCCCGCCTCGATTTATGCCTTGCCCAACCACACCTTGACTGGAGATTTATGGATATGTCATGCATCTGAGCAGCGCTCCTCAGCCCTCTTCTCTCAATTATTCATTGTTTCGCTTTAAATCGAATTGAATGGGAACTGGAACTCATCATTGGAGACATCTAGTTATTCACGAGACTCGTCTAATCAATTGGAGATGAATCACTTCGAGAGCCGATCGATTGAAGTTGCTGGACCTCTGGCATCCCATACTTTATTGTGCTAATTGCAGTGCAAGCTCTACAAAGTAGGCAATAGTACATTATTAGCTGAATTCAAAAAATGTTTTGTTGACAAACACGGTTTCAAGACTATTTGTTGTTTGTCATATTGGCAATCGCTTATTATTGCATCCAATTTCAAGGTAGGTAGTCTACATAGTTTAAGTTGGACAAGTCAACAAAATTTTAAGTTAGCTAAAAAAGTGTCAACAAAAGTGGTATAGTTTACTGATTAACTCACTTATGATAGGTATTATGCAAGTTTGATCTCCTGAAGGGCTTTCACTTCAAAAATGGTAATTAGCTGATCGTGTTTACATCAGTTGGTTTTTTATTTTTAAGATTAAAAATTGGAATATAATTGCAAAATAAAGAAACAGGATGAGAACGTTTTTCAAAGCCTAAAGTACTTGGAATACCAATAAAAATCCAAACCATTTTGGTCAACTTTGAAAATATTCCTAAAAAAAGTGAAAGTTTATTTGAACCTTTTATACCAATTTATTCTTATATTTCCTTTAAAACACAATATAAATCAGAATCAGCAATGTATACTTGATCATTTTCTTTCTGGTGCTCATATTTAATTTCCAAAAATGCTCTTTTATTGTTAATCTTTTCCTAAAAACAAACTAATATTGCTGAAAATCAAGCAATTTTATTGGGTCCAGGCTGCTATGTTATTTCGGATTAGTATAAACTATTTTCTCCCAAAATTCTATTGTGTCTTGGAGTCATGAACTAAGGCCAAGGCAGAAGCTCGGGGTTCGGATCCGTGATCCATGAGTGGTGGTCATCGGATCAGCGAGGGTTTTTGGCTCTGGGGGTTCGCACAATGCACATGGATAATCGTGCGAAGTATTCTTGGTCTTGGCTGATGGTAATATGCAATTATGCAAAGTGCAAGTTCAACGGAAAAGGCCATGGTTTCATTTCGTTTTGTTGTGCTTTGTTGGGTTTTTGTTGTCGCCTCCATTGTTTCCCTGGCTGAGATTTGTGGCTCTGCGGCGGATTAGCTTAGCCACCCACTGCACCACTGCACCACCCACTCCTCCCAGTTCCCATCATCAACATCATCATCATCCACATCGCAATCATAATTTTCAGCTTCATTTGCTCGGTTTGACGGTCGGTGGTGTATCTAACTTGCGGTTTTCGTTTCATTTGGTTCGTTTTAGTTTTTTCAGCTAAGCGGCCCGTTGTTCAATTATAATTAAATCTGTTTGTAAATATAATTGGTGGGCGTGCGACTGACTCGAATGATGCAAGATTGCTGTTTGGCTCCGAGCGTGATTCGCTTTTGCAAATTAGAACAACGAATAATGGCAACGCCCCGGCAAAATGTTTCTTGGCTGTCTAATCTTGCTTTCGGTTCTTCCCTTCGAAAGCACAGCAAACAAAAAGGGTTTATTTAACTAAATGAAAAAACCAACTATTTATTGTTACAAATAGTTTTAATAGTACAATATTTATCTGGAGAAAAAATACTTTTAAACCAAATTCGCAGGATCACATTTTTTATAATAGTAGCAGTGAACTACATAAAACATTTATAGCTTACAAACAAAACAATATTTCAATGTTTGAATTGCTGGTATATAAATCTCAAAAAATAACTTCCCAATAAATACATATTCCACTCAAACGATCACTTAAACATTTCCAACTTCTTCCTGGGGTTTGGTTTCTCTTACTTCTTAGCATCGCCTGTGGATTCACTCCTAAATAGTTTTCAAATAAATATTTTTCCCTGTGCCAGCGATTTCTTGATTGCATATTCGCCGCGTATGTGCGGTGCCTAAGAAATGGGTCTTTGGCTTTGGAGGCTACCACTTATGTACCGAGAGATTCACGGGCTGCTCGTGTAATGGGCTTTTAGGCCTCGGCATTAAAGAATCATTGTCTCAGTGGGGTAAAAAATCCCAGGCCATCGCCGCGGTACACCCATGGCCAAGTCGAGTCATCGCAGTGGTTGCCTTTGCTGCTGCTGTTGCTGTTGCTGTTGCTGTTGCCTTTGCATTTGGTGTGTTGCCTCAGAGCTTCCAGCCAGTTAGCACTTTTCACATGCCCGGTGGGCCGAACAATGTGGCCCCACTCATATGGATTTGGGGGCGGAATGACACCGAACAGCCACAACAGCATCGCCGCAATCGACGGCGGCAGCAACAGCAAAATCTATAGCATCGACAACTATTTTGACATATTTTGCAGGTTTCTATGGAAGAGTATCGCCTCCATTGGCAGTGAGTTCATATACGGTATGTACATATGTACACACATATATAGATGGGTCATTCGGCCGGCCAAGTGCTGGGTAAAATCGATTGTACTTTTCAATTGAGTAACCTTTTATGGGAATCTAGAGGTAGGTGCAAGAAAAAAACCCCTAATATCAAAAAATTTAAAATTTCGCACAAGAACCAATTAATTAAATTTTTCATCTATTGACACATCTTTGGTTCCATTAAAAATAAAAACAAGGTATATTTTAAATCGAACATGTCAATGCTTTGATGATATTTTGTATAATTTTGGATTTTAAACCAAAGAATCCATTTAATGTGCAGATCATAAGAATTGGTAATATCATATTATAATAAATGGTAATAAATATGTATATATTATTTATAAAGTATCTAACATTTTCAGTTACTTCAATTTCTTAAGGTTTACTCTATGTTTCCGCTTTTGTTAGGTTCGTAAAGTTCTCAATCTTCTTTCAAATTTATGACAGCAGTCATTCAACCCACCAAAGAGTTCGTTCCGAGCCGTTATGCTTTTGAAATATGTCACAGGTTGAAAGTGGAATTGCTCGGCTCTTGGCCAAAACCCGAACTCTCTAAGTGCACACCCTCTGGCAATTGACAATTGTGCCCTTTGTTGCCAAAATCAAACATTTAGATCCGCTTGGGTTTCTCTTTTAAGTGCTGAACTTCTGAGACTTCAGTTCGCGAAAAAATAAAGCCCGGAAAGTGAAAACCCAACCCGAGTTTACCTCACTCACGAAATGAGTCACGTATTAGCCTCAATATTTATCTATCTAAATCGTTCGACTGGACTCGGATGGTCGGTGTTTTTGTTTTTTAGTGTTGCTATTTTGCGTTTTATGTTGACCAATTACCTGTTCCAGGGTCAAGTTAATGATTCAATTAGCATTTGTCATCATTGTTATTGTTTCTCCTGTGCTGAGTGGTGTAATTGATCCCCAGATCGTGGGAATATTTATAATGATGTGTGATCAGGCACACGCCCTTCAAGGTTAATATATAGATCAATATGACGGGAGTGGTTCCTGTAAGTCAAATACATCCTTAATGCATTCTCACTTAAATTAAAATTAAAGGCATACACATTTTGTATTAGTTTATAGGAGCTCTAAGATCTTTGTATTATATCAAGTTCTTGGGGCGAAGGACACCTAATATGTTATACATATTTATATGCATCATCATTATATCATCATTTCAAAATGTATATAAAAGTTTAATTAAAATTTCAAACTTAATTAAAAATACAACAAAATCGAGCCTACGAATACAGGAAATGCTTCTAATATGTCCTTTGAGATATAATCGTAAATGAATCATGATTAGAAACAACACATTTACATTTTACCTATTTATTTAATTGGTTTAAACTGTTAACAGTTCCTAAGTTAGCAATAAATCGCTTCCTTTCAATCAAGTTCTTTTATTATGCAGCATTCCCTGTGATTGATCCAAGAGCCTTAACCATATAATTTGGCCAGTGGCTCGTGGCATGCGTCATAAATGTCAGCGCAGAATATAACTAACATATGAGTGGGGATTGATGCAGCAGCAGCAGCAACTTGAGCCACCGGGCTCCAACTTCGCTGGGCTCTCTCGCTGGGATTGGGATCGCTCCATCGCCGGTGAGTATAAAAGCGAGTGCTGTGCCGGCAGTGGAATCATTAGACAAGTGTCGAGCGGCGCGTGCGCAACAGAGTTTTCGAGGAGCAGCAAGCCACCAGCAAGCAGTGAACACCACACCACAAACAGGCAGCCACAACATGAAGTGCTTTGTAAGGACTCGCCGAAGGATCTCTCTCGGATTATCTTCTCCTAACTCATTCAGTTAACATTCTAGGAAATCGTTTCATAGAGTGCTACACAAAATTAAATTTCGAAACTGTGTATTGCAATTTAATCATCAAGTGTTCACTTTCGTATCTTTTTCTAAACAAGCTCACGTGTTTCTTAATTTTTTTTCCAAGTTGTATTTTTTTTGGTCAAATCAAGTGCAAAATATGAACTAAAAAGTTGAATACTTAAGTTGGTTGATTCAAATCAGTTCTTCTTTCTGTACAAATATTACGTTTAGTGAATATCATTTGGACAAACTTAAAAGATAATTTTAAAAAGCAAAAAGTTTAAAATACTCTAATAATTAATTTTTCTTTTAATCTTGAAAAAAATAAGCAAGTTGTCTTTAGAATATTTTTAAAATCCTACCACATATAAATAGGATTGGAAACCCATAAATAGCATAGTCATTCTCCTCTATTCAACATTTAAGTAACTTTTTCTCCTGCACAGTTGATCCTGATAGCGACCAGCCTGGTGCTGAGTGCCCGGGCCCAGGATGCGGCGGACTCTGACCTGGTTCAGGTGGCTCCGGCATCGGCGCCGGCAGCGGTGGCAGTGGAGGACCAGGTGAGCGCCGCCAGCAGCTATGCGCCGCTGGAGGACAAGAAGCAGGAGAAGCGCTATGTTGGTGGATACGGTGGCTATGGAGCAGGCGGATACGGCGGATACGGAGGCTATGGAGCAGGATACGGCGGCTACGGGGGCTACGGATCCGGACTGGCAGCGGGTTACGGCGGAGCCTACGGCAGCGGAATCGGAGTGGACAGCTACTACAATCCCTATGGATCGCGGGCGTTGGGAGGATTAGGTGAGGGTGAGAGCGTGGAATAGAATCTCGTAGAGAGAGCCCTCGGGCCAGGGGAACTCCTACTGACCTCCGCTGTTTACCTCCCCAGATGGCGCAGCAGTTGCTGGATACGGTGGCTATGGATCCGCTCTCGGTGGCTACGGATCCGCCTTGGGTGGCTACGGATCGGGATTGGGCGGCTACGCCGGCTCCTACAACTCGAATCCCTACGCCTTATCCTACTACAACAGCAGATTGGGAGCAGGGGCAGGCACTGGCTACCCGTACTACAACACCCGCTTCGGAGCGGGGGCTATCCATCGAGCTACTACACAAGTAACTACGGCAACAGCGTGGTGGGCGGAGGATTGGGCGCCCTCGGAGGAGTGCCGCCCATTGGATCCGGGTACAACTACGGTTCCGGCATCTCGGGAACCGTCTACTAGGCGGAGCTGCGGGAGCAGCCGTCTAGCAAAGCCCAACGTTCAAGATCTAAGCTAGTGGAATTTATTTTTTTTCTTCGATATTTTTTTCTAACTTTATTTTTATTAAAAGATGCTATAAAAAAAAACGTAATAAAAATCGTAATTTATTTAAGTAGAACGGATTGACTAACGCACTATTGGGACGGAGGCGTTGGGTAGGAGCCGTGCGAGTCCTTGATCACCCAGAAGGAGTCCACGATGGCGCCGTCCTGGTCGTCGGACACCTGCTCGAAGTGCAGATGGGTGCCGTTGTGCGCCTTCAGGCGGGTGTACCCGTAATCCTAAAAAGATTGCAGGTATTTCAATGAATAATAAATTAGATGGAACATTTCCTAAAACATTTGTTAATCATTCAAAATTGGTTTAAACAATTCATAACGAAATGCTTAACATTTGAAATTAAGTTTGCTATACTTTTATTCTTATTGGAGAGCAATGATACATTTATTTCTTGAAGAGGTTTCTTATGATGGAATAACAGAGAACTGATTTAAATAACGCCAGTCTAGTCATTCTGAAAACCTACGAAATTAAACATAGAATGTTCGCTTTCAGAGTTTCATAATAACTTTCCTATAAACAGAAAAGACATTTTTAAAAAACTAAGGAGCTGTAGGTCATACGAGATCATGTCGGTTCATTTAAACTTAACTCTTATTAAGCATTTTACACTATTTTTAAGATATGTAGCTCGTTACTCTAAATTGTTATAGAACAAAAGAATTGGTTAATTGGCTTGACCTTCTACTATGACTACTTTGCTTTCTTTAATCGGCTTAACCACCAATGCAAGTTAAGTTATCCCTATGACAGTAAATGGACTTACGTTGCTGTGGTAGGCGTTCCACGATGGAAGTGCGTGCGAGAAGGGCTCCCGCTGCTCGCTGCAGCCGGCGGAACCGGTGATGATCTGGATGGGCGCCTTGGGATTGGTGTACGGCGCCTCGGCACTTCCGTTGTACACCTTGTAGTTGTAGATCGGCCAGAGGCGCGTGTAGAAGTGCTCATGGGCGAAGATCTCCACATCGACGCCGTGCTTGAAGAAGAGATCCTCCAGGCCGAACCACTTGAGCATGGGCAAGCCTTGGCGGATGTACGTCTCCAGCTGCTCGTTGCAGTCGTACTCCTTGTCGTCGCTGCAGTACATCGGCCGATGGCCGTAGGTGATGATCCAGGGTCGCTTGGCGCGGTTCTCGGGCAGATTGGCCTCGGCCAAGTCCCGCTCCAGCCACTCGAACTGCTTGGTCAGCAGCTTGAACCCGTAGCCGAGGAAGTAGTACACCTCCGTGGAGAAGGAGACGAAGTGCACGGGTCCCAGATTGAAGCTGTACCACAAGCTGTCCGTATCGCCAGGCATGTTGAAACGGGCGCGATAGTTGGAGAAGTTGCTACGGAGGAAATAAAGGCGAATGAGCTTTGGTTTCGCTTCTCAGGAATTCCAGGTACTCACTACTTCTCCTCGTGGTTGCCCGGACAGACCATGTAGGGCACGTAGGCGGCCACCGACTCGATTTGCCGCATGAAGGCATCGCCCACCGCCGCGTTCGAGGTGTCCATGTCGTAGGCAAAGTCGCCCACATGGATAATCGCATCGTACATGCCGCGCTCCGTGTCCTGCTGCAACCGACCCATCGACTGGGCATTCTCGTTGCCCATGTCCCCGAAAATGGCCAAGGAAGGCGACCACTTCTCGCCCGCCGGCGGCGTCTTAAAGCTGAACACCGAGGACCAACCGAGTGGACTGCCGCAGGAGTACTCGTACCGGGTTTCCGGTTCCAGGTCCTTCAGCTCCACGTTGTGGATGAACTGGGTGCGGGCCTTCTTGCCGCCGTCCACGAATCGCTGCCAGGTGCCGTTCACCGAGGTCAGCTTGTCGGTCAGGTAGTTCCTTGCGAAGTTCACCACCGAGGCATTCGGAGAGCCCCGCGTCGACCAGGTCACCACAATGTCACGGAGGTTGTCTGCAAGGAAAGTGAGGAGTTGGAAATTTAGCCAAGTGTTTGCGAGTGTCTCTTAAAATACTAAAGCTAAAGAGGATTCATAGGACACCCCTGAGATTAGGGGTTATAATACCTTCATTGCTTTTGTGAAGTATGTATACGCTTTGAGTTTTCATGCAAACCAATCAAATAAAAGGAACTGTCTTGAATTTTGTTTTGGTGAAACACTTTAAAGTGAAAATTAAATCCAGCTGGACTAAGAGTTTCTTGATTGAGCGAACAAACTTTAAATGGATTATCATATCTATAAATATAAATTCACATATTAAATATCTTTTAAACTATAAATGATATTAAATGCTGTTACGCATAACTATGCTCAAATGTAGAAATTTAAACCTGGCAAACTAAGAGTATTACCGCCAATAAATATATATATAAATAGGCATATATTCATCTCTAACTTACTAGAATATTTAACTTAAAATGGTTAAACGTTTTCATATTCATCTTTACTCATCGTTGGTTTATTTGCTTTCTGTGGTTGTATACTGCGTTAACATTTTGTATAAACTTAATATGTACGTATTTATGTATTGTAAAAGATAAAAAGATTCCGATGAATACTTGAGATACAGAACGGTGGAATGAGAGAGCCGTATTGCCAAGTTGTGCCCGATTTAAAATACGCTGTGGTAGATATCACAAGGCTCTCATTAGAGATCGGAGTGGGAAACGGGATCGTACGGTCCGTGCTTGTCCTTGATCACCCAGAAGCGATCAATGACTTCGCCCTTCTTGTCGTCCGACACCTGCTCGAAGTACAGATGGGTGCGGTTGTGGGCCTTCAGCCGCAGATACCCGAAGTCCTGGCTGTGGAAGGCGCTCCACGGCGGCATCCGCTTGAAGAACGGCTCCCTGCCCTCGTGGTTGCCGGCTGCTCCCGAAATTATGTGGATCGGGGCACCGGGATTTCGGTAAGGCTCTGCCAGAGATCCATTGTACACAGTGTAGTTGTACATCGGCCACATCCGCTCGTAGCAGTGCTCGTGGGCCCACAGCTCCACGTCCACGCCGTACTGATAGAATAGAGGCTCCAGCCCGAAAAAGTCCAGCATGGGCAGTCCCTTCCGCACGATGGTCTCGTGGTTGGCGCAGTCGTCTCCGTTGTCGTTGCTGCAGTACATCGGTCGGTGGCCGTAGGTGATGATCCACGGACGCTTTCGTCGGTTCTCCGGCTTGTTAGCCTCGATCAAATCCCGCTCCAGCCAGTCGTACTGCATCACGATCTGCTTGATCCCGAACTTCGTGAAGTAGTAGACCTCCGTGCTGAAGCCGATGAAGTGCACCGGTCCCAGGTCGAAGCTGTAGAACATGTTCTGCGATCCGCCCGGCATGCTAAAGCGGTTGATGTAGTGCGAGAAGTTGCTGTGGGGTCAAAGGGGAAAGTCCTAAAATTAGCCAGGCTAGCCTTCACAAAAAAATGCTATCATCTCATCACAAAACCTCCACTCCTTTCACTAAAAAATATTTTGCTTTAAATTTATCTGATCCGATTACAAAACATTTTTTAGTTATCCCTATGAACTGTTAAGGCCCATAATGACCTACAAAATATAAGAAATTAAAAGCTAATTTATCAATAGAAAGAGATCTGTTGATAAATACTGATTTTAAATAGAATGCAAATAATATTAAGGCAGCTTAAATTATTTTAGAGGATTTAAATAGTAAGTAGTAAGATCTGGATCAGGCAATTTTAAAAAATAGATTTTTGTCTAATTAAATGAAATGAAAGATTGTGTATTGAAGTGATGTTGCATGAAACGACAACATGGCGTTCAAGAAATGGCGCCCAACGTGTTGCATTTAGTCCTTGTATTCCGAAGACCACTTACTACTTCTCCTCGTGATTGCCAACGCAGACCATGTAGGGCACATACGCGGCTATGGTTTCCACCTGGCGCATGAACTCGTCGCCCACCTCCCCGTTCTCCCAGTCCATGTCGTAGGCAAAGTCGCCCACGTGGAGGATGGCATCGTACTGGCCACCCTGCGTCTCCCGCTGCAGCGCTGGCAGGGAGGCGGCATTGACCACGCCCATGTCCCCGTAGATGGCCAACGAGGGCGACCAGTCGCTGTGCTCGAATTTGGTTTGGAACCAGTAGGTCGCCGACCAGCCCAACTCACTGCCGCAGTGGTAGAGGTACGTGGTGTTGGGCTTCAGTTTCGACAGAGTCACCTGCGATCGGATAAGTTCAAGGTGGATGTTGCAAAGGCTGATTGTGTTCAAAGAAGAGCCCTTCATTAAAAAGTGTCTTTGTATTACTGTGTGTCTAATTGCCTTGAACTTACATAGGCTAGCGTATTGCCAAAATATCTTGTAAAGGTCATAATTAAGTAAATAAATTCTTGGACATCTGTGGTAAAAATTTAAGATTAAAAGGTATAATTTATATTATAAAGTTAATGGATTCGTTAAAATACTTTTTCGCGCGTTTTCTCAATTTATTCAATCTAATGATTCAAGTGACTGGGTTAAAATAATACTTTGTGTGGTTTAGTTAAACTTGCAAATATAGGAAATGACTTCAGCCTGTTAAGATTAAGATTAAGATTTACTTTTCGAAGGTTCTCGAGGCTTGGAATCATTTAGTTTTGATGTGTAAGACTTCTTCAATCGGGGCTCTTTTTGCGGAGTTACTCACGCGATGGATGTACTGGGTGGCTTTTTTGGGTCCACCGTCCACGAATTTCGTGGGCATCTGTGCCGCCTTCGTCCTTTGCTGCAGTCCATCGATGCCGTACTCGCAGATTGATTCGTTGGTGTTGTCGCGCGTATTCCAGGTGACGACAATGTCGAGCACGGACTCTGCAGGAGCACACTGATTAACTTGGAGTTTAGCACCTCGGATGCCACGTATATACAAAGCAGTGAATTTAATCCGCAATTAACCAGCATATAACTCAATTGTTGTAACTGCTGGCTCTACTTAATTAATATAGGCATATACCCCTATAAAGGTCGAGAAATTGTAGACAGCATTTACTTTCCTACTCCTCAGAAGTTGAAAAACTCTCGCCCGCACAATAAAACTAATTAATAATGCAAGCCATTTATTGTGAAGATTTTAGTTATATTTAAACAACAACCAATATAGTCGGATTGCCTTGACTATTTAAACACCCGGTACTCGTATTTCCTTTTTATAGGATCATATTAATTCGGGGGAAAAAATAATGTGGATGTTTAAAAAAGGAAATAAAAAATATAACTATATACATACACATTTATGAAGTTAGAAATAGGTCTTCGGGATAAATCAAATGAATTAACCTAAGCGACAATAATAAGGTACACTTTAAAATCTAATATAAAGCAAATGTGATTTCTGAGATACATACATAGGTGTGGATAAGTAAAAGTAGGTATTAAATTGTCTAGCATAGTCGCCAGTTAAGTATACCAAAAACTTTGTGTGAGAAACCGATACTGTTTATCACCAAAGTAAAAGCAGTAAAGTTATACCTGATACTGGTAATATGTAAACCTTAAAAGTCTTCTTATTTAACGAGCAAATCACGAGTACCAGTTGTCGAACATGAAGGTACACACGAAACAGATACAAAACTATGAACAGACTCGAGATACCTCGTGCCAGTTTCGTTTGAGGGCTTCATGTTAAATGCACATAAAAGCGCTTGCGAATGTGTAAATGCGTAGTTTGTAAAATTGGCTAAGTAAAAAACTGTAGTGTGTTCCGGGGTTTCTTCTGGGGTTGAGATATCTGGGTGTAAGGAATGTGCCACGCTAGTTGCGATGGTTTGTGATCGAATCAGGTCGAGTAGAGTGTGCGCTTCTAATACTGCCAGTTGCTAATAATGCGTGCGATGCCTCTGGAGACTCCTTTAGCTATGATTGGTTTGGTTCAGGTCAGGTCAACAGTTCAGTTTCTTGTTAGTCCCGGTAGCTGCCGTGCTTGGACTTGACCAGCCAGAAGTCATCGATGATGGCCCCGTTCTTGTCATCCGAAACCTGCTCGAAGTGCAGGTGAGTGCGATTGTGCGCCCTTAAGCGTGTGTACCCGTAATCCTGGCTGTGGAAGGCACTCCACTCGGGTATCTTGCCCTTGAACGGCTCCCTGCCCTCCTTGCAGCCGGCGGATCCGGTGACGATGTGCACCGGGGCGCGGGGATCCTCGTACGGCGAGTCCTTCAGCGTCCCGTTGCGCACCTCGTAGTCGTAGATGGGCCACAGTCGCTCGTACGAGTGCTCGTGCGCCCAGATGGCCACGTCCACGCCGAACTCGTACAGCAGCGGCTCCAGTCCGAACATGTGGACGAAGGGCCAGCCCACCCGGGTGAGCGTCTCCGAGTGGGTGCAATCGTTGTCGTTCTCGTTGCTGCAGTACATCGGCCGATGGCCGTAGAGGATGATCCAGGGACGGCGTTCCCGATTCTCCGGCAGATTGGCTTTGGCCAGATCCGCGCGCAGCCACTCGAATTGGAAGACCAGCGGCTTCAAGCCGTAGTTGAGGAAGTAGTAGACCTCCGTGCTGATTCCCACGAAGTGAACTGGTCCCAGGTCGAAGCTGTAGAACAGATTCTCCGTGCCACCCGGCATGCTGAAGCGGGCGCGGTAGTTTGAGAAGTTGCTGCAACCAACACGAACGATTAGATCCTGCTGAGGCCTGGGATGGCACTTTCCACTCACAACTTCTCCTCGTGGTTGCCGGGCACCACCATGTAGGGCAGGTAGGCGGCCACCGTCTCGATCTGCCGCATGAACTCGTCGCCAACGCGCGCGTTGTTCGAGTTCATGTCGTAGGCAAAGTCGCCCACGTGGATGATGGCGTCGTACATGCCGCGCTGCGTCTCCTGCTGCAATCGGGCCAGGGACTGGGCGTTCTCGTTGCCCATGTCCCCGTAGATGGCCAGCGATGGCGACCAGTCCACGGAGTCGGACGGCACCGTACGGAACTGGAAGATCGCCGACCATCCGAAGTCACTGCCGCAGTGGTAGGCATAAGTAGTGTTTGGCTTCAGATCGCTGAGCGTCACCTGAGCGGGGAAAACCATGAGTTCATCTCTCTGATCTCTCCGAAACCAATTTTCGGATGGGCTGGTTCTATAGCAAAGGAGGGGAATGCAATCCCTCGATTTCACAAGCAATATTTGTCTGTCACTATTTTTCTATCTAACTCTCAAAAAAAAGGCTTGACTGGGTCTTCGATTTAAGTAATCTCTTACTTATTAAAGTAGGTTGCATGAAAGATTAATCTGATCTATTAACAACAATAACAATTATTTTAAATATACTCTTTAACCTCTAGATTAAAAAGCAATATACCTCGACTATTAAATTTGGTCCCTTGAGCCGGATATATTGCTTGAAATCGTAGGCAGATTACGTTCCCGCCACTTCCCTATGAACCAACCCACCTAAACCGGCCGAGTTCTTTGGCATACCCTGTGGATGAACTGCGAGGCCTGCTTGTGGCCGCCGTCCACGAACTTGGTGGCGATTCCCCGGGACTGTTGGTTGAGGTTGGCCTGTCCGGCCACCAGTTGGCCGAACTCCACCACGCTGGCCGCGCCCACTTCCGGATCCGGCGGCAGGCTGCGGGTGGACCAAGTGACGACTATCTCGCTATCGGTGCGTTCTGGTCCAGAGCAAAGCGGATATCGGGTAACCGGGGAGCGAAAAAAAAGAGAAACAAACTTGAGCAATTTCGTTGGACCAAAGTCGGTGCGGATCAAATAAAAAGAATAAACAAACAAGCAAACCCTTATCCCGGTTTAAATTCAAAGGAAATTTGTCATACAAAAAACAAAACAAATTTTTATAAAAAGAAAAATAAAATGTACTGTTCAATGAAAACCAGTTGTAGTTTGTTAAAGATTCTATCATTAGTTACCATATTTCGTATGTACAAATGTTTTATTTATTTATTGAAAACTTAAGTTCATTATTATTGGTTCTGCCAATTTGGATTCGGATCTGTAACCGGAACAGGGCCGTGGAATCATTCAAGACCAAATGTTATTGTCGGTTAATCTATTATTTTGCTCTGCTGTGACGCTCTTTTGCTTTTGTTTCCTTATCGCTCCCCCGGCAGAAACTAGAACACAAAGCACGAGTGTTCGGATGACGATCGCACTTATCGGCAATGCAGGCCCCACAGGGAGCCAAAGTCTATGACTCGGTTCTGTTTCTGGTTCTGGTTTTTGTATTGCCTGCTCTTCCGAATGCATTTCAGGGTTTGGAGATTTGCCATGTTCTACGTTATCGAGCAAAGCTGCACCAGATAAGGCCGATTAACTCGCGATTTTTGGGGGAGTCACCTGATTACGACTTGGATGGCAGAGTGTTTACGTTCTAAATCACTTTTAACTTTCTGCCAATTTTAACAATGCACGGCGAATAAGTTTTCGATTCAACGCGGCCGTATTTATAACGTTAAACATAAATACCTTAATTTAGAATTAGCTTTATAATTGCACAGGTTCAAAAATTTGGGAGTATCAAAGTTAATTAACACCTGTATTAGAACATATCGTTTTTTCTCTTTAAAACATAACACTGTCATGTTAATCAAAAAAGTATAGTTTTTACTCATAATGACCATTTGTAAAATTTATGATAAAAAGTTACCAATCAGAACTTGCCTGATTAAAACAACTGAAGATCTTATGCTATAATTTTTTAAATATATCTAAACTAAACTTAATACCTAAAACTTGAACATAAATTTATCAACACATCCAAAAACCAAAGGCCCCTTTGAATATTAACAAATTCTGGTGACTGTTTAAATTTGTTATGTATATTACGAAATTAGAAATGCTGATAGGTTTCAATAAATATTTGCTTAGTATTTTAAATCCCTTATTTGACAACGTTTACACTTTTAGTGGTGAACAGTTTATAAACAAATGTCTTTCAGTAGAAAATATAAGCTTTATTGGCATTGTATTGGCAGGCGTTGAAATGAATTCTAGTTGTTTGTCCCTAAATTGTAAATACGAGTTTTTGTTTATCATTTAATAAACAATTCAACAAATGCCTTTTGCACCTTGTAATGTCAAATTGTATAAATCGTTAAGGTATTTTTTGTCTCAAAATTTAAATATATTATATGTCTTAAATCACATGGTTAAAAAGACAGATTTTCTTGTAGAAGAAAAAAAAAAAATGTTTTAAGAAACCAAAACTCTAACGTTTAAAAATGTTAGTTACCAGACTTATTTTCGGTAAATACATTTGCATTCACCCTTTTTAATGAGCCAAAAATAAACATTATATAGTAATTTATATAGTAAATCTGGGCGGTATCGAGGGGAAATTCTGATATCATTTGGTAAAAGCCCTGGGGACTGAATTGAGCACTTTACGATAGTCGGCTTTCAAAGGCAGTGCTCTGAAATTAATCTTAACCGGCTTTTTCACAAAGCAAAATGAATTTTATAACGGATTTCATTGTTTTCAAATTAAATTCTTAGCAGATCAGGACAGTGTTTCAAGAAACATTGTTATTAAACATTTAAAAGTCTCGGGTAGCGTGTCATCAGAGCATTATCTTGTTTGAACAAATGCAATATTTATCAGTATTCAATAATGTTAGGTCATGTCATCGTGAAATAGTTTTATATTCTCGTACACTTAAAGGTACGGAAGTAAAGTATCAAAATACATACTAATATTATTATTTATGAAAAAATATAAAACAAATGGTGTTGACGTATAATATTGAATGTGTATGAGTAATGTTTTTTAATGTTCTAACCATGAAATTGATTCGTCTCGTTTCGAAAACTGTTAGGATTTTCCTAATCAATTTTTTTGAACATACATTTTTTGCAGTGTAAAGAACGGGTCGTATGATATGGAAAACGTAAACAATAACATTGCGGTCCTATTTTGTTCTCCGTGTAGAACACACGATTGCAACTGTGCAGGTGAGTAATTTACATAATGCCAAATTCGAAGCACTCACCTCCGAAGGCCAGGTGCACTTGCTCCGGCTGAAAGTGGACAATGTTGAGCTCCTCGGCGGACACCTGTGTGTGTCCCAGAATCAGGAGAAGCAGCGACGCCAGCAGAGGAAAGTGCGGGCGCTGCATTCTGACGGTTGTTTACTGCTTTTTCGATCGGTTAAAACACGGCTGTCAGCAGTATTAACATTGCCAAATCACAACTGCGTCGTTGCTGCTAGTCGTTCACTTTGCTGATTGAATCGATGGGGAATTGCAGTGGATTGCTGGAAAACGACAAATTTGCTTGCGGGAACAACAAAAAATGAGCACTGTAATGGAAATATCCAGCAATTTATAGGGCAGCACACAACAACAATGCGTAAGCAGTGTGACCTTGGCTGGGGAACTGCAATAAGCTAAAGTATCGATTGTCCGCTAGCCGCGCCTATCGATAGATTGTGGTGAGTGGGCGCGCGGTTTGAATTCGTTCCTTATCTTTTTAGAACAAGTGGAGAAAATTTAAAACTGAATAACTTGTGACTGGCAAATTTTTCAGCGTTCGAGTTGATTTTGTTAGTCAAAAATAAATACATATTGGAGTTATTCCCGATTGCAACTTTGACAACTTTGAAAGCCATACAAAGTTCTTGATCTCATAAGAATACTTTAAAAATAATTTCTATTTCGAATGTAAAAGGCAATTTATATTTTTGCAGATAATCTTTATTAAATAACAGCATGGAAAATGTTTGGCGAATGAAGACACCCTAAGAGATAAATGAAAATACACACGAATCGAGATCCTTTTTAGGTCCCAATTGAATGCTGGAAAATGTATGGATCGCTTTGTTCATATAAGCCCCTTCTTAGCAATATACAAAAAGAATATATATATATATATAGATAAGGATACAGATACAGATACAGATACAGGTATAAATAGAGGATAACAATAGAGAGAGATGGTTTTAAAAATACATAACACTAGGATAACTGGATATGTGTAAATAGGTTACATTTACGGGTAACATTAGCATAACAACTAAGGACTTTTGGCAGCCTTATCGACTATGTGGGATGGATGCAAACAGCGGATGCAGCAATCCCGTGACATGGACATAGTTGGCAACACAACTTAACAATAACGGATTACGGATTACGGATTACGGATAACTGATAACGGACTACAACCTCTCACTGGATCCACCGGCGGAACTCGATCCTCCGCCGGCACTCGATTCCGGCGCCTTGGTGGGCATGCTGCTCTTGCGCTGCGCCTGCGAGATCTGCACGATCCTCGAGAGCGGCGAGTGGGTGCTGCTCGTGCTCGGTCTCGTTCCGGCGGGCAGCGGCAGCAGTCGCTGGGCGGACGTTCCGCCGGACTCAGACTCGGCGGCCACCGCTGGCAAGGCACTTCCGCCGGGCGGCGAGGTGGGCGACAGCTCCCGGGCGAGCGGCGAGGGACGCAGCGAGAGGCGTCGCTGGAGCGCCGACTGCGAGGAGGACTCCGACAAGTTGGCACCCGGCGGCGGCGCCTGTCCCGGCGGAATCTGCAGAGCGGTCGGCCTCACGCTGAAGCGCCGACGGAACTTGCCCTGCTGGCCACCAGTGGCATTCGCCGGAACGGCTGCGGATCCTCCGGCGGCCAGCTGGCTCTGACTTCCGGCTCGCTCGGTGTAGCTGGGCGGTGGCTCCAGCAGGGATCTGGCTGCTCCGCCGGTGGGCGAGATGCCCACAATGGTGGACCGACGGGCGTACAACCGATTGGCGGCCGCCGCCTGCAGACTCCTCGTCTGATCGCCGGCGAAGAGCGAGAGGATCGGCGGCAGCTGCGGCGGATCCAGACCCGCGTTGCCCATCTTCCTCTGCTTGCGACTGCCCTTGGACGCTCTTCCTCCGGCGGCGCCTCCTGCCTCTCCATTGGCCGCCGCCGCCGCCGCCGCCTGCGTTTGTTCATCCAGCACCGCGTGGGTGTGCACCACCTCCAGGGCGCGAATCAGATCCGCGATGGTCGTCTGCTCCAGCACGTTCATGTCCTTGTCGGAGGTCACCGAGAAGATGCTGCTGCGGCGCGGCGCCGAGCTCATTGCATTGGGCGAAGCGATGGCCGGGAAGAGGCTGCCCCGCCGGGCGGCCACCGCGGCCATGGCCGCCGATCCGGAACCGCTGGTCGCCAGGCTGCCGCGGCGCATCTGCATCTGGGCCAGGGCGTGGGCCGTGGGCGGATACATGCTACCCCGGCGAGCGGACGGCGCCGGATTCTGCGTGTAGATGCTCTCGCGTCGGCGCTTTCCTCCGCCCAACTTGCGCTGGTAGGCTCCGCTGCTCAGAGCCGAAGGCGGAGTGGCGCCGTCCTCCAGCTGGAAGCCCAGGTTGGTCAGGCCACCGCCACCGCCGCTGGCCAGGCTGCCGTTCGACTCGAAGGGCGGCGGCGGCGGACCGCGTCCGTTGCGCATGTAGAACTGGCTGGAGGCCGCCGTCACCGTGTTGCTGTAGTAGTCCATTGGGGAGCGCGCCTGTTGCGAGATGACGCCCTCGGGCACCGACACCACCGACAACTTGCGCTCCAGATCCTGCGACGGCCGCTTCCGCTGGAAGGGGAACAGGCGACGCAGCCCGTCCGGCATCGAGAACTTCTTGACGCGACCAGCTCCCGCCGGCGATGGCTTCTTCAGCTGCTCGTCGAGAGCATCCGGCTCCAGGTGGACCATGGGAGCCGCACCGGCTCCGTTCGGCCGCTGCTGGCCCTTGTAGCGCTGGTTGAAGGCCTCCTGGATCTGCTGGTTGTCCCCGCTCCAGGTCCACTCGTTGTGCCCGGAGCGCAGTGGCCGCTCGCTCTGCCAGCGCGGCGCCTCCAGGTTGAAATCGGAGCTGGCCCGCGCCCGCGGACGCCGCGGCGTGGTGAACTCGTTCACCGTCGAGAAGGACCACTCGCTGGCCAGGATCTGCGAGTCGGAGAAGCCGTGGTAGCCGCCGTACAGCGCGGCGTCCTCCTGCTCCGACGCCGGCGGTGGCTTCACCGTGGCCAGGGCACTGACCACCTTGGCCAGCAGGTCGGTCGTCTGGCGGTACGCCTCCGCCGTCTCGAACGTCTTCTCGCGGTCCAGCTTGCTCAGCTCCGTGTCCGAGCTGGCGTGCACCATGCCGGCCTCCCGTTGGGCGGCGGCCAGGTCGGCGCACACGGAGAAGGCCCGCTTCCTGCTGGGAATGGGAGCGGGCTCCGCACGGTACATGCTCAGATCCGGACAGGAGTTGGAGCGCGGCAAGGTGTAGGCGATATCTATGTCGGTGTAAACAGGCTAAGGGGGTTAATTCAATACAGGAAATATATAAATATATTTTGTAGTTTCAAAACAAAGGTAATTTAGATGCGGAATCAGATCCGAATTATCCAATTTAAAATTGGATAAAAACCCCAAGAAAGAGTCCCATTTTGAGTCGCATTCAAAGTCGGAGGTGTAGATTGGTGGTTGGTGTTGAACATGTAAATGGAAAAGAATTGAAATAGGTGTTTTAGCTTCTGTTTTGGAGTAGCAGTAGCTGTTGCAAACTCTGTCGGGTTGATCTGGGCTAGCACTGTCCTTATAAATGGGAAGTAATTCCTCTGAGAGTTACTTACTTCTGCTGCTCTTCTTTTTCTGCTGAGCCTTAGTCTTATCTTTCGGCTTCTTTCTATTTCCCTTTCGACAAAACTAGAACGGAGAACAGCGGCGTTTTGAGATTCTGGGTGAGCTTAAGAATACTGGCTAACAGGAATTCCGCTTAGTCAGACAGGCACAGACGTAGGTTAAACACTTGCAGAATCAGTGCATTAAGACCGCTCTTTTCTTTATAGTAAGTGCTGAGTAGGTTTCCACCTACATTTGAATATCCATGAGTTCGGAAAAGCGGGTAAAAGTTAAGTTATCCCTCTTATGGTACAACTAAGAACATTTGGTACAAGGTGCATAGTCACATTGAATGTTATCATAATTTGGATTAATTTATTAAGTATTTTTCCTCCAGTTAGATCAAATATGTATGCCTTGAACTGTATATGATGTTATTCATTTATCAATTTAATATAATTATGTTTATTTGTATAAGTACCAAATAAATTTTTATAGAATTCCCTGTTTTAAATTGTTAGAAATGTAAATTGAATATAATAAGTTACTTTTCTTATAAATGATGGATTAAGATTTAAATAAATAAATTCCCAATATGTTAACAATGATCTTTAATAAAAAAAAGAGTGATCCCAAAAATGTTATTTTGAATTTCTGATGATATTAGTAAATTTAAGATTTAAGTTAAACCTAAGGGGTTTACTGCTGTTCGTTAAATGATTATCCCCAGGTAATTTTAGTTCATTTAGATGCTTCAGCTTAAGTTTTATTGTGCTATCCCATCTGTAACAGATTCGAGACTTGTAAACACTGAGTGCTAGCCCCATCGTTAGTTGCCCGAGGATGATGAGAGTGGTCGGCGGTTACCTTCACTTTGAGGATGTAGAGCTCGTTGAGCATTCGCCTCAGGTAGCCAACATCCTTGGTGACTCCCGTCCAGATGCGGTTCTGAGTGGCCTTCAGGTTGGAGGACAGCTGCTGCTCCAGATAGGCCAACTTCTTGCTCTGCAGTCCCCTGTTCATGCCGCATGCCCGATGTAAAATGGTTGTTGTGGTTGTGTGTGGTTTATGGAACCGGAGATATAGAGGATACAAAGGGGTTAGCTCATGCAAACGGAACGAAACAACATGCGATGGACTTGAATGCACCCCACTGCTTACCGGGTGATGAAGGTCATGATCATGACCAGGTAGCCCAACGAGAAGATGAACCACACGATCACAAAGATCTGGTAGACCACGAACCAGCCTCCAAACTCCTTTGGCTAAGTGGGAAATCAGGATTTAATGGCATGTATAACAATGATGTAGCTACAGGCTCACCTGGTTGGCTCCAAAGGTGGGCACATAGTCGCCAAACCCAATCGTGGTCGTGGTCACGTAGCTGTAGTACAGCGAGATGGAGTACGGCCAGTCCTCGAAGTAGGTGAACACCCACGAGGGAAGCAGCAGGAACAGAGCGATTCCGGGAATCAGGGCAATCACCACCGTGGTAATCAGTCCCAGTTGCGGCGGAACATAGTGCATATCCGTCGACATCTTGTACTTCTTGTATCGCCTGTAAATCGCTTCAAACTGGAAAGAAATATGATATTACAAAAGGTTTAGTAACCATAGAACTGTCCAAGTAAACCACTACTCACCGTACGTCCAAAGTATTCACCTAAACCGGCAAAGAGGATTCCGTTGACGGGGATCCCAATCACCGAGTACGCGATCATGATCATCCGTCCGGCGAACGTGGTCGGCGATATGTTGCCATATCCCACCGTGGAGCAGACGGTGAAGGCGAAGAAGAAGGCGTGGTAGAAGGTCCACGTGTACGGAGTGTCATCGTGTGCAGGAACAGTCGTGACTGGCTTGCCACAGTAGTCCGATATCCGCTCGAGAATCTCGTTCTGTATGGTGCTGTTCTTGTCGGACAGCTCCTCCAGCAACCAGGCTGCATGGGTAAACGATAAACGAACGATGGAGGCGATCAGAAGAGTGAACTTTCGTGCCCGATCGAGCGTGAAATCAAATCAAACTTAATTGGCGCCATTGTGGTTCACGTGTCTAACCGAATCCGATCCGGATGCAAATTTGCCACTGGCTGCTAACCTTCCGCTTTCCGCCGGATTACAATGGACACAAAAGGGACCGAAATGCGGATTCTCCCCGTAACGGGGAGAACCGTTACGAATTCAGATATCGGTGATCGGCGCTGGTTAGCTAACCCTCCATTTCCCCCAGCGTGATATATTTTACACTTAACTAATTGCCATACGAACTGCAAATCCGATTAGGTTTATATATATTGTTTGCTCTGAAAGATAAGGCGGTGATTCCTAGAAGAGATTTACTGGAGGTCTTAAACCACTTTTACACTATAAATAAAATTCTGTTTAAATAGGACCATTCTAAAAAATGATTATACAAATTACTTAAGGATATTTCGATTAACCTCTCCAACATTTTAATGTGTCTTATTTTTGTTGCACTTTAAGTAAGTACCTTCTTCCCTTGCAAAATGCGTGGTAATATTAGTACTAGTGCTATCTACGATCTCTAAAAGTACTTAATGATTGCAAGACCCTTACAACATAAATTGTTTCCTGCCGGAACTCAGTTGTTTTTCTGTGCACCGATCTCAGTGCGCGATCACCACGATCATGACCTGACCCGGATGATATTGCTCCGGTTAATTGAAATGCGCTGGATGAACGACCCCGTCGGCGGCAACGCGAGATATTTATCAAGCAAATTAGTTGCGATCGTGGCCGGAAAGAGAGCTAAAGACGATCTTGCTGTAGGTCAGCAATGTGGAGCGGTTTGATCTGACTTGACTTCCCGGCGTGATTTAACTAAATAACATTTAAGGGGAAGTTTACGCACTTGATTTAGCAATAGGAAGTTATTTTAAGAACTTACGTAAAGCAGTATTTGAATAGTTGAAGCTTATCTATCACTTGTGATATAACTAAATGAAATGATTATAGTATAATCCAAAAATAGCTAGGGATTATCAAGTCCGGCTGTAATCTACCATCTATTGTCGATCTACACCATTGAATGGCTTTTATATTCATTGATTGAATCCATCAATCTGATTCGCAGTGGTGATTGATTGATGGCTAGATCCGCTCAAACCAGATCGAGTGCTCTCCAACCACTGAAGATCCCCCAGGTTTGGCGTTATCAAAACGAGTGCAAACACTTGGCTTCTCCGCCAGCGGCGATCTTCATGATCGGCTGTCTAACCTTTATGGCCAAGTTCATTAGACTCGAGTCGAGATTTGTGTTCCGACTGCAGCTGCAATCTTTCAATAAACCCTAAGCCTTGTCCAAATGCCAACAATTCGAGGCCCACGGTAATCTTTTTGCGAATTGCATAATTAAATAATAGTGGCGACCAACAAAGGGACTTGCAGTGGCACCCAGTCGGTGTCATCTCATTTCGCATTTCACATTTCACATTTTTCATTGCTCATCTCTGATCTCTGATCACAAGGGGTCGCAATTGGGGGCAATTCAGAGATTAACAGCCGCAGCATCAACAGCAACTATATATCCGCCATATAGTGCGACGAGTGACGGGCACAAGCGGCCACAATTTAATCGCCTTTGTTGCTCCCACTGGGGATCTTGATTGCCGGCAATTTGTTCATAGAAGTCGATCATTATCTCGAATTCTTGCAAGTCCTCTCGACTCGCCTCTTCGGCGATTCGGAGATTCCAGGGCGTTTACTCTGATTATCTCGCTGATTGAGTGCGGGGCCCGGAAAAGTTTGTGGCAAACAAATTGATAAATTAATTTAATTAAAGTCGACAGCAAGGCTGCAAGTCACCAGGCAGTGCAATCGCACGGCCCAATCAAGAAAACATCCGAGGTCGAGGGCAGTGATGCACTGCGTCTCGAGGATCTTTTTGAACTTTGACCTCCTCCCCTTGAGATTCTAGTGTAATTAGTTCTAGTTTCAATTAAAAAAATTTAACTGCGAGGGAATGAAATTCCGACAATATTGATCCTTAAAAAAAAACAAGAAAAAAGTGCAACATTTATAAACAATAAATCATACCGAAAACCCTCTAATTATTCCCCTGTTCTATGGTTTGGAAATCCCTAATTCTCACATCCTGTTTACTCTCCACGTGCAAATAGATCTTGGATTAAAATATCGCGATGGCTTAAATGTATAAATTTGGCAAGTCTTTGCGAAATTAAAATCCACCTAATTTAAATTTTTAATTCACATTTAATCTTTTCAAATTGAGCTGTTATTGAAAGGGGCTTAATGCAAAGTGCATTTTTTTCGTTTTTTATTATGTTATGAATTGTTGATAAAAAGGGAAGCAAAAAATTACCTAAAGATTAAAGTGGGTTTAAAATAGATCATTCCTCCAACTATTTTCGGTAGACCTTCTGTTTACTTTGTAAAGATCTAAATCAGTAAACAATAAAATTTCTAAACTAAGCCAATCCTCAAACTTTATTCCCAATAATCTAATTCACTAATCAATCATATTCGGGAAATTCTTCAGGGAGATCCCTCGGCTTTTTAGTTGGCCCGGTCACCTTATCAGGTGTCAATGGCTCAAACGCAATCTCGCCGTGTTTGTGTCCACTTGAAAGTCATCGGCATTCGGTTGTGGTCATAGCCGATTGCCCAACTTCTAGCCAATTGAAGTGGTCTTTTATTTTTGCTGTGACCGAAGTCGGGAGTGATTAAGGTGACTTTGTCCAATGGCTTTGCCAGCTCACACATATTGGCGTGACTCTTTCAGAGGAATTAATTGAGGACTAAAGGGACTACCCGCCAATGAGTTCGATCGCCTATCGAACCCTTGACACTTATTCGAGTGACCTACGTCATATATGTATATAGTGATCTTTAGCTGATCGTGTAGCAGGTAAGCCCCTGATTCAATGCGCTGCGATCCACACACGTCTTGGGTCGATGGTTACTAATTAGAGCGTTTATGGGTTATTTATTTGCGTAATTAGCACATTTTATGTGCTATTTAAATTCGGATTTATTGCAATTGAGGAGGCATTAAAATAAATACATCCGAGACTGCGGCTCGATTTAGCGTAGATATAATCGCTCTCACACCCTGATACGTCTCGATGTGAGTCTGAATATAGAGGTCGCTATGTCTAAAAGGCAAACAGCCCTGATTGCCCCAGACTTGTTGAGTCGTAAACCTCACACTTTCCTCCTACATTTACGCACGTTTTGCCAAAAGAAATAAAACCAGATATCGTCGGAATGGCGCTTGATATATGTTTAAGACGGGGGATCTTTAACCCTGTGTGTTTTTATGTAAATTCTAGAGCGGCTGCTCAAGCTTAATTGCTTTGCTTGCTAACTTTCAGAACATTTTTTTTAATCTGAAATTATATTATTGATTGTTTTAATAACTCTTTAAAATGTATCCATTTTGTTGGATACTAAGTCCTATTCTAATTTTCTGAATTAGCTTGTATGCCAACTGTTCGTTCGATTTATCCAAAAAATTTTCCTATGGGAATTTTAAGCTTGACCAGAAACCACGAGCCAGAGGCCGAGAAACCTCAACAAGTGGGTGTCAGCGCTTTAGACGATCCGACATGGGTCTACACTTTCTATCGAAGTCGTGGACGACCATTTAGTTTGGGTTTGTGGCGGGATCACATGCTCGGTCGTGGATCGAGCTCCGGATCACGCGGGTACTTATGACTACGGGGCACCATGATGGTTTCTTTGGAAGCTCACCCACCGTTGATCTCGGCCTGCTCCTTGCGCTCCTCGCCGCGCGCGATCTTCTCCTCGCCGTGCTCAATGTGGTAGTAGATCGCCGCCCCGAACATCAGGTAGGATATGTAGAAGATGAGCAGCAGGATCCATCGATTCGGCGACATGCTCTTCGGGGTGTCGCACTACCTGAAAGGACACAGCAGCTAAAGTTTCCAGAGTGCCGGAGGAATCGGAATCGGATCGGTATCGGAATCAGAATAGAGGTATCAAAATCGAAGGTAGATCAGTTTTTTTTTGGGGTTTCGGTGAGATCGCGCCGCTCTTGTTGTCTGTCGTTATTTATGGTTGTATCGCCGCTAATCGAAGCATGATTGCGATTGCTCGAGTGCTGACCATTCCCTCTAGTTGTTGTCTATATGTGTTCGATAGGAGAATGCAGATACCGGACCGTACGGTTCCATGCCCTCCGCCTAGAATGGCAGGTCTTATAGGTTTCTTAAAGACATTTTCCTTAGAGAAAAGGTAATGTCTTATCCCCAAAATCACAACTTATTCTTAGGTATGTATATACGAAAAGTGAGATTTTTAACACGAAGAAAGGAAGAACTAAGACTTATTATATAAGGAGTTTAAACCGGCTCCACGGAGGTCCAGTACCACCCCTTTCAGTAAAATTGTTGCATCCTCTCTTTAAATTCCTTAGCTTAAAGCACGCACTTCTCTGCCAAATTGGGTTTCCTTCGCCGGCAAACGTCATTGTTGGCTCGCTCGGGAGTTGCCACCGCCGAAAGCGACGTCATCGCCCCGGCTTACACCTATTGACACTTCTAATCATATCACCGGCGGACCGGGCGGCATAACTGCTAATTTTCCACGACTTCTCGCGGTGCAAAGTAGTCCGCTAACGATTAGCGACCGCCGCAGACGTCGCCCTCGCAGCGGTCCAAGACTTGGGTCCCTTATCTCCAGAGCAGAGTGTAGTGTGCGCGAATGTCTGGGGATCGGGGGACCTGGTCGAGGGGCCACCGTGGGTGTCAACCGATCGGCAATGTACCGCACTTGGCTGCCAATTAGCGATCGCGAATGCAAAACACAAAACGTTCACAAGACCGAGTTCCAAAAACAAAACTCGGATCCAGGTGTCAAGAGTTTGCGAGAGCTTTAGTCATTAGCTGATGATTAGAGTTCCTGGGACACCATAAAGATAAACGGCGGGGAGCTACAGTCACCGCTTAAATGGACTGAAGAACTATGATGAAACTACTTGATGCCTATCAGGTCGTTAATTCTATTTGTGTCCGATGGCTAAAGCTCCTATAATATAATAAAGATATACGACCGTGGTGGGGACTAGTATGGCAACTGATTGGTTGCTAATTGGCCATTGATGGTGAAAGTTCTTACAATATCATAAAGATAGATGCCTCGGGGTGCTTAAGTCATCGGTGGTGGTGCAGATTTGTGGTTCTTACAATATCATAAAGATAAAGCTTCTTGCGTGTTCGCCCTAATGAGTTCATATTGGGGTAGTTCGTGTGTGGACTTTACGCACCCGGAATCCCCCGCCAATTCACGTGAACCATCTAATCTCAATTCTCTTCGGTTGGCTCTCGAACCGCCACGGTTATACTATATGTAGGTGTTTTCTATTTTCATCGCTGCTTCCCTATCTGCTCGTATCGGTAAAGTCTTCTCATTACACGCTTGATTACATTGGGACAATTCGAACTGTTTATTCCCGTTGTTCAAGTCAAGTGATCGCTGATAACGATTCTCCGCGGCTTTGTTCTGCAAGAGCTTTAATTATTATTATCGAGGTTCTTACTGTATAATTTCTATTGAATTATCTATGGAGTAGTCTTGTTTGTGCTTCGAGTTTTCGCATTTTTTCGGCTGGGGTCTGTTGCCTCAATGGCAACTATAACAACAACAACTAATACGACCACAAACGCGACTACAATAATTTGTTAACAATAAAAAAATCGTCTATTGGGCGCGTTCCTCCAGCACTGACTGGTTGGCGATGACGCCGTTCAATGGAAGTCTTTTCATTTATTGTGTTTCCTTTTTTATGTATTTATTTATTCCGAACAAACATTTCGATGACGCTGTGTGTTGCCAAACGATCTTTTTAACGCTTTTTTGGGCTTGCCCTCTGGAATTCTTTGCGAGTGGAAATTTCTGCCAAAAGGTTCGCGGAAATTGCTGATAATCGAGCCATAACGCTGGCGACAACCGCAACAAAGGATTGTCACTTAGGAGAATTCCTTTCACTAAAATAAAGTTGATTCGTAATTGGGCTTTTCTCAACTGAATGATAAGTGTTAACTCAACGGGGACTTTGAAGGAAACAATATTTCTGAGATCTCGCACACAAGACCGTCGATCGTGAAACCATAAAATGGACCCACTCTTTATCAAGCCAAACCCAAATCACAAATGACAATAACAACAGCATTGATAAACAGTCGATGATCATGTAAATGAATTAAGTCAATGTTTGACGTCAAGTGGAGTAGACAACAGAACATTTAATATGGCAATAAAGGCGTTTACTAATTGATAGCCCACCGACTTCAGTTCATGGAGAGTCGGGAGTATTTGCTGAAGTCGCCGAAGGACCGCTAGATGATCAGCGGTTTTTCGATCAGTTGATCTGCACGTGCATCCCCAGAGTACTGAACTCAGAAAACTCGTGTTACGTGCAGAATGGGGGGGAAAACTGGGTCTTATGTATATACACTTGCCATAGATATATATGTACGGACTGCTGTCATATATTATGTGGAACAAAATTAATAAATAACAAAATATTTACATATACCGACGCTAAATAGTCGTATAATCAATAATAAATAGCAGCAACTGCAAAATGAACACGTTTAGTAAATAATCGCAAAAGTCGTCAAGCGTCAAAAGCCGTGCTTTTTTCATTCCTCGGAAAACGAGGAAGGGAGATGGAAATGTTGAAAATCTCAGCGGGCAAAGAGGAACAAGAATCGCAGGCATTGTGTCCGGAGTCTGAAAAATCTGGGTGGAAATACCAGGCGGGACTACGGTTGGCTGATGAGGCTATTGGGTGCTAATGATGACATTGTTTTACAAGCCGGGGCGGCAAGATGATTAATTGAATTGCGATCTATCAATGTCTCGTTTCCCCCGTCAGTCTCGTCATCGTCTTGTGCTTTAGTTTCAACTTCTGGTGCTTCTGCTTGTGATAAGACGACGTCAGAGCCCAAAGTTATACACGACAATTAATAGCTACAGTCAAACGCCCTTAACTCGTTAATAAAACACATTACATTACATTAATATATATATTTAAGAGAATGAAAAGTGTTAAAGGCTTGTGTAATTAAAGTTTGAATACTTTGTAATTGCTCTCCTTTTTAACAACAAAATTTTGTCATAATTTCTAAAATATATTCTTCCCTTGCATATAACGAATACATTGTATATGCGTTTTGTTTTAAATGCTATAGCTATTGAATTTATACTGTATGTCTGCCAGTCACATGTATTGATGATTGGGGGGACTTCCACCACCCACTAACTGAGTTACTAACTAACTGATTGACAAACAGAAGGGATCAAGAGTTGGGCCATATTTGTTTATAACCAAATGCCCAATGATGGATGAAGTTGGCCTATAAGTCTGGCGCAATCGCAAGCCTTCTTGATCCCTTTGCCAATCGACTGATCGATAACTGGCTGCCGTTAGCTGTCTCTAGCTAACGGTACACTTGGTGCGTGTGTAAGTGATCGTTTTGCATATGGCAGCAACAGTTAAGCAAACACTTTTGCACAGTGAAACAATTTCGTTAATTAAAAGCATTCATACTACAGATACCGTGCTGAGGTGCGGCACAGATTGATTTTACGGATTATGCATCAACACTGAAAAAAAAAAACACATTGAAATTAAAGTGGATATTGTAAAGAAGTTTTGAATATTATTAATATTTTTGAGTATCTTTATGTTACTGAATTTCGATTAAAGGTCTTTATTATTTCAATATTGTTAACAAACATTAAACCATTTAATTGTATTACTGTTTAAATTGTGTAAAAAATTGTTTATCACTTTATTATTTTTAACATCCTCACCGAAAACGGGCAATTTTATAGTTTTTCTTTTTAAATATGGCAATTATAAGTTAGGACTTAACTGGAATGTAAAATAAGCAATAAAATTTCGTTTTCTTTTATGTTGGAGTAACGGATTACAGATTGATAAAGGTTTATTAGTTTCGGGGGATAATTTTTTTCTGCAGGCTTGTTTTCGTGTCCTTATAATCAATGTAGATGGTGAAACTCCAAACGTGTAATTTTAAAATCCAATTTTTTTAAGATTAACAAGAGCCGTACTAAGGCAATTTATTTTTCCTCAAGTGCAAAAAGCCAGAGAGACAGCTCGTCTGAAGTGGAGCGCACATGCGATTCCGATCGTTCAGATTGGGACCAGAAGAACTCTAACCTGTGCACTACGTAATCGCTTGGATTCCGGGAGTGCAATTGACTGTCTGACGGTCCGATCTTTGTGGCCCACTCAGATAACACAAAAATACAAGGAGACCACGAAAACAACAAAATAATGACAACAACACGGATCGAGTGGGATGGCGATAATGCCTTGTCTGCACTTCAGTGAACCACGATTATTGTTTACAAGTGCACTGTTTTCGAATTCCATAGCTTTCCGAAATAAAAAAAATATGCACCACCAAAATCCTTTCGATTTATGTATTCCACTGATCCGATCCTCCGTATTATGTTTGTTTCACTTTAAGGATACCCACGATTAAAAATTGATGAAAGAAAAAACACCCGGGAAATCCGTAAACTTTAGTCTCTCGAGCGTTTGGAGTATAGTTCTTTTGGACGACAAGTGGAAAAAAAATTGCGAAATACTGGAAGGACCGTTACCGTTAAGCGGCGCGCGCTGAATTGAAGCGCTGCCAGCGATCGGTTGACACTTTTTGTTAACGGTGACGGCGGCGGTGACGTCGCTCCGTCGCTTCTCGATTCCCGTAACCGTTCTGATTTAAATGGAACGCTCCAAGCTCACGTCTGTTTCCAGTCTCTGCCAACGTCGGCGTCGCAGCCGACGTCGCTGCTTGCTAACCGCTAACCGCTATTTCTGTTTCTTTTTCGCTTTCCTTTGTTGATTTCGGCTATTTCCAGCTTCCAGTCGAGCTTGATGCTCCTGCTCTTCCCGAAAATCCCGTTATTTTATCGGTTATTTTCAGTTAGACAACCGTTAAGACACAGTGAAACTTGGCAAAACAAGAAGTTTAAACAAAACGTTCGAGTGGTAATACTGAAAAATCGGAGCGGAAAAGCTCAGAACCGCACGGCAAACGAACGCGGCATTAAGTAATTGTCCCACCTCCTTTAACTACCGATCGGTGAGTTGATTTGTACATTAATACACACATGTGTTCATATGTATGTACATATAAAGTATGTGCGATCTCTAATCCGGCGCTCACTCACTTTGAGCTCTTCGCTCTTCGCGGGCTCCAAAAAATAAGACAGGTAGAAATCACTCAAGAAGTGTGTGAGTGGCTTTTGTGTGCGAGTGGGGTTGGGGGTGGAGGAACCCTGCCCCCTGCGCTCCGCCACGCATCCCTGCACTAACTAAACTAAACTAAACTAAATCAAGTCGAAACGCCGATCGGCAAACGGCAACTACATACGAAATTTTTACTAGCTCAGTTCAGCCCACTAAAAGCCCCACCACCCGTCCAACCCCCTCGAATAACCCCTCATCCCCCAAAAACCGATCGTCGCAAAAAAAAGAGATACTGTGTAGTAACCAACGGAACAGCACAGTGGAACAAATCGTTAGCAGGATGAACTAAATTGACCCAACATTACAAGTAACCATTACATTTATAAATTTATCTGATCTTGAGTTTCATCATCCATATCCTAATCGACCTCCTTAAGAAGCAAATACTTTTACTTTACTTTATACATTATACATACATTATAATATACAGAATACTGATCTCCACTTTTGATTCCAATATAAGACAAATTAAAAATACCGATAAGGAACCACAACTAATATTGCAAGTTTTTTTTACGATAAATTAATAAGAAAATCTATGAATCATTGAATATACATAAAGTTTCATTTCCCAACCAATTGAAAAAACTTTGATCACATGTGAAATTGATAAAGTTTAATAAATGTTTCCGATGAACTATAAAATGTTACCTTGACATACCCATTTAACTTACGTCAAAAACAAATATTATATATCTGGAACCTAATATTATCTACGCTAAAAAAGTTGAACTTATTGAACATATTTTGTTATTTTTCAATGCCATAATAATCTGTATTGCCAATAAAGTAATTTGTCTTAGGATCTTAATAAACTAATTTAAGGAACTTTGGGTCTTGAAAATAAACATTTGAAAATTTGAAAGTTCCCTTTTGAAGCACCAAAATTCAAAAATATATATATATATTTAGCCATTTTTTAAAATATAATTTTTGAATTCTTTTATTTAGATATAATAATTAAACTGGACATGATAATGTGATCTAAATTTTTAAAATCAAAGCTGCTGTATACCAACAAACAAATTTATTTTTAGAGTGGATGTTTATAATAGGTAAAGATAAATGCTTAACTTTCCCAAGATGTGAAATCTCAGTTTAGTGGCATCGGATACCCAATTGAGAGATGTATAGCTCCCAGATACCGAGTCTCTTATCAGAACTACGTTTTTCTGGGCGAGCATCACTTATCTGGACCCACTGTGTGCTCTGTTTTCGGTTTGACCGACCTTTTCAGAGCATACGGAACATTGGCCAGATCCCCAACCCAAAGTGGGCGCAAAAAACCTAACCCTCGGCGCCAGCGCCACTGCCACGCCCACCGACAAGCCGTCAAGCCCAGAGAAACACACCTAAACGTGCGTTGTCAAAAAAAGAGAAAAACAACCGAAGCGACCACAATCGCAGCCAACGTAAATAATTTGTCTACGGATTTTAGTGCTTTACGACGGGCACTAGCCGAGCGCAAACTTTAATCGTCAAATAGCAGACAAGCCACCCAAGCGGCCACCTCCACACCCACTAACTGAACCACTGAACCACTGAACCACCGAACCACCGAACCACCTGGTAGCACGATAACCACCATCATGCCTACCTTGATCTTGGGAGCTTACCCCGCTTGATCCTGTCATCGTGAAAGGTATTCACTGTCAATACCAGTGTCAATATTGAGATGTAAATAATGAATTTGTCATAACCAGTTGAAAAATAAACGTACCCCTTAGGGCGATTTTGAATTCGAACTGTTCAAAAACACGTGACTAAAGTTAGAACTTATGAGTCACACTATAGAATTATTAAAGAGTCCTGATACTTTAAATAAAAATATTTACTTAGATTTATTGGATTTATTTATTCAATAAAAACAATCTAAATTTTACACATTGTCTTGTCTATATTGTATAGTACCAAGCTTTTATTAATGAATTGTTATGCAGTAATTTTTTGATTATTAATTAGCAAAAAAATATTATGTATATATGTCTATATGTTTGATAAAATAACAATCGGTCAAACAAACAGGATTTAGCTTGGATCTATCTTATTTTTCATTGGTGTCTTAATTGTATTATTTTTTTCTTCAGAATCGGAATGCATTTTTTTTTATTCAAATGTTTTTATGACAAAATAGTGATATTGGGGCTTGGTCTTTCCGTTTTGTATGAAGTTAAACGGTAATCCAGGACCTTGTGGCCCACAGTGCATAAGGAATATCTAAAAATGGACGAGGGGACAGCACCAAATCAAATCTGAAGCGAAATCCAAGGGAACTCGAGAGGTGAGAGCAGTGTAAGTGCAACTCAACCGCTGACACTTGACGATCAGAGTTGAGTTATCGCCTGGGTTTTTGCTCTCTTCCATTTCGAATCCCATTCCTCATTTCACGCTCCATATTTCATATTCTCCTCCGATCGATTTGGATTTCGCGACTGCGACGCGGAAGAGCGGAGAAAGCTCAAGGGAGATCGGAGATGGAAATAACCCCGGGCATCGGATCGCGGGGACAATGATAGTGTTGATAACAAGTGCTTTGCACTGGATAGAAGTGGGGGTATCTCCCCAGAAACGTCGAACAGTGCACGAAATAATTCTTGGACATTCGAAACATTCGATTAACCTTTGCATAAAAAAACCGTATAAGTTGTTGGCTCCTTTAGTATTTTTTTTTTATTATGGAAAATGTAACACACTTTATTAAAATAATATAAATAATATAATAATACATAATTCTTATAAAAATAATAAATTCATACAAAAAATTCAACAACTTATCCTTTGTTTTTATTTTTCTATGGTTGATAAGTATTTTTAGCCACTGTGCGTCGGCGCAGCTTGGCGTTCGCAAAAAGCACAATTCACGATCATCGGAGATCTATAGTTTGGAGAGGGAAAAGTGGATCAGTACAGACCATGACTCCTAGAATTTTTTTTATGAAGTGGTGATATGTTATAAATTCACGTGCATACATATTTTGATTTGTAGATAATCTCTAAACTGATAATATTTTATGTTTACCACAATTTACTTATCTCTTGGTTTTATTTTTATTTCCTTACCTATGTATAGATCGACTTTAAAAGTTTACCATAAACTTATAAGTAGGAAAAGTTGAAGACCTAAAATAAAACACAACAAAAGGTATTTTTTTAAAAATGCTCCAACCATTTGCTTAGAGTAATAAAAGACAGTCGGGGTGTTCAGATTATTTTTTTTACCTCATAATAAGTAAAGTTTGGAGGTATTTTCTTCGTCACCTATATCTCTGAAATGTGTATTTTAATTTTAGACTAGAGCTCATGTTTCCCACGTCATTGATTGTATTTGACCAGCTCCCCCTTTTCCTGCGGTGGGAAGAAACCCCCAGAGATGGGTTTGCTCCTCAAATCAGAGCGGGCAAATACGACTCAACGAGGTGCTAAAAGATCCCATTTGTGCTCGATCACTGGAGCCTTTAATTGAAAAGATAAGCTTCTGCGGAAAGTGCGAGATTTCGTTACGAGCGAAAGAGAAAAAGCGCTCAAGGCCCGGAGTTGAGTCGGAAACCCCAGAAACCCCAGAGACCTCGTATTTAAATTGGCAACTGATTCATACATGTACTATATGTAGGTGCATTAGGCAGAGTTGATAAGCATAATTAATTACGCTGCAAGAAGGTGTGCTAGCCAGCTTTGATGTATCGACGGGTCCGCCCGGTCTTTTGCCTGTCATCGCAAAGTGCCCGCCCCAAATCTGAGTGTATTTAAATAAATTCAAACGAATTGTAATTGATGGGACACCGGGCCCCCGGAAAATTTTAACCAATGGTGGGTCTTTCTTGAATGCCGCCGAACCGGATTGATCGATTCCTGGTTGACATTTGGTGATGATTTAGGCGCCCTTCCGCTTGACAAATTACTAATTCGAACAGCGCACTTGGAGCTTCATCGATCATCTAACCGTTGGATTCCAACGATTTCTGGATGATATGGTATTTCGGGAGAAATGGTTTATGATATGTGTTTTGTAGGGAAATTACACAGGACCAGAAAATGTGTTTGCATGCCGCATTCTCGTTAGAATTAAGAATGGAATAATAACTTGTTTGTTTGGAGTTTTTAGTAGGAAGGATGTGTGCTTTTTATATATTTGTTTTTCAGAAATCGTAACCCCTATATTTTGTTTCTTCTATTACAATAATGACATTCATATTGTCACTCTTAGGGTTTCAGTAGAAGATATCGTTCAGCTTGACTTTCTTGCCAACTTCATATTTGTCTCCGAGCTTATACGCTGTAAAGCATCAAGCATTATCCTAAAGAAAAATGTAATTTAGGCTTGGGATTATTGATCTCCTCAATAAAACATTTTTATTTAAAAAGGAGCCAGAATCAAAAAAGTTATTAATTTTGTCTGAGTAATTTTATTTATTTTCATGTCAATTTTTAATTAGTTCAATCAATCAACATATTTTTTGTCAAACAAATTGATTGAATACCAATGAATCAAGGCTTTACCCGTCATTATATAAAAACCGCTCGTTTCTTACAATTGGTAGAACAATTTCAGTGGGTGGCAAAAATAACCCATACTACAACTTTTGGGGAAATTACAAATATTGACTTTCAGCCAAGCAAACATTGCTTCCGTGCTCTTCAAGGACACCATCCAACTGGAGAACCCGTCACAAAATTCATTCCACGCGTTGCCTACAACAAGTTCGAGCTTTCAGCACACGACATTGATGAGATCCTGATTGGAGGTGATGCAGCAGATCCCGAGAAGGACTTCCTCAAGGACCAACAGACTGCCAACGGGAACGAGCTCCCTAATGTGTGCGAAGCTTTCAGCTTACAATGGTTATGAGATCCCGACTTGGAGTGATACCGCAGGTCCGGAGGAGGACTCTCTTTTATTAAGGGGTTATATACCTTCTTTGTCGAAGAAAAAGAGGAAAGTTCGGAATTTTTTTTAGGTATGTAGCAATTATTTAATTGCACGGGTATTTTAATTTTTTGATAGTACACTTTATTAACTATGTTTGTGCAAAATTTCGTGGAAAAATATCAATTAGTTTTTAAGGGGTGGCTGTTTCCCTTAGAGGCCTTTTTTTTTTAGAGCCTTGCGGTGATAACGCTCCTGGTCGAACCAGTCAATTGAAACCATAAAAGTAAAAAAATTTCATTAGTTTAGAGTAATATCTTGTGCTTGAACGAACGATTTAAAAAATTTTTATTTTTGTATGCATACGGGAACGTTTTATGCTAAAAATGAGCTTTTTGCTCTCTAGAAATTTCACTAAAAAATTCATTTCGGCGAAAAAAAAATTTTTGCGTGAAAAGTCGATCGTTCAAGCACAAGACAATTTCATTACGAACATTTGAAAAAAAATTTGAAGTAAATCGGTTCAGTAGTTTTCCGCCAATCGTTATCACCGCAAAGTCATTTTTCAAGAAACACCATTTCGAGATATTCGCGTTTAAAGTTTCAAGTTCAGTTTCGGGCCGCTACGAGGCGCGCGGTTAGGAGCGCTGTAACTTTTTTTCAACTGCTCGAATCTCTATGAAAATTTGGGAAAATGTTCTCAAGGAGTGGTTCTTTAAGATAAAGCAATAAAAAAATTTTCGATTTTTTGAAAATAAAAAAAGGTATATAACCCCTTAAGGGGGGGGTAAGGTTTTAAAAAATTTTTTTATATTTTTTTTTTTTATTTTTTTCTGAATGACCAATGTGTTGAGAACATTGTGTACAAATTTTGAGTCAATTAAAGTCAAACTAACAGAGTTACAGCGTTTTAAACAACCGTATTTGGACGTATTTGGACGTATTTTCACGTATAAAAATACTTTGAATCGATTTTGCCGAAGACGTTATTTTGAAAGTCGGTGAACATCAGAACTCAAAATCTACTGAGCCGATACTTTTCAAATTTTTAACACAAATTCTCAACACAAATACGCAGGTAATCAGGAAGAGTTTTTTTTAATTTTTAATTTTTTTCTATTTTTAAAAAATAAATTAACAGCGATTTTTTAAGCTAAAATCGCACTTTTCACTCTCAAGTGCTCCCAAAAAAGACAAAAAATTAATTAAAAAAAACTCTTCCTGATTACCTCGGGATATTCATTATCTTCACAACGCATATCACATTTTATTTTTAAGATGATCCGTTATCGCCCTATGATGTTCACCGCAAAACAACTTTTTCTTAAGGCGCTTCGGAAGATTAACCGCCACAGGCTTATTTCTTAATATTTTTTAATACTTTTTTTTATAATACTCTTCAAAAGTTAAACAATAACATGTAATTAAGCTCAATAAAATAAACTTACTCATTTCGCCGCAAAAAAAGATCAAACATAGCCCTTTTTTTGGCCTTTAAAACCTTACCCCCCCCTTAATAGAGAGATTCACTGAACTACTAAAGTTATGTGAATAATATAAGTCATGATTTCTTTGCATGCTTGTGTTCTTTTTAGCTCAACCAATTAAGTCGTGATATGATAACATTTATTTCTTTAACGGGTGGAGGGAAGTACATCTTTTGAGCCATTTTAAAGAGTATTTGGATTTTTTTTAATTAGACGGAAATTGAAAACTAAAATGCTATTGAAAATACTTTATGATTAATCAGGCAGTACTACAATAACATTTTGTAACAGTAGTCAAAATGCACTTCAATTCTACTTTTTCCCAATAAATAAACCCTAAGAAGCGTTGTTTAAAGCCATCGTTTCAGTGAGTTGATATTGGTCTCGTTTGGCGTATATTACAGGGATTTGAAATATCGGCTATAACAGCATTTACACACAATTTACAAACGATTTGAACAGTTGTGAAATGAGGAGCCTCTCAGCTATTTTTGCTGATCAGGTGAACGATGTTGGCGATCATGCGACATCCGTTCTTGTGGTGCAGCAGATTAAGGCACGGATCCCTGATCTTCTCCTCCAGCAGCTTGATCATCTCCGCTCGCAGGCACTGCACCATCTCGGCGGTCTCGAGGTCGTGCGCCTTCAGGATGATCCAGCCGCTCTCCAGCAGAAAGAGGAAGTCGCCGTCGTGCAGCTCCACCTTAAAGTCGCTGCCGGCAAACAACACCATGGCGATGAGCGGCAGCATGGAGCAGTCGCGGATGTAGATGGCGCTGGTGCGCACCTTCTCCTGGTAGACGAGGAACGGCGCCTGGAAGACGGCCACTTGCGAGTTGACCGACGACGGGTGGATCTTCACATAGCCATCGCCGCGGGTCTTGAAGCGCAGGTCCTGGTGGCTCGGCTCCCGCGGCACCGCACCGCCGGCCGTCTGGACGTAGACGCGCTCTGGCGTCATGATCTTCACGATGTTCGGGTACAAAGCGGCGCAGAGGAGAGAGGTCAGCAGTCTGTTGTTGTCCCCGTTGTGGTTCTGCTCCACACCTGTTAAAAAATGGTTTTCACATTAACTAATAATCATTGAAAAACTGTTTGCAAAGATTTTACTTGGATTAAGTCTTTTCCTATACAAGCTTTGATGGTTTTAAAATAATAATAATAAATTGAATGTAGATAACATTGTCCTGAGCACTTCTTACCCGTTAGCGTTAAAATATTGTCGCATGCATTTTTGCGCCTGCGTGGCACGTTGATGGGCACAAAGCCAATGGACACGAGCAGCTCCAGGTACTGGTACTTGAGGTCGGCTATCGTTTCCAGAGTGTTGAGCGACAGGAAGTGCTCGCTGGCATAGTTTCTGCTGGCTGCATAGTTGCCCCTTCTCGCCACGTCCAACCATTTCTTTGGAATAAATACATATAAATATATTAACAAATATGTTAACAAGGAAAAATGTTGGCTTACCCTATAAGCCTGCAGAACTGTAAGGTGATCGCTGTTGCCCAAAGCGAACATGCGCTTGCACTTGTCCGCCTCCGTGCGCTTATTCAGTGGACTCACGAACGGGGACTTGTTGCTCAGGCAGGCGGCGATGGTCAGCACGCTGTCCAGGCACTGGAAGATCGCCCCGTACAGCATCAGCTTGCCAATGCGCACGTCCACGGGCAGCGCAGCCAGATGGTGGCCCAACGGCGTCAGCTGGTCCTCCGCATCGAGGGCGCCCACATCCCTCAACCGGGTCAAGGCACCCAGAACACTGTCCTCCGAGGGCGCCTCCAGCGTTTCCAGGAGAACCGAGAGCGTGTTGCGCGAGGCGAACGTCTGCAGCGTCTTGATGCGCAGCACAATCTGCTCGAGCGGCACGCGCTGGATCTCCGGCACCGGCTGGGCGAGGATGTGCTGGTGGTAGCGGTGGCTGGTGTACAGGTGGATGCACACTCCGGGCATCACACGGCCGGCACGACCCTTCCGCTGCTTGGCGTTGGCACGCGAGACCCAGACCAGGTCCAGCGACTCCATGTTGCGGTTCGAGTCGAAGCACTTCTCCTTCATCAGGCCGCAGTCCACCACGAACACGCAGTCGTCAATGGTCACCGAGGTCTCGGCTATGTTGGTGCTCAGCACGATCTTTCGTTTGCCGGGCGGCGCCTTTTTAAAGACCAGCGCCTGATCCTCGCCAGAAAGGGCCGAGTGCAGTGGCACTAGGATGAATTTGCCGGCGCGCGGCGAAAAAATGGAACTGTCCATCAGGGAATCGTGCACCGACTGGATCTCCCCGAAGCCGGGCAAGAAGATGAGGATGGTGCCCTCGCGGGGCCACTCGTGGGATCCCTCAACGATGTACTTCAGCACGGATTCAATCAGTTCCGGGTTGATGGTCATGGGCTCCATCAGGTAGATGCTCTTGCACGTGGTTTTGCTGTAATCTAAGAGGAAGTACTCGTATTAGGTGGTCGAAATCAATGCGTTGCCAAAGAAAGACTCTCACCTGCATATCGACAATAGGTCTCGGCCAGAGTCAGCTTTTCATCCTTGATCTTCTTTCCCGGCGCCTCTCCCGAAGCCTGGACATCGGCGTACTCCAGCTCACGCTCCAGTACGTCTTGCTCCTGCTTCTTTAGCTTGCGGCAGTATTTGGTGTCGTACTCCATGACAAAGTCGCTCATCTCCAAGATGTCCTCCAGGAAGAGCTGCTGAACGGGGAAGGTGCGGCCAGGAATATCCAGCACGGGCGCCCCGCCGAAGTAATCCGAGAAGAGGGCAGCATTGAGGGTGGCCGACATGAGTATCACTTTCAGGTCTTTGCGTTCACGCAGCAAGTTCTTGAGGATGAGCAGCAGGAAGTCGGACTCCTCGGAGCGCTCGTGCACCTCGTCCACGATGACATGGGTGACGCTTCCCAGCAGCGGATCGGAGGCCAGTCGCCTCAGCAGGATTCCAGTGGTGCAGAAGCTGAGGCGCGTGCTCTGCGACACCTTGTTCTCCAGCCGGATCTGGTAGCCCACCAGTTGGCCAATGCGATCCAGACGCTCGGCCGCCACGCGCTCCGCCACTCCGATGGCCGAAAGCCGTCGCGGTTGCGTGCAGATGATCTCCACGTGCGGCAGGTTCTCCTTCGGAGACAGTTGCAGAGCGCGGAAGAACCAGTTGTCCAGGATGAACTGCGGCACTTGGGTGCTCTTGCCGCAGCCCGTTTCTCCGGATATCACCACCACGGGCGAGCTTTCGATCAGCGCCAGAATGCGTTCGATTTCCGCGAAGGCGGGCAGCTGTTTCCGGCCATCGATGACCTTCTGGTAGCGCTCCTCCTTCCGCCGCTCCACGAACTGCTGCAGCAGGCGGCGGTTCTCCCGGGCCTGCGCCTCCGCATTCCGCTGGTGGCCACCCTCGTTGCGCGACGTTTGACCGCGGGCGTAGTGAGAGGGCTTCGGTGCCTGCTGATTCTCTCCACCCAGATCCGATCCACCGCCCTCCGCCTCGTCGTGGAAGAGCGAGCGCTTCGGCGAGGGAAAGGCAGTGGTGTCCAGTCGACCGGCCAGCTGTTCGTTGGACTGCAGCAGATCGCAGATGCTGTACACGCAGGGAATGCCATCGCGGCAGATCTCCCTGGCTTCCCTGTACAGATGGCGGGCGTAGCGCAGGCGCAACTCGTGCGGGATGTCGTGGCAGGTGGTTTTCAGGTAGACGAAGGGCGCCTCGTACGGGTAGCGACTCCCCGGCGGAAAGCGCACCTCCACGTGGAACCACAGCTCGTTGTCGTTCTCGTCAACGCTGTCTGAAAAAGTTTTTAAATTAGGAACCTTTGGTTTTGTTGCATTGCTTTTCAGGAAATAAATTTCAAGATGAGAGAATCATAATTGAGTTACTAATTCGCGAGTTTTGTAACATTATTCTGAATCTCAATGCCCCAATTATAAGATACAGTTGGTTCACCCCGCTCACCCTTCTTAGGAGTATCCGTTTCCGTGGGCTGTGGCGGCAGGTGAGCGAAGCGGCACTTGGGACCGAACCTGCAGGTGCCGTCGCGGTCAAAGTTGCGACACCGCTGGGGCGCCTTCTTCTTTTGTCGTGTGCTGCTTGAGCAGCAGCTGCGGCAGCTGCCAGAACCGCCTCCCTGGCCTTCCGCACCTCTGAGGGACTGTGGGCGAGCAGGTGGTCGATGCGGAACTTGAGATTCCACACGCGGTTCGCTTCCCGTTCCTCGTACGCCTTGTCGTAGATGGACTCCAAAGCCTCCTTCTCGTCCGCTCGCATATCGAGCAGCTCCTGCTCGCCGGGCGGCTCGAGGGGTAGCTCCTCCTTCTCCGGGATGCGCATGTAGCGGCGGTACAGCAGCAGCAGCGCGGCCTCTGTGTCGCCGGAGCAGTGATCGTAGGCCTCCAGACAGTGGACGGCCTGGAAGCCATAGTTCTCCAGCTTGGCCAGAGCATAGCGGCGCAGACGATCGCCGTCGCTGTCGTCGCCACGCGAGGAGCTCACGCCCTGGACACTCTGCACAACCAGAGTGCCGCGATCCTGCCAGTAAGAGTGCTTCACGCCGTGGCCTCCGCGTCCGCGATCCTTGTACTTGCTGATGTCGTCCAGCCGGAAGTCCGGTCCGTGGATCTGACGCAACGTGTCCATGGTCATCTGGCGGGACTCGTCATTGAGTCGAAGGACGTGGAGCTCCGTTTTCCGGGACTTGTTGTCCGCCGCCTGCGATTTCGGCACCGCGGGCACGTTGCTTTTTGGAGATGATTGTAGGAGTTTGATAAATGACCATCGTTGGATTACAGGTGGCGTACTCACGTGGTGCGGATGTCGTTGGGACTGCGCAGGAAGCAGTCCTCCATGTGTTGGCGCGAGCTTTCGTCCATGGCCACCGTAAATCAGGCTGGAAATTTCACAACAAACCGAATCCCCAATAGAGCAGTCAAACCATCGACAGCACCACACCGATACTATCGATAGACTCATGCCGGAAAAGACCATCGATGCTTGGCGCCTATCGCGATAAGAATTTCAAATTTAATATGTAATAAATAATTTTGTTCAGGAAGATTCGGCACTTGTTTTCGTTATTTTAATTTTAAAAATTAACTATTAGATGTATAATATTAAAATAATCTTGGTTGTGTTGTTAATTAATTACATTATATAAATAAATTTTATTTTATTTAAATATCCCCCATGTTAAGGGGGGAAATTGAGCCCCAAAATTTAACAAGCCAACTGTGCCAATAATTATGTTCGTCACTGTACGTACATAGCTTTAAAACTGAGAAACTAGTTTAAATACAATCCGACAGATGGACAATAGATGTGAATCCCCTTCTGAGATTTCCCAGGACAATGAGTCCACATTAACAAAATAGTTTAGTTTTTTATTGGAGGGATATTAATATCATTGGTTAGAACGCTTCTTTTTAAACTTACACCTTAAAATAAGTGAATCGTTGATAAAACTTAACCAGGTTATCCAGTTAAGTTGAACATTATAATGTTCTTCCTTTAGCTGTTACATATGTAATAATGCATAAGTCTTGTTTTGTCATACAGATCTGCTCCCTGAATTTGATCTTATTTTTTTAATCAAGGCCATTTAATGTGTTAATGCATTGGCAGCGTAATCAAGCCAATAAATATAGTTTCTTTAAAAATAAATGATTATCGTATTTAAAAATTTAAGAGCTTATTTTAAGAGATCTTAATTTGAATTTGAAAAATCGACTCAATGTAATATTATTAGGGATAATATAGAAATAATCTTTTTGTACAAAAGCATTTTCGAGTAATATTTATGATAATCTTTTGATTTTTTTACATTTCACCGAGAACGTAAGCCAAATAATGAAAACTCTAGGAGCAAAATAGGCTTGGAGCTTTATGGATCCTACATTTTGGATGCGATCTCCGGTAGCCCCAGTACAAACCGAACACTTCGAGCAACCACATTGAAATCTCTGAACAATTTTTTTTTTAGTTTTTTTTAGTAGTTTATTGTGTTGTTGGGATTTTCAAAAAAAAATTCACGCGAGTTCAGGCTCAGCAAGCTCACTTAGTATTCCGAAATATTGGCGATCAAACGATCAAATAACGTAATTGTAATCAGTAATCCGTAATTTCCACGTGCGTCGCGATGATGAACCGATTGACGGAGCGTCTGGTGGAGGCCAAGGCGAGGTGCTCGGACTACCGCAGCGTGACAAGGCTGAACGTGTGGGGCGCCGAGCTGCAGGACATCTCCATCTGCCTGGGGATGCCGCGCCTGGAGGTTCTCTCGCTGAGCAAGAACAAGATCAGTTCGCTGAGCGCCCTGCAGAACTGCACCCGCCTGCAGGAGGTCTACCTGCGCTCCAACGAGATCGCGAGCTTCGACGAGCTCGACCACCTGGCCAACGCCCCAGACCTCAGCCTCCTTTGGCTGCAAGGCAACCCGTGCGCCGAGGCCGCCGGCAGCAACTACCGCACCTGCGTGCTCCGCAAGCTGCCCCAGCTGCGCAAGCTGGATGACGTCGATGTCAGCGACCAGGAGCTGCAGGCCGCCCTGCGAAGCGCTCCGTCAGGGAAGACTGCTCCTCCTCCTCCGACTCACTCCCCCGTGGAGCAACCGACAGCCGGCTCTTCGAAGGGAAAGGAGCAACAGGAGAGGCAGAAGGGGGAGAGGGAGAGGGAGAGGGAGCGCGAACTTGAGAAGGAGCGACTGTGCGACAGGCAGCGCGAACAGGAGCGGAAGAGGCAGGAGGAAGAAAGAGAGCGGGAGAGGGAGAGAGAGCGGGAACGGGAGAAAGAGATGATGCAGAACAGACTGAGGGAACAGGAGCGGGAGCGGGAGACGAAGCAAGAGAGGGAACGGGATAACCGCGAGAACGGAACTGGAAACCAGGAGCTACCATGGTCGGGGGCCCGAAATGCCAGCGGCGATGCCGTTCCTGGTCTACAGCAGCGATCCTCCACCCCACCTCACATTCCGCTTAACTATCCGAATCCGATGCTTTCTCGTCGCCAGGACAACTACGAGTCGCTGCTCCGGACAACCGAGCACATGAACATGGCGGGGGTTAGTGGGCCACTGTCGTCTGTCCCCAACACCTCCCCATCGCCATCCATCTGCTCCTGCTGCAGAGATTGTGGCGCGGATTGGCGACGCCCCCAGATGAACGGCAACCTGCTCCGCGCCTCCTTGTGCCTCATCCACGGGATGGACGTGGCCGAGCTGGAGGCCCTCAGCCACGCCATCCGCACCCAGCTGATCAGCCGGTCGATGCCCTACTGACCGCCACCTGAACCTCCATTACTGAACTGAACTGAAGCCTCATTGGAATCCAGGAATCTGTTCTGTTCCCATGACCAAATCTTAGAGATCTTCCGCCAGATTTGAGATTTTTTGCCCTATTCAAAAATTTTGTACTTTTTAATAAGTCGTACCAAATTTTTAATTTAACATTCTTTTAAAATTGGCTTAATTGATATTAAGTCAATGTAGAACCTAATGTATTTTGGAACAAGCTTTTGATCTAGTATTAATATGATATATAATAAATTCTTATTTACAAACAATTATTTTTCTTTTAATATGTGTAGAATTACTGGCGATATCATTATTTTTTCTTATTTCTTTTTTAATTAATGTATGTAAGCATATTATTCCTATTATTTAACCCAAAAATAATGCTACATTATTTATTCAGAGCTACGTTGCAGCTTTACAAATAAGACTAATTAGATAATTAAAAAAATCCTGCGGTTGCGGCACTCATTTGGCTCGTTAATCACTGTCGCAAGATGAGCTCGTGGCGTCTTTGGCCAGTCGAGATTGGTTTTGCAACTACCAGGAAATCCCAGGCGATCATGATAGAGATATGGCCATCAGGTAAACAGCGCGACTTTTCCGGCTTACAACAAAAGGGCGACTCACGGCAGTCGTAAATAGAGTTACATGCTGCCACTTTGGAACGGCAACTCCGCATGGGTCCGAGTTTTGTTTGTTTTTTGTCACCGAAACCAGGAGACATGTGAGCCCGGGAAAAAGATAGGGAAACAGACACCACGCCTCCTCCTCCTCCTCCTCCTCCTTTTCCACTGCCCTCCGTCTCGAACAATTAAAAGCCAGTTAGGTGAATTCGGTCCCAGAAGAAGACGTTGCCGAAGTTAGGCATACAAAGTAACAATGATAAAAACGCGGTCATGTTCATTTGGATCAGAAGGTCGATGTGGGTTGTGTTTGGTTTAAGAAGAGTCGGGTTGGGACGTTGTAAGCGATTTCCTTCTAATGACAATTCTTACATCTACATTTTTTCGTTAGCCGTCGACATTTTTATGGCCTCCATTTAAGGGGAACTCACATAATGATCTCGTTTCGCTGGGCTTTTATTTTCACTTAGTCGCTTTGAAGTGCGCCAAAAGTGAGCGAGTTCAGCGAATTTTGTGAGCCATGTTTCGGAAATGGTTTATGTATCTCGCTCAGGGTATTATATAATAACTATTATTATGACTCGCACGGAAAAGGTTTCTGAGTCTTATTCAGAATTATAAGGCCTATATGAAATGGACTATATATAAAAACTAGAGCTTCCACAAGTTGGTTTAATTTACAAATAGGTACATTTTTGTAAATAGAGATTATAAAGAATTAAAATCTCATCACTTATATTTTGATCTTTATTTCCCTATTAAAATGTGATCAGTTCACAAGGTATTTGAAAGTGGTATATTGTTGGTTTAATACTATCATTTCAAATAAGTCATTAGAGGGACTAATCGGTTTAAGTTTTACAAGTTAGTTATCAACTTTGTTTTTTGATGAAATAATGATACATAAATTGTATCAAATACTTATGACACTTGTTCTTAATATAGTGTTTATCTTACTTAAATTCGGAATATTAATTTGGCGTGGCAAGGGAAACCATTTGCAACCGTGTTTGTTGAGTTAATGACAAACCCGTGGCTCCCATGGGAACTCTTTCGCCAGAGTTGGTTTGAAATCTGTAAAAAGCACCAAATGCCAAGGGACGATCCTCCCCCAAAAGCTAACCACATAAACGTCTTTCTTCTGCAGATTTTCCACTTCCTAGACAGGGGAATTAATCTTGAGCAGTGCAACCATAATTGCCCAGTCGGTCGCAATGAAGCCATGGTTTTCCCGCCGGTTGACCCCCACTTATGGAGCCGAGTCACGCACATCAGCCCGGAGACATTGAACCACGAATCGTGGAATCGTTCGCCTTGAAAAAAATAAAACATGAAAAGCTCGGGGAGCGGGGAGCAATTTTCGCACATACGCTTAAAATCGCATTCGAAATATGCGCATATCTAAGGCTTTATGAAAATGTCAGATGGCAAGTGGAAAATGCAGCGGCCCAAAATGAAAATTAGTCAACTTAAAGACGGCAATTTGGCGTCGGATCTGCGCAACCGCCATCGCAGCGAATCGGCGGGGGGATTACCATTCTATATGCTATATACTATATGGCCTGGGAGATTCGTGGACTCGGCGACGGCGGCGACCTTTAATGGCCGCATTGTGTGCTAAACAGACTCGGAGTTTCCCGCTCCAAAAGCGGAGATCTCTGGGCCCCAAAGCACCACCAGCACCACCATCACCACCATCACCACCATCACCACCATCACCACTAACACCACCAACACCACCATCACCACCAGCACCACCATAACCACCAGTGCCGCCGGAGAAGAAGTCTCGGACGCGTCGGCGGTGGCAATTTCTCACGCTCGGCAAACGTCCCATTGTTCCCACAATCTTCCATTCATTCAGTTTGCTCGCGATCTGCTCCTACTTAGTAATAAGTTTTGCCCGGAATAAAAACACACGCTCTCTTAGTACACAGAGGGAAAAACTCTACATAATAATGATCAATTAGATTAAATTGCAACCTCAAATAGAGGGCTTAACCTCGGGCACAAAAACGAATGTAATAATAAATACTTTTGATCATTACCATCATTATTGGTTATCCTATTCTATTTAACTGGATCTTTGTGGTATAATGACTTTCTTTTTAGTTGGTTATTTACTCAATTTTTCCTTACAAAGATATTAGTTAATAAAGTAATAGAAAAGAAAGAGCAGCTGGATTTATTTTAATGCAAATAAATGAGTGATCTAATAGATGTTGCTCAACTAAAACCAATCTATTCAATAGCAGTAAAAGTTGGATGCTACTCCGCATAGTCTTACAAATGGATAACTATTTAATATGAATTTCTTTTAGTGCATTACACAACCCCTACCCCAAAAACCTTCGGAACCAGAGGCTCTTGCTCTTGGCTGTCATCATCGTCATCGTCATCATCATCGCGGCTATGAACATCACCAACTTCTTCTCGCCGGGGTAATGAGTCTGTTTTATATGGGGTTAGTAAGTACGTGGAACTCTTTCCTATATACTCACGTCTGCATTTACAGCCAGTACTTGTGGGTACTTGCAACGCGATCCCATGAAAAGATCCAAATCGGATCACTTGATGGTCGATTGTCTTGCCGACACCCCACGTAAAAACCCCCTGAGTCAGCTATGGAAATTTAATTAAGATTCTGAGACCCAATGCAGAATCTGTAATTAAACTTTCAAACAAGCAAGTGCCCTCAGGAATCTACACAGTTGTGGTGGGAGAGCCTTTGGAAGGGACAATAAGATTTGCCATTGGAACTTTCTGGGGTTTAAAAGACACATTTAAAGAGTTCTGGTATTCTTGGATTTCTCGGATTTTACTTTAGATATATCATAACGATTATCAGAACCTAAAATTCCACATCAAATGCAATGGGTTGCTCGTTCTCGATTTTACTATTAAGTGCTTTGTCTATATCCACTATTAATCGTGCTTATTGAGAACCCAATTGTGCTTGATTGTTACTCGGTGTAGCTTATTAACCCAGATCGTATGGCATTATCGTGACAGAGTTCTGTTAACACGGAGAAAACGAGTCTATCTCACGGTTTTCACGGTGACACATTTATGTGTGTCGGTGTCATTATCGCCACACGAGTATGCAGACGCGAATATGTCTAATCACTTTCATTACGATCACGATCATCTGAGCTTCTGAGTTTCTGAGCTTCCGAGGTTTATGACTTGAGCACGTCTGGCCGCGAAAAGCCGTCGAAAGGCCATAAAAACATTCGGACCCAGTGCGTAATCCGTAATTGTCGCTCCCCTCTGGAACCAAAGAGTCATTAAAGTATAGTGTTTCCCCTTTGCCACTCGCACTCTAACCCCAGAATATATATCCACCAGTACTGCCGACTTTGGGTAACTGAAATAAAGATAAGTGTTCATAAGTTATGGACTTGCGTACTTTGACGAGCTTCTGAATATATAACATCGCCATAAACGCTTTGAGATTACGCTTGTGTTTGTGGATAATGATCTTCCAAGAGTTGGAAAACAAAATGATTTACATTTTGTATGTTTCTGATTTAAAATTAAACAGAATTACTGCTGCATACACATCATTATTTTATTATCATAATTTACTGAAACGTCATAAGATGTTTTTCTCTCAAAGAGTTAGTTTTGAAGATCTTTCCTACACTGGTTTTCTTATATCTTTATTATGTCTTCATCATTAGATTTATAGCTTTAGCGCCAAATGGTGTAAGTACTCATTAAATGGCTTATACTTACAAGTTTAAACCATATATAACTGTGTTAAAGGACCTTTGCATCGACAGTTTTTTATTAAATTTTATTATAAAGTTACTTGTTGTAATATTAGCTTTAAATACCTTTCCCAAGGCTTGGTCGAAACGATCGGAAAATAGCCAGGCCGTCATCCACTGACCACTGCTTTCCTCGGTTGGTTTACATGCAGCAACCACCGCTTCTTTTCCTGCTTCTTCCGCTACCTTTCTTCGTTCGTCGTTCTGCTCGGTTTTTTGCGCATGCGCCCCCGAGACACCGAAGCCATGAACAGTGGGACCAGGTTCGAAAAACTCACTTAAATATATACAGTGTAAGTAACATTAAGGCCAGGTTCCTCTCAACAATTTTGAAAAAATGAAAATTTTTTTTTTTTATAAAGTGCTACTATATACTTGTCGAAATAGTATAAAATTAGTTCCGAAGGTCAGCAAGGCCGAGAAGTAGGTGTAAAAGAGTGAGGACCGCTGCTGGTAGTACGGCCGCTCGAACGCTTTAAAAACTTTAAACTGATTTTTCTCCGAACCACGTTTTTTCGCATGGATGACACTCTCATTTCAAAACTATGGCACTTATCGATTTGAACCAAACGGCATTTTACTCTTAATATGTCTGGCTATGGCCGGTACCAGAATCAGAAATATTCATTATTTTTTAAAAAAGTTATAAACAATTATAAGTGAAAAAAAGGGTTAAAAAAATTCAAAAGTCCGCCATTTTTTTATTTTTCATGGAAAATTTTTCATTCTGGTACCGGCCATAGCTACTTCGATGCAGAACACGAAACTATTTTGGTTTTTGCATTCAGATAATTATTTTTCAAGTAATCGTGTCATCCATCTACGAATCGGACGAGTTTCAGCAGCCATTTTCAGGACCGCCATTTTGAAAAAAAAATTTAAAAAATTTTTTTAGTAATTTCATATACATACTTTCATATATAAAAAAAATTGAATACTCAACATTTTTTGTTATGAAAATAAAGTTAATTGAAAAAAGTACGTTTTTCAGAGGAACCTGGCCTTAAATAAATAATGTATGTATTCGAATTACTTACTCACTAATTATTATTATAACCTATAAAATCATTTTTAAAGAAAATTTATTTATTGTACTGAAATCAAACTGAAGAATTGTTTATGTAGTGAGTTATAATTAAATCAATTTAAAACAAATCGTTTTAAAAATAGGGCAATTTTTTGGAGACTGAAAAACTCTTCAGAAAATGAGCTCAGAAGTTTTTTGCAAGTTTTTGAACTCAGAGGTCCTATCGGTAAAGCGTTCTAATTTTAACACCACACATTTTTTTTGTAACCTCTCGAGATTTAGGTTGCTCTAATAGTACCATTTTTCGGAAGTTGGAATAAACTTTGTTTTCGAAATCTCTAAATGAGATAGTTAATTAATTTTAATAGGGTTCATACTCTTATTTAATCCGAAAATATTTTATTCCATTCACTGCTTCGATCTCCAGTTTAGTAACACATAACATTTGGTCTTATTTTACAGTGAAAACAGCCACTGTGCGACAAGGGCGGAGAAAAAGGCCGAGATCGCGACGAAGACAGGGTCTTTGAGGTTGGTTTTCCGTCGAGTCGGTCTGCGTTTGCTCAGTCGACTTCCGTCACGATTCGCGTTCGGACGTGCGTCGCGGGGTTAACAAGCTGAACAAGCTGAACAAGCAACCAACTCAACTACCAAGCTACCAACAACCAATCTACCCAACTACCAAACTCAGAAAAAACCAACCCATTTTACCAAGAAACCGAAGAGCGGGAAGAAAATTAAATAAGTGGCTTGATAATTTTTTCCGTATTTTGTTTATGTTCCGTGTTCCGTTCGGTTTTTTTTTGTTGTGTGTATGTGTGTGTTACCAACAAAAAGAGAGAGTATTGTGTTCTGTGTTTTTTTTGTTTGTCGGTGGTGTATTTTCGCTGGCTTTTTGTTTGGCTGCAGTGGCGCGTAACGTTGAACGAAGTCAACCCCCAAAACCAAAAAAAAAACAAGTGCTATCTATCTGGTCCTGGGCCACAGGATGCGCTCGAGTGACCCTGCGCACCTGTTCGCCAACGAAAGCGACGACGACAAGTGCCACGGACAACAGGGTTTCCCGGCTGTGTGAAATTGTCGCTTAATTTTATGCAAAGCGAACGCAATTTATTTTGAGGAAAACCCAACTGTTTTGTGTGTGTGTTTATATATTTTGGGGGAAAAAGCCTGTTGGTTGGTGGGAACCTGCGATAGGAGCGACTCCCAGCGGAAAAACTGACATTAGTTTGCTAGCCCGATTAGCGATCATGGCCCAAAGCCCTCCTCGATCATGCTGATTGTGGACATGTTGACGCTGGCGTTGGCAAATGAGCCGATATGCGGCTCCAAAATGCGAGCGGGTGGCCGGAGTTTCAGCGAGGATAATCCCGCAGGAGGAGCGGTGGTGGCCAACACAACTGGCGGTGGTATAGGCCAGAGCTTCGGTGGCCCGCTTTCTGGCCACTTGGCATGCGAGGCACGCGACTCACGCGACAATGTTGCTGTTGGCGTTGGTGTTGCTGTTAGTGTTAATGCTGCTGCTGCTGCTAGTTTCGTGCCCGCCGAGGTGCGTCAGCAATGCCACTCAGCGTTGGACGGTGCGGAGGCGCGTGCGCGTGCTGAATACACTGGCAACAACAAGGGCGGCAGCAGCAACAACAACAGCGGCAACAGCAGCAACACTGGGAGCAGCGATAGCAACGATAGCAGCAACAACAGCAACACTAGCTGCAACAACAGTAGCATTAGGAGCAACAACGCGGACAATATCAGCAACAACAATAGCTGCAATATCAGCAGCAACAACGGCAGCAACAGCAACAGCTATACCAGCAGCAATATCAGCAGCAACATTAGCAACTCTGGCGACAACACAGCAACGGAAGTGGCAACGAAATGTGAGTACGCGCAACTCGAGCGTGAGAGGCAGAGCGTGAGCGCAGGCGCATACCTGCAACCACCCAATGTGACAGTCAGCAGCAGCAGCAACAACAATCACACTGCCATTAACGGGAGCAACAACAACAATAGGAACAACAGCAACAACAACAGCAATAACAATAAGGGGAGCAGCGCCTGCTCAATACCTACAATTGGCAGTGAGCTTTTCAAAGGCAACCTTGTGGCAGCAGCAGCAGCAGCAGTCGTCGCAGCTGAGCAGCAGAGGCAGCAGCTACAACAGCCAACGAGCAGCAGCAGCAGCAATCACCAGTCAACGGATTCTGGCCAAAAGTTGTGCAAATTGATAGATTCCAGTGGAAAATCGGTGGAAATCAATTGCCAAAATCGTTTCGTGGCGACTAAAAAGTCACAAATCGCAGTCAGCAACCACGACGACAGCAGCAATAGCAACGACAGCACCAGCAACACCAACAGCAGCAGCAACAACAACAGCAACAGCAACACCAACGAAAACGACGACGTCGCGCGACGTACAGAAAAGTTTGTGCAAAAAGCAAGGCAAAACGCGTTGTCTGCTCGCGGGCAAGATAATTTTTTTACGCCAGTGAAAATGTGCAAAGTGCTGCGGCCAAAGAGGCATTTCGATCGAATGAATTGAATGAAACAGCAGTAAAATCTGCAGTAGCAACAGCAACATCAACAGCACTAGCAGCAACCTTAAGCTTGAAAAGGGAGGAGCAGCAAAGGGAGAAGGAGGAAAAGGAGGAGCAAAGGGAGGAGCAAAAGGAGGAGGAGGAGGAGGAGGTGCGGCAGGCGCCATTGTCATTGCCACATTCACAGGAGTCTCTCGAAAACAGCAGCAGCAGCAGCAGCAGTAGGAATTCATCCTTGGCTGGAGGAGCTATTGATAATGTGGCTGGGATTGCTGCTGTCCACACACCACAAAGTTGGCCTGTTGTTGTTGCTGGCGGTTACGTGGATTACGTGAAGAGCCTTCCAACAGCAGCAGCAGCAGCAGCAGCAGCAGCAGCAGCAGCAACATGCAATGACAATTGCAACGCGGAGACAAAGGCCAGCGATTTAAGTGCACCAACGTCCGAGGAGAAGCTCATCGATTGCGAGTCCTTGCTGGGAAATACTATAGTAGTAGCAACATCATCTGCAGTAGCAGCAGCAGCAGTAGCAACAAGCTGCGGCGAGCAGGATCTCATCGATTTTGAGCACGATTTGGGCGAGGACTTTGTGGCCAGCCAGCGGTTGAAGCGATTGCAGTGCAATTTTCAGGGACGCGTGGCCATTAGTAGTAGTAGTTGTGCTGGTAGTGGTGTTGATTGTGTAAAGGCATCCTTGAGACCACAACAACAACAGCAACAGCAACAACAGCAGGAGCAGGAGCAGGAGCAACAAACAATAAGCATAACAAAGAAACTACCCCCAGAAGTCAGGCAACCCCAACCAAAAGCAAAACCAAAAGCAAAACCTGAACCCCAACCCCCAACTGAAACTGAAACCCATTCTCAAATTGAAGTTCCAATCCAAGGCAACTCCAACCAAAGCGAGGACAATAAGATAGTTGCAGTTGCAGGAGTTGCAGGAGTTGCAGGAGTTGTTGCCGCAGACTCAAGTGCAATTCAATTAGAGGCGGATGGCATTCGTCGAGTCGCCCGATTGCCAAGTGAAAGCGAAACAACTGAACAACCAGCGACCAGACACGCCAGACAAACAGCTGAAAATCGCCAGGAGCAGCAACATTTGCTGAATACGCAACTGCGCAGGATCCAAAAGGAGCAGGAGCAGGAGCAGGAGCAGGAGCAGGAGAGCAGTAGCGGTGGAAGTGGAAGTGGCAGTGGAGCAAGTGGAAGTGGAGGTGGCAACGACGGCCAAGTGGTGATTGAAATCGAAACGGACTGCGAGGATTGCGAGAACGGCGAGGACTTTCGACAGAGGCGCTCCGCCTTTGTGCCAGCACAACCCAAGTCCAAATCGAAACTCCAATACCAATTCCAATTCGAAAGCCAAAACCAAAGTAATAATTCCCAACCGGTGGAGGCCGGCGATTTTGAGGCATCGCTCAGCGAGTTCGATGTTCAGCGGTTCAGCGAGTATTTGAAGGCCGCCCGCCAATTGCAGTGGCGTTACAATCAGCCGGGGGACAACCAGTTGGCTGGCCAACCATCCATCGGGAGCAGCAATAGCAGCAGTTTCCAGTGCTACGACGAGCTGCTGGCAGAGTTCGTCAGCGAGCAGCAGGATTACCTGGGGTCCTTCGAGGAGGAGGAGGAGGAGGATAGCAATAGCAACTCCTGTGAAAGCGACTCCATCGAAAGCCGAGAAGCCTGCCAGTGCCATGAGTGCCTAGGAAGCGGAGATCGGAGCACAACCAAAGCCACAACCACAACCATCAGATCCACAGGCCACTCAGGCTACCCAACCCACTCAGTCCAGTCGCCATCAGCCCACTTGGGCCACCTAGCCCACCTGACCAGCGGGAGCCACGAGAACCACGAGAGCCACGAGATGCGCGAGGTGAACGGACAGCTGCGCGGGCTGCTCAAGAAGCCCAACCGACCGCCGCCGGCCAGGAAGAACCGCGTCGTCTTCGACGAGACCCGCAACGAGTTCTTCGAGGCCGACTACATCATCCTGATCCGCGAGGACTGCGCCTACGACGAGGAGGACGAGGAGCCCTGCACCTGCGGCGAACACGAGCTGGTGAGGCTCTGCTGCGAGGAGGGATGCCAGTGCAACTACGCGGTCAATCCCGCCGAGGCGGGCGACGGCCGGACGCCACAGGTGAGTGGGAATAGCAGGGATCCAGGGATCCAGGCATCAAGGTTTTAAGGATATTTGGAATACAGAATTTCAATCTCATATGCCACATTCTGGGTTGAGGAACAGGGTTATATTATAATTACAGATTCCTCTTTATCGTTGTATGCTTCTTTGCAATGCTGATAAGATCTTAAAGATAGATGAGATACATTGACAATTCCAGAGTGCAACTAAATATACATTAATGAGATTTCTGATATTATTCACTAATTCACTAGTTTAGATGTTAAAGAGTTCATCATCAATCGAAGAATCTTTTAAAACACAAAACAATTCAGCTGGGTCCTTTATTTATACATTTATTATTAATCATTTAGCGTGGCTTCTAAATTCTTCATTGTTATCTAAATAATCTATAGACCCTTAAGATAAAATATCTTCTGCATTAAAAGAAACAATTCTGCAGAGTTTTGCAAAGTCAATTTGCCAAAGTTTGATATATTGATAGTTCTATTTTACAACTGGAATATTTGTTAATTTCTGACCTTAAATTTATTGCATTTCATAGGCTGCTCAAAAATGATTGCCCTTCCACATTTGTTATCAAATAGAGCGTTAGAACTGCAAAGGTGATGAAATTATAAGACAGACTTAATAGACAACACATTATTAATGCTGAAACTAATTTGTTCTAATGCAACATTGTTCCGGCTGAAGGACCAAATCTGCACAAGCTAATTAAATGATGAGCTCTTCGCCGGGTTCCTGGTTCCTGGAAAGCACTTGGGCTTCTCAATGCGAAAATCGTTGCATTTTGCCCCCATTGCCTTGAAGAAGCCACCTTCCACCTGCACTTCCTTCCCAGTCATCCAGTTAGCCATCCAAGCAGCCAAAGAGGCACTCCGATTGCGATTCCGATTCCGGGTATAAGCTGATTAGCTGTCTCCGTGTTCTGGCCGAGTTCGAGTTGCTTAACCGTTTTGCCTTGGCTAATGAGGGCCACCTGGAACGCACCTCTGTCTCTTGTAGCCCAACTATCCCGTTTCACTGGGGTCGCCACTCAAATTGGTTTATTACCATGCGACTTCGGCTCGTTCGGTTGGCTTCGAGGGGTTTGCCTGCCTCCTCCCCGAGTGGCATGCCTCCTCCCTCAGTCTTTAAGTTGCAACTTCAGAACGCAGAACGCAGAACGCGGGGTTCCTATATTTTCTCAGTATTCCCCTTGCAACACAGCTCGTTAGATGGAGTGCAGTCCTATTAATTAGCGGGATCGCCTTGGAAACTGCGGAAGGAGCTCTCAAAATAATTGTTCATAAAATGCAAGGTGCGCACATCGTAAACCAATTTGTCTATCAAGTGTGATTTGCTTTGAAAGTGTTGGCACATTCCTCCTAATTTTACACCCACAATTCGAATTATTTTGATGGGTTTTAAAGCCGAAAAGCCGCTCTAGGATTGTGCTGCTTAAATATATATAATTTATAATCCTTCAGATAAAGTGCTATTGTTGGGCATTTTGGGGATATTTGTGGTTTGCTGCACTTAAAAGAAATGTTCTTTGGAATCATTTTTGTTTTAAATTGAATTAGTTGCAGCCTTAATCTGTTCAAACATTTGTTGATTTTAAATGATTACAAACCATGAGATAACATTTGTTAAATGGCAGTTTTTGGGATGTTTATGATTTGCTAAAACTATTTTGCTTGTTGTTTTTAAAATCTACTATGTATTTCCTATATTGAATATTTATTTCTTTTTTATTTTGTTTTAAATTTAAACTTAGTTTTCCTATGAATGCAATCTCCTTGTAGTATACAATCCTTAAGATGACATTTTATGAATGTTAAATCTGTAATTGTATTGTATTCATAGTATAATTCAGGGTTTACCGATTTTTCGATGTCTTCCTTGCAGTTTCTTGAAAACTTTTCATGACACTCCAGACTTGAATTGAATGCTCGCAACTGTCAAAGTGGCAAACTGGTTTCCCATTTTCGCTCGCCCACTTTTCAGCTGAGAATCAGAATCCCGAGATGGATTCCCCGCCGCACAATATTCACAATTAGGATGCGAAGTTCGTTTTCCCTTTCAGCTGATGCGATCCGTTCGTTATCTCGTTGCGAGCAGTGTGACATATATGTAGTAGACGATGGTGAGCTGGGAAAATGGGAAAATGGGAGGCGCTTTTCATGTTAATTGCGGCAAACGCTGTCCAACTTTTGCGGGCGAAGTGTGTGTGCGATTCGGGGGAACAAAAGCACAGCTCGGCACAGCAGAGCAGCCACAGTGTCCTCGTTTTGCCCGCCCAAGTGGCAGTCAAGTAGGAGTCAAGCCGCAGGACACCCAGGACATCCAGGGACCCAGTGCCACCCACTACGAGCACACACACACACAGATACAGATGCACAGATACACAGATAGAGATACACAGATACAGATACTACACAGGGCCATTGTGCGGATGTTCGCACAACATAATGGCTGCGAGTTTGTCCTCGCATTCTCTATTGGCAAGTGTGTATAAATCACTTAAGAACTTTTATACAAAATGCTTTTCTTGTGCCAGTAACTCGAAACTGCAGCAACGACATTGTTGTCGATCCCCCGTCCCCCCCCTAAAAACCCCCTTTTTCTATCCTCTCCCCTCCCCCAACGCCCATGTATTTTTGCACTCGTGATGGATTGTCTTATGAATTGCGAACTCGATGTGTGCGTGCCATCGTGATGAGCGCGTCATATACTTTATGTCGTATACTATATGTGTTAAGGACATTCGGGAAAGTTGCCGCCAGTACTCGGACACTCCTTCCATCCCTTTCTTCATTCTCCTTTCCTCCTTTCGATCCTGATGCCAGTTTGTCCTGGCTGTTTGTCTTGGCTGCGTCGTAATCACTCTCGTAATCATCGCCTTCCCAGGATGTCTGGCCATCCTCAATGCGAGTACACACACATATCCTTGCTCGCCCACATGTGCTCGTAATAAAGCCAAGAAAAAAAACCAAACCAAACTGAAGCAAAACCATCTCACCTCGAAAACCCGTCATCGTATCGATCCTGAGCGGCCCTCGAGCTGCGTTTAAATTTCAATTTGCTGCCACATAAGCGACACTTGAGTGCGCCGCTTTTTTGCTTATCTGCCCCTCTTCTCCCTCCTTCCTCTGATGTCCTGCCGCCCCAATGTCCTGATGTCCTGATGTCCTGATGTCCTCTTGTCTTGGTGTCCCCATGTCCCCATGTCCTGATGTCCTGGCCGGATCCTGTCTGAGGGCCCAGCCGAGAGTGCATCGCGAAAAAAAGTCAAGAATATGAGAGGCTTTTCCAAGCAGACGTGTCTAATTTATTAGGGTTTTTTTTCAGTGGTGTGAGTTGAGAAAGTATTAAAAATGGCTCATCAAAAATTATTTTTAACTGATTGCCTAAAAAAGCTTTACTGGGGGTATAAGTTAGACCTCTTGTTTTTATCGACAATCACTTATCAAAAGTGCTGGTGAAATTCCGATTGACTTTTAAGTTAAGATGTGAGAATTGAATTGAATAATTGCCTATAGTAATATATTATATATATTAATTTGAGACAGACTTAGAAGAACTAATTTATTTTGATTTTTCTATTTAAGAGGTATGAATATTCAAGTTTAAGCAGAGATTTATTTACTGTTAAAATAAAATGAAAAATGGAATTGAGAAATGTTCTTAAGTTTTATAGTGAATTAATGAAATTTAAAGAATAATTAACAAATATGAAAAATAAATAAAGATCTCATTTAAGCTAGATAAAACAGATTTAAATAGCAGGCTACAAAATATTAATTAATTTTAATTAATTTAAAATAATATTTACAAGTATTCACTTGTAGTTTGCAATTTAACTAATGCATTTTTGCCAGTGTAGTTGCCCAATGCACTTGACTTGGCGCTGCTTGAGCTTGTCCCCTCCTCGATGTCTATGTGTGTGTGTTAGTATGGGTGTGTGGGTGTGTGTGGACCATCTGAAGAGTTTAATATGCATTTAGTGTGTGTAACAAGTTTACCGAGCACGTTGCATAACACACACACACATAGACACACACACACACACAGAGATAGCTAGCCGCATCCTTATGTTGGCCAGATGAAGAATACGCCGTATTTATGCAAAAGTTTTTCGCATCTGAGAAAGAGTTATGACAGGAAAATCGGGGTCCTGGAAAATGGGAAAGCCCGGCAGAGGAGTTCAGTTCGCTGGCTGAGATTCTTGTCTAGACGCCGCAGCCTGCGTTCTGCAGTTGAAAACAAACAGGATTTTGGCAGTTCCCCTGGGAATTCCGGCAGAATGGAGTTCGAATCCGTGCTTTTGACTGCAACTTTTTTTTTTTTGCCCACATGTGGAACATGGCTTTTATGCACTTCCTTGTTCGCCATTCGCTTGGATTGCCTGAGTTGACTTTTTGGCCTTTCGCTAGTTTTCCTGAGTCTGAGTTTTTAGGGAAAAGTGTACATCTTACCAGGCAATATGTGTGTGCATTTCGGTGTCACTGAAGATAAAATATGATGGGGGTTATTATAAACATGGTGTGTATTGCATCTTCAAGGTGTTGGGAGGAAGTTCCAATGTTCCAACGTCATTTTTTAAGGAAGAAATAATTTTAAATTTAAGTTTCCTTCTTTTTTATTGAAAGTAATTTCTCACTTATTTTATTCTTTGTTATAATACATTCTCCCTTCTTTTTTATTTAATTAATCAACAATGAATAATTAAAGAATAAATAAAGTGCAATTTTACATTTTTCTAACATTGATGTTGGGAGAAGGGTCCAACTTTATAGCACTTTTATTTTAAATGAAGAAATGTCTTATGTATTTTATATTAGCATTTGTTCTCCGTTCTATTGATATAAGAATATTTCGAGTCTTAAAAATACTTAAACCAAATTCTTTCATGCAACCACTAAATTTATATGAAACTATATAAAACAGAATATAGCACAATTCTGCAATTTTTACCAATTTACCAGTGGCTATAAAAATAATCCAGAGTGTTTCATACCAGCTCCTCAAGCTGGTGTGCACTCCAGTGAACTTGGTCATAGCTTCCCCCATCAGCAGTTGAGATACATGCACATCCATCAGATGGCTAACTAAGGCATTAGGGTCAGAAGGTATTTCACAGTGGAGGGCCCTGAAAGCAGGGTCTTAACTCTGATTTACGGCGGCCAGTTCGTCATCCTTGGCTGTGGATCCTGTCTGCTGGCCGCAGGATAACTTGCACACATAGTAAGCAAGGACCTGATGCCACAAACACACATACACACTGAAACCATGCAACTCAATTAGCTTAATTTGCGGTGATGATGCAACGCCTTACGAGCGTAATTCACTTGGCCAACTTACTATATGTATATGCAACTTTCCTAATTTGTTTCTGTTTTTTTCTTCCCTTTTTTCAGAGTCCCAAATACCAGCCGCCAATTGAGTTCGTGGATGATGCGGCCCTCAGTCCGCCCGATGGCTACAAGGACAGCAGTCTGAAGAACACGCTCGGCGGCGCCTTGAGCGGCCACATTTTCGGGGCGCAGCACCTGCAGCAGCTGCAGGTCATCCAGCGGCTGCAGCAGCAGCGTGCCGCGATGCTGGCTGCCCGCAACACCACAGGCGGTCAGATACCGCCCCCGCCCCCTCCGGTTGGCAGTGCCGCCCAACAGCAGCAACAGCAGCAGCAACAGCAGCAACAGCAGCAGCAGCAGCAGCAGCAACAGTCGCATCAGCAACCGCATCATGCGGCACTGCAGCAGCAGCAGCAGCAATCGGCGGAGGAGGAGCTGCAGGGCGTCTGCACCGAGTGTGCCGAGTGCGCCGAGTGCGCGGCCAAGCAGCTCCAGGAAGCAGGTGAGTGGGCCACTGCACTGAAAGAAAATTCCAGCCAATTTGTGGGAGAAATAGTTGGGGAATGGTAGAGAAGCTGTTTGAAATAGTGGCAGAATTGATATAAATTTTCGTTTCCGATGAATACTTACTCAAAGGAAATAATGCCTATTTTATTATTTCTTAATAGCAATATAAATATAAATATTTTAGAAACTACTTTTAATACATATTAGCATTATTAAGTTAGGCTCATTTTAAATAGAAGAACTGTGTTCAGTGGTGGCAAAAAATATAAATATTAGCAGTACGATGATTATTATAAATGCTTATTTTCTTAATGAAGCCAATATATTTTAATTTAATATTTATAAATGAAAATGTATTTATCCATGTAGGAACAAAATATGTATAATATAAACAAAGTAAGGTGGACGGTGCCATAATTTATTAGGAATCATCTAATTCGAATGCAAATCTTCACCATCGTTTTATAGAGATTAAAGACTTTGAATCTGCATTTAAAGATCTACGAATTACTGAATACTGAATATTTATATTCTAGACTTTATATCAGTTTGCCATTTTGCCCAAGCAATGTTTATTTAATTTCAATTATTGCCAATAATGCCAGAATGCGTTAAATGATAAATTATCCGTTTATTTTTGTAAAAAGAGTATCTAAATCCCTAAATTAGGATTTATTTGATGCTAATATGGTTGTGAATAGTAAAATTGTTATTATTGCTATAAGAAAAACAATCCAAAATTCAACAGTTTGCAACCAACCAAACTTCACAACCCAGTTACTTCAGATTACTTCTTGTAACCCCCGAATTCCCAAATAGCATCCCATCGTGTGTCAATCAGACACACATGCCTTATGCTCTCCAACCCGAAAAGTCAGCTACTTTAACTGGACATAACAGATAACATATAGCATATAGCATACAACATATGGCAGCTGTTGAATGCTCTCCCTCGGAACAAAAACAATAAAATGGGGGATGACTACGATTTCCGAGCTGATGTGGTGATATGGTTGATGTGTTTTTTATGCTCTGTGCACGAATCGGGTTTTTGGGGGGCGGAGGCGTAAGGCGTAAGCCAGGGGGCGGGTTGCGGGTTGCGGGGGGCGTGGCAGTGTCTCCAACCGTCGTAGAGCCGCAATGCAATTAGCGGGAGTCCCGCGGGGGGCGAACGAGTTCTTTTCACTCACAAACGCTTTCGTTTGCCTTTGTGTAATCTAATTATGAATTATTTATGCAAACATTTCGCTCGCCCGTTGACATCCTGTTTCGCCACGAACAGTTCGTCCTGCGAGGTCCTTTTTAAATTGGACGCCATTTTTAATGCCTTCCCCGTTTGGCGAGCAGTAGTTCGCTGCACTTGCTCTTGCTCTTGTAATTTTCTAGTTAATTTAATTCGGAAAGCCCGTCGTCCTCCGACTGGGTGGCGGTGGCACTCCAGGGTTCACAGACGTTCAGGCTGCCGGACAGCGGCGTCAATAAAATCCCCACACAAATCCCCACAACAGATACACACACTTCCACTTCCATTTCCATTTCCACTTCCACTTCCCCAGGCCCTTAAATTCAACTTGAAAATGTGTGTATTTCCCACAAGTGTCTGTCTGAAGATGTTCTATTTTTTAGGCTCCAGTGGCAGCAGCTTATGCTACTTATTCAAATGCACAAGTTCTGCATAATAAACCCGAATAGTGCTTCAAATGTGATTAATGAGGGGCGACTTAAAGGAGACTCGAAATTAAGTGCATCAAATCTGGGAAAATGTCGGGGAATTTAAAGCTTTAATTGGTTCATAATTAAGTCAAATGAAAATGGCAAATTCTAATGCCACATTGTAATCAATAGTTTAACACAATCAATCACAATTTGCCATTAGCCCAGCACTCAAATCAACTTAAATAGCCTTCCGCAAAAGTGTCATAACTATTTCAATAATTCTATGGCAACGCATTTAGGGTCCTCGTAACAATTGCTGAAATTCCAACTATCTTTTAGCATAAATAATGCCATGGTTTTCGGGGTTTGTTTGTTCAAGTCAAGCCCGCATTTCCACAAAAGGCGCTCATCGCTCATGAAATCCAGTCCATTGATTGATTTACGGCAACTTGACTTCGGTTCAAACGGAGCTCCTGGCCCCTAAAAGGACGTTTTCAAGCGCGGCAAGGCATTTGCATTAATGTCGGTGGTCACGCTTTATTGGCTTCCAAAGCGACGAGCGAACGGAACAAACCGAATTGGGGGAAAAACCTGCGAGGGAAGGGCATTTCCCGGGGACTCTTCATTAATTGTTGCGCCTAACGAACCGCGAATGCGACAAGCCCCCAGCGACAAGCCCAGTTTTCAGTTTCCAGTTCCCCTAAAGATCTTTCTGTGCCCATAACTATATAGCCACTGAAAACTGAAAACTAAAAACTGAAAACGGAACACCGAATACCGAATACCGAAGAGCTATAACCATACCGATCCTTCAAGCGCACTTCCGCTTTTCCAGCAACAGGCGGAAGTCCCCCTGAAGTTTGCCGCCAATTTATCATCGGTTTTCGATCCGAAAAGTAGCTTCAAGGTAGCCAAGCATGGTGTATATATTATATTATATATGGTTCATACTTTGGGGGACTTTTACCCTACTTATGATGTTTTCAATGAGTGCCCATCCCATGCATCCAGTTTGATATGATTATGTGATTTATAATTTGTTTAGCGGACTTCAGTAAAATTCATTAAACTTACAATTTATTGGAGAAAACAAATACAATTGGAAATAAAATTTAAATGTAATTTTAAGAGGCTTATTTTGACTGGCTTGTTTAAAAATACAACAAAATATTATAAGAGTGGCCTCTAGTACGTTTGCTACTAAAGTTTTTATAGTTCATAATTGCTTAAACACAACCATTCCGCATTTATTTATGTACACCTGGGTATATTTGTATTTATTCATAAACATGGAAACAAAGAAATAAGGGCAATTACTATTTGACGTATGCATATCAAATATTTAAAAGGTCACGCAGCTCTGCCAGCGAAAGCCTTTAAAAATGCATAAAGTTATTTAAAGACTTTATTGTATTTGGGTATAATTGCAGTTTAAAGGGCAAAAACCCTAAAGGTTATTATGGTGGTTGCCTTAAATTAAACTATTAACTGATTTCATTTATATAAAGCAAATGCAAAGCTTTAAAAAGTGAAAAAAGAAACTAAGAGAATAGCACCTTTAGCTTCTCATTTGATTTGGATGAGAAACGTTTATGTGCTTTGCAAATTATTTATTATTAGGGATTTTTGCAAGAGGTCTAGATGATTGCCACTTTTTTATTAACAGAGAAACAACTTCGCAAATGAATTAGTTAATGCCACTTGCAATAACACATGTTACCTTTGCCATTACGAAAATTAATCCCTCCGGTCTGCTTGTCTCGCCCCCACAGAATGCAGCTCCCCGCAGTGTCCGGAGGAGATGGCTCCACTTGGAGTGCCCGCCGTGGCCATCCTGCCCCTGCACACCAGTTCCCCGGAGCGTCGAATCACCCAGAAGGAGATCATCGCCGGCGAGGAGAGGCCGAAATACGTTCTGCAATCGCAGTACAAGCCATCGCCCACAGCAGGTATGCAATCGAGAAGTAACCCCTCCACTTTTGCACCCCTTCCTTTCAAATTCCATATCCTAATTGATTGCCCAATCGAAATCGAAATCGAAATCCATGTCGAGCGCCAACCGCAAATCCACCTTGGTCATTGGCTTTATCATGCATTTATGCACAGCAAGCAACCGCAATCCATTCGCCATCATGGCCATTCTGCACGTTTCATGTTTGACCTTCGACCTCCGCTGATTCGATGGCGTGCAATCAAGGTCAACGCAGTTATCGCCACCCCCTCTTGAAATTTACCATCTGAGCATTGGACATTGGGGCTGCATTTATTGGGCAAAAGAATGTGTGTGGGAATGTTTACCATTTTACAATGTGCAAGAAATCATTTTTATTGAGCAAAATATAACTTGAACTCAACTCAAGCATCTGGAAATTCTGTTTAGCGTTTTGAAAAAATATTATATAATTTACATGCAGCATTTTTCACATTAATTCAAAATTCAAAAATAGTCAGAAGACAACAAGCATTTTCCTCGTGTTATTTATTAGATGTGATTGCTAATTAAACGCATCATCAATCGTTTGTTCAAAAATAATTGGATTGAGCATCCGCATGAGCACTGTACATTCGAAGCATCAGTCAATCATGATTTCATGATCCCCATTAATTGACTGATTGATCATTTTCGAATCCGATTCCCTTGAATGCCAATAAATGCTCTTTTTTGCCAACCAATGCCGCCCGTCGATGGTTTTTTTTTTTTTGGTTGTGTGCTCGTGCAGCGGTGAGAACCAAAAAGGATTCCGGAAGTGGCAAGATCAGTTCCGGATCTGCCCTGAGTTCCGGTTCCGTCTCAGGATCTGGTTCCAGTTCCAGTTCCGCCTACGGTTCAGCGGTGCAAGTTCCCCCGGCGGCTTTAAGTAGCTCCTCGAAAAATAAGCGATTTGTTGTTGAAACCATTACCACTATGACCACAGTGACCGAGCGCCGGATCATCCGGGAGGCGAACGAGGACCTTTCCGCCGCCGGTTCCGCCCCCGCCCCCGGCACCGCCGCCCCCCTTCCTCCTCCCGCTGGAGCCGCCGCCAGCGGAGCCGAGATGCTGCCACCTGCGCTGCCGGCAAAAGCCAGCGCCACTGCAGCAGCCGCCGCAGCAGCAGCAGCAGCAGCCAGTGCAGCAGGATCAGGAGTGGGATCAGCAGCAGTAGGGGCAGTGGCAGGAGCAGATCAGCAGCAGTTCGAGGCACAGAAGCCGCCGCCCATTCCGCCCAAGGAGACCTCGCCCACGCAGATCAGCGGAATCCTCAAGGGCGGCAAGCTTTGGAAGCAGGACTCAATTTCACAGGTGAGTCGAAATCAAGTCCTCATGAAGTGTTAGGTATAGAATAACAATGCTTTGTAAATTATGGTGAGCCTGAAACCGATCTCTATCTCACAAATGAAACAGTTGTCAATACAATAATCAATACAATTGTCAATGGTTGTCAATACGAAAATGTTATAATTATCAATTCTCGGCTTACATTCGGTTTATTTTTTACGGGTACGAAGTTTGAGATAAAACGTATTCTGTAAATAGTAAATGAATTTTTAAGCTAAACTCAAATCTGATGATTGGCAATTTTATGCTTTCATTTTAAAAATAATTGTGTCAAATGTTTATTTTAATACCTATTGTCAATATAAACGAAGACATTCAATGAAAAAAATGTATTTTTTAAAAAGAAATTTATATCTTTAATTTGGCAAATACTTTTCATTACGTTTTTGTGGGGTTTGAAAAGACTCCTTTTGGTAACCGACATGTATTGAAATATATGAGTTCGGTGTCTCTCCACCTTGCTATCCTTTTATACGAATCTTTGACTGACATTTGACTTTTCTACTTAATCAGCAATCGGATGACCAGAACAACACCACCTCGGAGGACGAGAGTGGTGCCACGAAGCGATCGGTGCGGTTTGTGACCGAGGACCAGGCGAATGCCGGCACTGATAGCGATGCTCAGTCTCTGGCCGGTGATCTGGATGACAGCGAGAACCAGATCAACGAGCTGATCCCCATCAAGAAGCACTCGACGCTCTTCAACAACGCCCTGCGTCCCAACTCGGCGGTGCGCCAGCTCTTCCCGAGCGTCTCGGCTCATCAGGCACCCGTGCTCACCTCGGAGGCTCTCCGCGCCTTCGACGAGTCGAAGCGGGCAGGATGCCTGGTCACCCACCTGCCGGGCAGTTGTGGCGACTCCGACACCCTGCGCCGCAGCATGGAGCGCAACATCCTGCGCCGATCGCTGATCAAGTAAGGATCCTTACATATATACCTAACTTTCTAGTGAATTGTAGTGGAGTATAAGGCTAACAAACACATTTTTTGACGGCCCCGGGGGGACTTTGAAGCCTTTTTCTTATTTTTCCTAGCACTGTTTTTAAAATCATAGATTTGTTGCTTGGCATATAACAGGAGCCACTTCCAAATGAATTTAAGGCGGTAACAGTTATTGGGTTAATTTTTTTTGGCGCCCACGACGGGACTTTAACGAAGTACAAAGTTTTTCAATGCATGTAACAGAATAAGTTTTTAATTAACTTAGAACTACCTTGGTCCGCTTAGTTGGGACCCCAGTTGGATTGAAAAATTACCAGTAAAGAACTTTATTAAATATTTAAAATGATTTCAAGTAAAAGAAAAGCGTTGCAGTAAATGCTATGGAAATGGTGGTTTCTGTTTTTTACTTTTAAGAACATTTAAAGCTAGATTTTGCTTATACACATCACTTGTGTTAATTAAACTTAACTCTACAATTCACTTGTTTGTTTGCTATCATCCGAAACTTACATCCACTAAACCAATCCTCTGTTCTTCAGGAAAAAGGCTGTCAAGTCGGACATCTCGCTGGAGGAGCGCATCAAGCAGCTGACCTGCGACATCGACGAGGATCTGGCGGAGGAACTGCAGCGGGCGGTGGACGAGGACGCCGAGTCCGCCGAAAGGGCCGATGAGTTGGCCCAGCGCAACAGTCCCGCTGGCGAGGAGAATCCCAATCCGGTTCCCGGTTCCGGTTCCGGTCCACCCCACAAGTTCGTCAACGGCGAGAAGAGCTTCTCCCCCAGCAGCTCCGTTTCGAGCTCCTCGAGCGGGTCGTCGGCCTACAAGAAGATCGCCGACATCTTCAACCGCGACAAGAAGCAGGAGAAGATCATGGAGATGGAGGAAAACCCAATAGTCATTATACCCCAGGTGAGTTTTTAAAACCTCTTTTAAAACTTCAGGGTTTTATCAGTAATAATTTCTGAGGCTAGGAACTTTTTACTATTCTTACAAAAAAAACTATTTGTATATTTTATTATAGCATTACATTGTTTTGTCTTTTTGTAAATTAAATTTCATAATTTTCTAAAATTTAATTTTGTACTAATCAATTTATACAATAATGTGAAATAACATTCCAGACACTTTTATTGAATAGTTCTTTTATTGTACTTGTTCGTTTATCCAAAAATAAAAATATACCTTCATCAATAAAATTACTATTAGATATCAAAGGGATCTTACGAGTATCAGAAATATTTAATTTGTTTTTGCGAATGTTTTGTAAATTAATTATTAACTTTATGTTAATTTATATTTTGTAATTGGCTGAATTAATTATTTAATATCGTTATATTTCTTAGGAAGGTTTCTTTAATATCGAACAGATAGCTCTAGTTTGTTTTTAATCCTCATTTTGCTAGATAATAGGTCAAGTAAAAAGTAATCCATGATTTGAAGAATAGATGGCTCATTTTTTTTGTAAATAAGGACGAAGGATTTTATTTGAGGGGCATCATGAAATTACCATCAAAATGGCAATCGATTTAGAAAGAAATGGTGCTTATCTGAAATAAATCGGTTAATTCTAACCACAAAAAAAAGCTTTGAATTTCATGTACAAATAATGGATTACTTTTTACTTGACCTGTTATCTTTTCCTCTATCCTCCAAAGAGTTTCCATTAAATCTGACATCTTTGGACTCGTTGCAGGAGTGCCGGTGTCCGGCTGCCCCCGACTTGGGCATGGGCATCCAGGTGCCGGTGGTGCACACGCAGATCCACCGCACTCCGCCCCGCCAAACGGAGCCGAAGCGGCAGTTCCTCTCCTCCACCCTGGCTCCGCTGACCGCCTGCGTGGCCGGGAACAAGGACGACCTCTCCTCGTACTACACTTTGGCCGCCGCCGCAGCCGCCCATCCGCATGCCCACGGCCACGCCCACACGCACGCCCATGCCGCCCACTATGCCGCCGCCGCTGCAGCGGCTGACTTCAATATGGGGCAGCTCTTGGGAGCAGCTGCAGCGGCCGCTGCCTCCGGAGATCCGGCTGCCCAGCATGCGGCTGCCATGGCGGCACAGGGATTGGCTCAGGGATTAGCAGTCGGAGGAGTGGGAGGAGGAGGAGCGGGTGGAGTTGGTGAGGACGCCCGCAAGGTGGCGCCAGATGTGATTGCAGGCACACCGGGACAGGAGGTTGCCGGGCGGCAGGAGCAGGACGAGCTGGCCGCCTTCGCGCAGGCGGACGCCAAGCGGACCGAGCAGCTCAAGAAGCGGTACACGGGAGCGGGAGCGGCGGCGTCGGCGGGCGGGGAAGCCAACCAATCGCAGGCGAGCAGCGACGACGACGAGCAGAACGACTACGGATTCAATAAGCGACCCTCCGTGCGCGGCATCAAGCCGAAGTTCAGTTCCACCAACGAGATCCTGGCGCAGATGCAGGAGCAACTGAGTGCGGCGATTCCCACGGTGGTCAACAGCCAGCCGGTGCAACATGCGGTCAAGAGCTACGCGATGCCGAACACGCTCAAGAATCCCAATCCCTCGCCGCAGAATGTGCCACTGAATGTGCAGCAGCAGCAGCAGCAGCAGCAGCAGCAGCAGCAACAGCAGCAACAGCAGCAACAACAGCAGCAACAACAGCAGCAACAACAGCAGCAGCAGCAGCAGCAGCAACAGCAGCAACACCAGCAACATCAGTTGCAGCAGCAAATGGCCGCCGCGCTGCAGAAGACGGAGCAGCGGACGTGGAGCTTCTACAGCGAAACGGGGGAGCAGCAGCGGTTCCCGATGGACGCGGCCGCCATCCAGCAGACCTACTACCAAACCCTGCCCGCCGGCACCATGTTCCGCCAGACGATGATCCAGCAGGGCGCCTCGGCCGCCGGCGGAGCCGACGATGCCTCCCTCCTCTATGCCGCTGCGGCTGCCGCCCAGAACTGCCAGAGTGTCGCCGCGGTGAATGCAACGGCGGGTGGAACGGCGACGGCCACCGCGACGGCCATCGAGCAGAGCAAGCACAGCAGCTACAGCAGCCACTTCGCCCGCAGTCCCACGCGGAGGCCGGAGTCGCCGCCCCCGCTGCGCAACTACCACCAGACCATGGTGCTCATCCCGTACAACGCGGAGACCTACTCCCAGTTCGCCGCCAGCGGGGCAGGTGCCGGCCTGCCCGGCGCACTCGCCGGCGGCCTCGGCGGCGGGGATCCCAAGCTGGCGCACATCCAGCGGCAGAACATCCTCGAGTACCAGCAGGTGAGTGACAAATCCAATCCGATTTTCCCCTGATTAAAACAGTGATGAAAGAATCCCTCAAGTGTGCTAATGAATATTCAGTTCCAATGTTAGGGTAAATGGTAGTCGCAACATGTTCCTTTAATCTGGTAACCGATATTAATTTAAGTACAACCAACTGACATTCATTAAAATACTATTGAACTAAACGAAAGTGCAACAGAGATTTAAAACCACTTAAAGAGGTGCCCAAAAGTATGCATTAAAAAATGAAAATATTGTTTTTTATGCATTTAAGCCGTTTAAGCATACTTTTAAATATGCTGGAGAGGCTTCGATATAAGATAGACAGATAATTACTACCTTGGGATTGTTTTATTCAGTACAGTCTGAAACGAGGAAAATAAGTTTGGATGAACGTTTTCGTAAAAATCAATGTTCTCTTATTTAATCATCGATTCATTCAACAATTCAAATGTATTCAAAAGCTATTGTTACTTACCAAAGATATCAGTACTGTCTGTAACAAATATGTTGATGAATTTAATTTAACATTCTATCATTTATCCACCAAAATTCAAGTGGTTTTGACAAGGTTTAATATTTTGTTTTAAACTTAAAGCGTTTTTCGGACAGCCCAATTAACTCAACTGCCTTTTTTCCCGCGCAACCAGGTCACCCAGCAGACGATTCGGGTGCCCATTGGCTACGCCCTGCCCGGCATGCAGTTGCACGTGGTGAGTGGGCGTGGCCACGCGGCCCACTACGCCCAACACCAGCAGCAACACCAGCAGCAGCAGCAGCAGCAACAGCAGCAGCAGCAGCGCTTGATGCAGGGACACTACCAGTTTGGACCGGAGGGCGGAATGCCGGGATTCAGTGAGCGCGGAGTACCCGAAGGAGCAGCTGCCGTTTCCCACGGCGACTGCAATGCGATGGTCTCCCCAACATCGGCGGCGGCAGCAGCAGCAGCGGTACAGCAGCAGCAGCAGCAGCAGCAGCAGCAACAGCAGCAGCAGGCGGTTGGAGGAGTGGGAGTGGGCGCCCAGGCTCAGGGATCCGTTTACTATGCGATGAACGTATGACCCGCGCTCGAATAGTCGCTGCCAGCGGCGGTCATTGTCGAGCGCCGCCAGTGTCAACTTGTCGAAATGTCAGCGACTTCAGTGCATTTGGGGAGCGGCGGCATGGGCGGCAGATGAGCGGCGGATGATGAGCGCCAATCCTGTCCAGCCAGCCGGCGAGAGTCCTCGATGAGTCCTCCCATGAGTTCTCCCATCCGCTGATTTGAGTTGCCCCTTCAGTTGACCCTAGCGAGCGTTTTTTTTTTTTCGAATCAGTTCGATCTTCCGTTTAGCCAGTGTATCTGTTTCCGCACCAGTATCATTATCATTAACATTACCGTTATCCCTATACGTATATCCGTGTTGTCTGTATCCGTATCCTTGTGTCGGTGGCAAATACTCGAGTCGCTTGGGTGTCACTTGGGTCTCTAGAGATTTGAAATCACCTCTTTCAAGAACAGCATACTTTGTAGTTATTAATGGGGCTTAAATTTCTAGAAGATCATGTGGCACCTATCGATTTTAATAAAGCCCACAGAGTTAAACATTTATTGTACTCCCTGTAAACGTTGCAGCTGCAGCAATTGCAACATTCTGTCTATTTAAATGTTTTTGATATTAAAGGGCGCCATGGAAATCGCTAGAGGTTTCAAACCTCTTTAAAAAGAATTTAAATTTTAGAGAAATTCAGAAAAGTACACTTAACAGCATACTTTTAGGTGTTTAAACAAGAGGTTTGAAATCTCTACAGATTTTTTTGGCGATCCTTCTTAAGTGCAGATTGGGCATTGAGGATGCAGCTGCCACGTTTACATCCAGCTTTATAATCAATCCAAAAAGTACACTTTAAATTATGCCTTGCCGTCGAGGATTTTATTTCTGTGGAAGTAACTATAGTTATTTGTCCAAGAGTAGTGAAGACGAGATGAGTATCTAAACCAAATACAACCAAATCACATGAATTTATTTCGAGCATATACATGCTGGGTGCTAGTAATGCAACAACAACAAACACAACAAACCAAGAAAACGTTAATTAAGCTATGCAAATTATATTTAACAAAGTTAAACCGTAAACGAAAATATGTAATACTATTTTTTGTAATTCACACATTTTTTTTTGCTGTTAGCCAAGAAAACAGAGTTTTGCTCAATGAAAAGTGCATTTGATTTAAAGCGCATCTATATAAACACATACATAATTATATATCTACATATGCGAATGCTAAACTAAATTATACATAATTAAATTATATTGAATTGAATTGATATTATATAGTATTTCAAATGTAGTGCAATTTGTTGCTAACTCCAAAAGCTCTCTTATCAAAGAGTATTATATTTAAACGAATATATATATATTTTATGGGTATCAAAATTATAGGAATATTTTTAGGCTTAGGCTTTATTTATATGAAATTTAGTTTTACTCTTTTTTTTCTTCTTTATGTACAATAAATTTAAAACTTTCATCAATCTTTGGTTTTCTACGCTTAAGAAATGTACCGCCATGTTGAAACATTATATATGTACGATCTAAGGGCGAACACATCTATATGTACTATACGTATGCTACAGTTTGTTTGGGTTTCATTTGTAGATCGATCAGCCAGAATCGCATTCCACATCTTCCACACTCCTAACGAGATGTTCCTGAAACCCTGAGAGAATTTAAAACAATTAAAAAGTGTGCCTAAAAGTGTGCAGTGAAATGGTTCATCAAAGCTATCAAATATTTTGCTGCATACTTTTGAGCACTCCAAGCATTGTTTTGGAACCTCCAGACATTTTAGAAAGCATTTCGGATCGCCTTTCTCCCGAAGTGAGAGCACCAGTGCCAAAAGCTTGCATCCCAGACCTCTCAATCATTCCATACCTCCAGTCATTCCATCTAGTTGATAGAGATACCATTAAAGTCGTGCAATCATAAGCAAAATGTTAGAGGATACACGAACTCATGTTGATCAGCAGTTACGATCGTATATCTTCAGAATATAAATTTACACACAGAAACGTACGCATAGATGTAAGTGCATTTATGCACACAGAAAGACACACACACACACACACACACACCGCATACAAACATTAAGATATACAGACATACATATATAAAATATGCATATTGTATTTCGATTCAGATATTGTGTTAATGTCTATAACGAACATATTGAAACTATTGAAAGCAAACACGAATTAAGAGTGCAATACTGTTAAAGAGAACTACCGTTCACCGGAAACGGAAGCGGAACAGCATAAAGAAAAGGACAACGCAAATCAGTGAGAGCGCGCGAGCGAGATAGATGGATGGTCGGCCAGTTAGAAAAAGACAGACAGAGCCGATTGAGACAAAGGAAAGAATGAGATGGCGCGCATAACGAAACAACTTAGTCATAGATTTAAAAAAACAAACACACACATTTACAAAGCGATTAACGATTAACTATAAACGATAACTAAAGCGTGGACTTAGGTGTTCGATATTCAATTTTTTTGTTCTTGGTTTTTCGTTCACTTTCAATTGAAAGATTCCGACACTAGAATTGACTAGAAAACGCAGCGCGATTTGCATATTATATAAATACATTTAGAGCCAGATAGCGAGCGAGAGTAAGGCGGTAACTTATAAATAAATATATATGTATATATATACATACAGGCATACATATATACATGGATATATACTAGATGTTTATGTAATACATAAATGGCATTGAACGAATTCCGAGCACATTGCAAAGCCCCTAAATTCAAAATCGCATGAGTATCCTCGTACTGTTTTTGGTTTTTTACTCCGGAAATTGATTTTTCTATGCGAAAGTAGTTGAAAATTATGTAATGAAAAAGGATATACAAGTATTTAGACACACATCGACAGTATCCTATTCGGACGATTTCTTTAGGGTTTTTAGTTGCGATTTTGAACATGCAGATGAAGAACGAGTAAAAACAACATGTGTATGAAATAGTATATAAATAAGGTCGGATATTAATGCCCCGACATTACGCTATATGTATGTGGGGCAAACAACAAATCCAACAGAAAAAAAATAAGAAAACAAAACAACAACAACAACAACAAAGATGATGTAAGCGATGGATCGAAGTGAGAATTGATGCGAATGGCACAAGTATATAACAAATTTCAACAAGTATATGACTGAGCCAATGACTCAAAATACATTTTAAACAAAAAGGAAAATATGAGAAATATATGAGAAATACAAAAACGATAAGCGAGTGAATGTCCACCACTTTTTAATGGGTTTTCGGGGCAGGGGGAGAAAACAAACATATTTTTGTTAGGTCTTGATTTGTTTACTAATATTTGCGGATTGTGCGTTTAAATAAAAACATGTTGAAGCTATCAAATTTTGTGTTATTCCAATAGCTTTATTTTCACTCAACCTTGACCTATTAGCGAGCAGTTCTTTTAGTAGATTACCTATTTTTTTTTGTAAACATACACTGGAAAATAGTTAATTAAAATACTGAGAAATTTGACAGCACCTCTTCGCATAAAATCCTTAATAATTTAATATTAAATCAATGCAATACAAAGGTAATACTCTTCCTCAGACAAATGAAATCATATCTGTTACCTTTTTATCAACATAATGTTCTTAAGAGTTTACTTGTTTTTTTATAATTATATTATATATACGTTTTTACCTATCTTCGAACTAGTCACCATAAAATGTTTTTTGTGATACATGTGACCTATTCTTCTGGTGTTTCTGAATGAGTTTTCCTCGAAGCTCGCTCCCAGCGAATTCCAAAATAATTGTGAGCGCCGCACTTTCACCTCCAGCAGTTGATTATTTCCAGCCTATCTGCCTGCGATTGCCCATGTGCAATCAGTCGGAACTGGAACTGGAGCTCTCTCTCTTCGGCGTTATCGCTTCGCTGGGGAAGACGAGACCCAATCGGCGTCCGCTTCAGTTCGCCAGCGTCCATCGCTCGAGGAGATCGTGACGGAGATTGGAGAACAAAGATTGGAGATTGGAGCCACCATGAGCTGTCCCTACGCAGGAAACGGGTGAGCAGAGCAGCACGTGCGATCCAAAAAACAGTTGGGACTGCCACTCGAATCCAAACCGGATCTTAATCCCCTCCAGAAACGAACACGATGACTCCGCGGTGCCGCTGACCACGGAGGTGGGCAAGATCTACGGGGAGTACCTGATGCTCGACAAGCTGCTGGATGCCCAGTGCATGCTGTCCGAGGAGGACAAGCGACCCGTCCACGATGAGCACCTCTTCATCATCACGCACCAGGGTAGGTTCCCTTGGCTTAGGATGAACTACATATAGAAACCTTCTTACTATTGTTTAAATTTAAATACCAAAGCCTACGAGCTGTGGTTCAAGCAGATCATCTTCGAGTTTGACTCCATTCGGGACATGTTGGACGCGGAGGTCATCGACGAGACCAAGACCCTCGAGATCGTCAAGCGCCTGAACCGAGTGGTTCTCATCCTAAAGGTAAGTTTAATAGCTACTGTCATATTTAAATCAAAAACTAATCAAGGGTGTGTACTTCCAAGGGCATTGTATTTAAAGCAAGCAAAAACATAAAGGTTGATACTATTCTATTTAGTGTTTGCTAGCAAGCCACTTGGAAAGTGATACATTGATTAAATTATTTTATAAACAATTTATCATCAAGATAATCATTTAAGACACATTATACGGTTTAAGTTACATTATGAAGTTTACTTAAAGTATAAAAAATTATACACTAACTTAAATCTTATATCATACATTATAATAATATGCATCTAAAAGTGTAGTAGGAAAGTATATAGAGCTATAAAACTGCGAATGCACACCTTTATTTGTTTATAACTGACAAAACCCACCTCCCGCAGCTTCTGGTGGACCAGGTGCCCATTCTGGAGACGATGACGCCGCTGGACTTCATGGACTTCCGCAAGTACCTGGCGCCCGCCTCGGGATTCCAGTCGCTGCAGTTCCGGCTGATCGAGAACAAGTTGGGCGTTCTCACGGAGCAGCGGGTGCGGTACAACCAGAAGTACTCCGACGTCTTCAGCGACGAGGAGGCGCGCAGTGCCATCCGCTGCTCGGAGCGGGATCCCTCCCTGCTGGAGCTGGTGCAGCGGTGGCTGGAGCGGACGCCCGGGCTGGAGGAGAGCGGCTTCAACTTCTGGGCGAAGTTCCAGGAGAGCGTCGATCGCTTCCTGGAGGCGCAGGTACAGAGCGCCATGCGGGAGCCCGTGGAGAAGGCCAAGAACTACCGCCTGATGGACATCGAGAAGCGGCGCGAGGTGTACCGCTCCATCTTCGATCCGGCGGTCCACGAGGCGCTCGTCCGCCGCGGCGACCGGCGGTTCAGCCATCGCGCCCTCCAGGGCGCCATCATGATCACCTTCTACCGGGACGAGCCCCGCTTCAGCCAGCCCCACCAGCTGCTCACCCTGCTCATGGACATCGACTCCCTCATCACCAAGTGGCGGTGTAAGTGAAAGATCCTTTAACCTGTTCCACAAGTAATGTATTTAGACAAGACTTTCAATCAAACTAAGGCATCTCAGAGAACCAGCAGAAAACAGAACTCAAAACAAAACACAAAATTTAAAATGTAATAATACGGCCTTAAAAATATTCAAATGGTTCTTAAGTTCGCTGATAGTGTTTTGTAAATATTGAACTGTAGACTTGTATTGTAATTGTTTTTCCCCTAAAGGACAAAAAAAAGTCAAAGATTTATACAACGAATAATCTAATTATAAAACAATTTACACGGTTCTAAACAAATAATGCCAGTGATAAACCCATAAAAAAAAAAAAAATAATTTAGGCATTATTACTAGTTCAGAAATCATTTGGGTTAATACAAAGTATTAAAACAAAAGAGAGTGTACCTAAAATAAAAAAGGAAATTCATTTGCTCCTGGAAATTCCAGTTTCAAATAATCGTTGTAATTGATAGTTCTTAAAAAGTTTTAATTGTTTAATACAACAAGTGGTTAATTTCTAAAGAAGTGTAGAAATATATTCAGAATATATTTTACTCTTGTAAATGTAATAATTCCTTTGCGCTTACTTAAGATGGTGTTTGGATTTGAGTTAAATGTAGTTTTGTTTTAAAACTATTGCTTACTTCTTCATTTTGCTGGATAGTACAAACTACTTTCTTATTTTCCACCACAGATAACCACGTGATCATGGTGCAACGCATGATTGGATCCCAGCAACTGGGAACTGGCGGATCGTCCGGATATCAATATCTGCGCTCCACTCTCAGGTGATCATCGCAGACGTCTCAGCTCCGAGCTCGATGACCTCTAATTGTGATTTCACTTCTGATTTCAGTGACCGATACAAGGTGTTCCTGGACCTGTTCAACCTTTCCACTTTCCTGATTCCCCGCGAAGCGATTCCACCGCTCGACGAGACCATTCGCAAGAAACTGATCAACAAAAGTGTCTGACAATCGGGAGGGGATAACATTTTGTGTTGGCTATGATTTACTCTTCTCTTCCACTGTTTGCATAATAAAATTCTTGTTTATTCTTTGTTATAAAATACGATATGGTTTTCTTCACTCTGCGTAACTCTAAATTCCATACAATAGGTACTTCTTGATAATATATATAAGAAACTATATAGAATTTTTAATTCTTTCCTAAGGTTGTGCCGAAACTTGACTTCCTATCACCCTGAAAGTATGCCCTAAACATTCTGGTTATCCAGCACTTTCTGTCTCCCTCTTTTCTATTTGACCCATAACATATAGTATAGGTACCATAATTTCAAATGGAACTGTTTGGTTATGCTGTAAACTCGGAATATATCTTTTTTATTTCTGGATAAAAAACAATGAAATGCAAGGGAAAAATTCTTAAGGTCTTTTAACATTCAGTGTATAATATAATCCTTGTATATATGTACAAAAAGATAAGTTCTTGGCCCACACAAGTAATATTAAATTTCTATTAATTAAAAACATTGAACAAATTTGATATTGGTCATATTAATTCCACTGGGTATGGAACCGATCAATTAGATTTCAATAATTATCTGCGCATAATTATAATAAAAGGCGATTAAAAACAGAATGACAGTTCTACATATATGAATATATACCATATAATAAGAATATGCGCATTTTGGAGTGTTAAAAATGGCTTTTTGTTTTTTCACTTAATTGTTCAACTTGAAATGGCAAATAACCTCTTGAAAAGCACAGAAGCATTTAAAAAGCAATTGCGAATTGACCGTAGTATATCAGAACACACAACAACCTTGTGGGTGGAAAAGTGAATCCAGTTAATTGCAATTATAGTCGTTTTAATTGTTGAATCGGACGGACGGCCATATCTATTTATATGTCAGATTGTTACTGCTCTGTGTACAATCACTTTTAAACTCTTTTAAAAAGATCTGTTATGGAGAGTACCTATATTTAATTATCAATTTATTTTAAAAATTCATAGCTTTCTATGGTTTGCAATCATTAAATGATCATTTATAGGCGGGTTATCTATTTAGCGTTCGAGTTTTGCAATTATAATTTGGAGAGCGTTCCAACCTCTATCGCTGTTTGCTCAAATGGAGCACACGAAAACATAACCTTTGCCATCGGCCTTTCGCCGGGCGATAAGCCACCGATTTAGGCTCTGAGTTTTCAGTTTCATTTCTATTTATTATTTATTATTTATTGGAACGGGATGCCAAGTTCTGTCCGCTCCACTCTTCCAAGTGCCGACTGCAATTAATTAGGAGGAGATCGGGAGGGGAGGGGAATCGGGATCGGATCAGAACAATACTGAAATCAGAGAGCCGAGTTCTAAGGCATTGGCATTATGTAAGCTTAATTCGCTTGAATCGCTTACGTGAGCCACTTCCGAAGGCAAATGAATTTCGGACTACCCCCACTACATTTGCTCGGATCTCTGCGGTTATTTCTGTCCGGTCTTGTCGTGCTTTTGTTTGGCAATTAGAGCTCGGCCCAGGTAATTATGGACCGCAGCCATCCATCGAGCAACCCTTGAAGCAGGTCCCTCCAGAATCCAGAATCCAAATCCAGTGGCAAGTTCGCCGCTATTCTGCGAAGTCCGGCTCTAACGAATGGTTTTTACTATTATTGCTTCCAAATTTTCTAAGATAAAATTTACTTTTGGATTCAATAATACATTGTACTTATAACAGTAATGATATCTTATTTTTATATAGGTATATTTATAGGTTTATTATATTAATTAAAATCAAATCTATCACCGTTATGCAATAACATTTAATAAAAGTTATTTATTTTGGGAAAGGCACTGGCATTGTTCTATTATAAGTATTCAGGAGTCAGTCTATAAGAACCTTACTAAGTAAAATAGCTAAATTTATCTCTTTTATCTCTTATCTCTTTATAACATTAGTTTTCATTTGCGCTAATCTATAAATAAATAAATAAACAAACTTAAACAAATGCTAATGTTGTTTACAGTTATTTTTTTATGAAAACAAATGTTAATTGCGATAACCTGTGATTCATCACATTTACACTTTTAGAATGACTCTGAATCTTTAGTGACTACTACGTTTCTGCGGAATTTGAATTTATTTTATCTCTTCCTTCTACTACCTTAAATTTACTATTTATTTCATTTTTATCAATTTTTGCTATGAAAAGTTATTAAATATACATAGGTGGAAACACATTTTGTATTTATAAATTTGGGTGGTAAATAAGTTTAAAATTTTTTTAAGAGCCTTTGGATAAATATATGTAAATGCAAAGAATCTTTAAATTCAATAATACAATTAATAAAGTCGTTGAATGTGTTTGATATATATTGGTTTCATATATTAAATCAATTGCAAAATTGTATACATTTTTAATGAAAACTAAAACAGCCGGCTGTGATTTGTGTAGCGCAGCTGAGCGGAGGCGAAACCCCACGCCGCCGACGAACGCGTCGTAAGCTCATTAATAAAACCAACAAAAACAAGAGCAGAAGCAGCGGCTACAGCAGCAACATCTACAGCAGCAACAACAGCAACAGCAGCAACAACAGCAACATCAGTAGGAGCAACAGCAACACCGGCGACAGCAGCAGCAACATCAGCTGCGATCTTGGCAATCAGGCGGATTTCGCGCTGGAGTCTCTCAGCCAGTCAGCCAGTCGGCCAGTCAGTTTCAGTCGCTTTCCGAGTCTCCGTTCAGCTGGTCGAGGGTCGAGTTGTCTCCGAGTTACCCGTGAACCATCTACAACCCGTAAACCGTAAAGAAAATCGTAATAGGCCAAGGCGAAGTGCTAATAAAACGAGCAAAATGCGCGGCTGCCTGGCATTGAGTGCGCTCTTTTTGTGCCTGGCTCTCGCCGGCCGCTTTCATTTGGCAGGTAAACGAAAAGGCCACAGGTAGATAAACTCAATAACCCAAAACCCATCCCACTTGCAATCCCTCAGCTGGCTACAAGAGCGAGGTGCAGATCACACCGGATCCCCTAGACGCCGTGGAAACGACCACCAAGAAGTCCAGTTGGTTCGGCGGCTTCAAGAAGTTCTTCGGCAGCGATGCCACCACCACCACGACGACTCCCGCTGCCCCACCAGCTGTCACCACGCCCAGGGCGCTGGTGGTCACACCCACGGCGGCCCAGAAGCCGCCACCGCTGGTCATCTCGCACGCTCCACTGGTGCCATTGGGTCCGCGGCCGGACACCCCGGGATCCTCTCCGTTCGGCGCCTCTCCGCCGCCAGCCAGCGGTCCCCAGTGGCCCACGACCAGTGCCAGGACTCCCCAGGCCCATCCGCAACCGCATCCGCAGCCACAGCCCGCCCAGCAGCCCGCTCAAGGTCGCCAGCAGCCAGCGGGAGGCACTGCAGCACCCAATCTGCCGCCCGGATTCGCTCCCTATCGGCCACAAAAGCCGCAGCCCAATAGCTACGACCTGAGCTACGGCGGAGGTCCGGGGCAGGGAACCCGCAATCCTGGCTTTGGACTGGGCATCAGCACCACTTCCAGCTCTACGAGCACCACCACCACCCAGAGAACCCCCACCCCCACCAGCACCACAGGTAAGCCAGCGCAGAAGGAGGACTTCCCCTCGTTGCCAGGACCTCGAAGACCCTCGCAAAAGGAGGACTTCCCCGCACTGCCGACGGCCAAGACTCCTCCAGGATCACCGACTCCCACGCCGGGATCTCCTTCCGCCTGGCAGTCGCCGCTGCCAACGCCACAGCATCCAGTGCATCCGCCCACCAAGGTCACCCAACCACCTTCTCCCACGCCCACTGCCACCCACTCGGTTACGCCCACGCCGACTCCCGCCCACGGATCCTCCTTTGGACCACACAAAGTGGGTGGAGGAGGCGGTGGAGGTATTGGAGGTGGTGCCACCACAACCACCGTGCGACCCGGCTTCCAGTCGTCGGGCAACTCGGTGGCCACCGACGACGAGATTCGCCAGCTGACCGAGCAGCTGTACACCAAGGAGTCCAACAGCCAGCTGGGCAACATCCAGGTGAACCTGCAGGGACGCACGCGCTCCATCGACAGCGCCGACGAGGCACCCAATCCGTAAGTAGTCCTTGCAGGAATTGCGATCCTTAGAAGCGCATTGCGATCCAGCAAACAGAGAATCTTTTGCATTATGAGTATAGAAAATTTGACTTATCCAAATTGGGAGTCCTTCTATCTTAAATCCTACTATTCGAAGTTATTTTGTTTATTTTAATGAATTTAAAACAGGAAAAACAAAAAATAAATAGTAATTAAAGATTGTTTTGCTAATCGTGTTTAACAGAGAACTCAACAACTGCAAAAAGTATTTATTTTTCATGCCGTCATATGCTCGAAATATTATATATAAAGTGCAGATGTAGGTTAATGAGTACTGATTATTTGTATTAAAATACATATTTAAATGTTTAGAGGATTTTCTGATTAACGTTTCCTAACATCTTTGCTGAGCCATTTTTAGAGCTCTAAATATTAAAATAGTTCTTTTTGAACCTATATACAAAACTAAATAAAAACTTTGAACACCTATATTTAAATTATAAAAGATTTTGAAATGCGGTTAGTTAAATGAAAGAAGTGTATTATTTTACATAATTTTTATTTTTGTAAATGATATGAGTAATTGGAATATATTTACAATTTCGGCAGATCATAGTCTCTATAGGCTGTTAATATTCAATAACTCATTTTATTGTGAAACTTAATTTGTTACAAACATTTCGAATAGCGCTACAGAAGATAATGCATCGCTTTTTTCTACGTTAATTAAAACTATTATTTTTATTGACTTGCCATCCCAAAGTCTCCTGAATGTGGACGCCAAGGCCCTGGAGTCGCCGACGATCGCCAAGATGCGGCTGCTGTTCAACAACTACGAGCACGACACGCTGGTCAACGAGCACGTGACTCCGAACGAGCGGAAGGAGGAGAACGAGTTCCTGGACGCGGTGATGGCCACCCCGGTGATGCGGCAGGCGATGCTCTTCCTGCAGCAGAAGGGCGTGCTCGGACCCGATCCGAAGACCCACCGCGACCTGGTCAAGGAGCTCTGGTTCACGCAGTACTCCCGCGGCCAGGGCAAGATCGGCAGCTCCGGGTTCGAGCACGTCTTCGTCCACGAGGTGAAGGACGGCACCATCATCGGGTTCCACAACTGGGTCTACATCGGCGAGGAGGAGAAGGGCGGCCGCTTCGACTACAAGGGCTACATGAAGGAGCAGGACATTGGCACGGTGAGTGGTCCTTCGAGCGGATCCTTTGTAGAAAGCAGTGCAATAATGGGGTGGGACTGAAATCCTAAAAAAGGAAAGGTGTTTTTCGACTAATTTATTTATTTCACAATCCTATCTTATTTTTATTAAGTAAGATATTTAAATTAACAATAGTTGTTATTGAAATAGCAGATCCTACGCGGTCAGTTTAGTCCTTAAAATTTTGAGAACTTTAATATCAGTAGTTAACGTGGGTCCAATGTCTTTAATGGTTAACAATTATCATCATAACCCTCTCCTTTATTTTATATGTCTCCCTTTTTACCCGCGAATTCCCTTCTTAAAATAATTATTTACTTTTACTATCATATCTATTCCTTTTGCAGAAGGGCAAAGTCATAAAGATCAGGTTCTCGCACCAAGGAATCAACAAGCCTGTGAACTCCCTGTTTGTGGGAACCTCACCCGAATTGGAGCTCGCTCTCTACACAGTCTGCTTCCAGCTGCGTCCGGATCGCACCTGTCCGGTGTCCTTGGGCAACAGCAGGTTCGGCATCGTCACCTATTCGTGGCGCTACCGGGGAAAGAACCTGATCGGCAGCGCCTATCCCGAGATTTGAGGCATCGATCGTCGATCGCCCATCGCTTAGTCACCGTAGCATTTTTTTTCTGTCGCTTTAATAAATAAAGTAATTTTGTGAAAACAAATCAAACTTTTGTTTAATTTAATTAAAAGATTTTTATTTTCTGGTAGAAAATGTATGTATGTGTAAATCGGTATTAACAAGATAACACCAAAAAAAATAGTGTTTCTATTTATTATTTTGTTGGCTTATCTATACAAAAATATTTAAAGTTTTGTTCATTCAATTGCGCGGGCTTTGGCAAGCAGTTCTCAGCACTGCTTACCAGGTCCAAGGGATATCGATTTCCCTATCGATTCCTTTGGAGTTTTGGAGAGTTCATATTTTGCGCATCACTAATGCTATACGAACGTTAAGAATCCATAAAAGTTTTGAAATTCAAATAAAATAATAAATAACACATTCAAACAAAGCGTATTTATTTCTGTATTTACTTTAAAAAAAACAAGATAACTATTCTTGACAACGTTAGGTGGAGTAAAAACAAACCATTGAAACAAAATGGACTTTTTTTTGGACTTTTAATCAAAATTTGGAAATATTAAAATGTTTTAATAACAAACGTAGTTTATACCTGCGCATGGCTCATGCAAATATATTAAAGAAAAATACTACACTTCAATTTATATTGAAATCTTCAAGTCCTTTAAAAAAGTTCAAAATACTAAGGAGTGGCTAAAAAAGTTTTTAAATCTTAACATTTTTTAGTATTTTTGGTGTAATTTTTGAAACGGTTATACTAGGCGGCAATTACAAAATGAATGCGCGTGCAGTGGAAAACCAGTTACAGCGCTAAAGCCCGGCTCTCAGCGGTTTGTAGTTCTCTCTTTTGCAGGGTTGTCATGCATATACATACATTAAAAGTCCAGTTTACCCTGTCATTTGGGAAATATTTAATTCTAATATTTGACTCTCAAACTGCTTAGACTAGTGGTTTAGATATTTCACACTTACAACATCAAAATATTTTAGTTCAATTTCTAACCCAAAACAAAGTCTCCGTTGCTTAAAAAATTTTTTTAGTTTAATAATATCTAATTATTGGCCTTATACAATTCCATGAGGAACATATTTGCTTCTAATTTACGGAACAGAGTAACTTTTAATTATAAGCCAAAAAAAGTTATCAAAGCCTTCAACTTTGGCTTATCGATACACTGATATATTTATGCTTTTGACAACCCTACACCTGCGCTCTTTCTCTTCTTCTCGGCAACAAGTGATCTGCAAGTGATCTGCTGTTCCAGTCGGGTTTCATTGGTTTCAGCCATTTCATTGGTTTCAGCCATTTCAGTTGCTGTTTGACTGCCGGAGAAGTTTGTTGTGCATTTTTTTTGGTGCGCGGCGTGCCACGGATTACAACCACAACCACACTAACACACACTCAGCGGTCAAATTAAGTTTTTTTTTTTTTCGTTACCCAACTCGCAAGTGCCGTGCAATTATTGTTCTAATTTTGTTAACCGAAATTGAAAACCGTCGACGCTTTTTGACAAACAACGCAACAACCAAATTGGCGTAGCGAAGAAAAGAATCACAAACAACGAAACAGGGGAAAGAGGGAAGACAAGAAGAGAGCGGCAGAAGACTCTGCGGATGAAATGTAGCAGAATTCTTATAATCTTCTGTGTGCGGTGACGAAGTGACGATAAAAGCAACCGAGAAAGGAGCAAAGAGAGAAGAAGAAAGAAGGTTTAAGAAAGAGCTCAAAAACATAAAACACAAACTCACACGCTGGCAGAACGGTTAAATGAAACGCAAGGCAACAACAAAGCAAGTAAGTAATGCCCAGAAAATGAGACAGAGAGAGAGAGCGAAAGAGAGAGAGCGAGTGAGCAGGGAGAATGCACAGCAACGGCAGAAACCTTTTGCCCGCTCTCTCGGAATTCAAATCAGAATCTGAATCTTGGTCGCCAACAACAACAACAAAAACTCGAGTGTCAATAGAACCAGGATTGCCAGGCGCCATTAAGAGATCATTTTTATTGAACAAGTTTAATTGGCTATCGGAAGGAGGTTGAGGAATCTTAGGTGCGGCTTAGAGGTAGGATTTTTATAGGACAGTAGAAAGCCGTTAGCCTACAAATAATATTAATAATTTTGCCTTCGTTTTTATGTTTGTATATATGACAATTCCTTAAATATATTAACTATTCATTGAATTAAAAAAAACCGATAAAAATAATTTTTGAGACCAGTTTTTAGAACATTTGTCGCCACGTTAGTTTGTCAAGATCTTCTGTGTTATTCATGGGTATTTGAAGCATCATTAAAGTTTTTTTTTTTTAAATATCTTATGACTGTTTTCATTTATTATCTGTAAGATAAGTTGTAGCAAATTATAAAAAAATGTAATTTCTTGACTTCAAATATTTCTGATATTTTCTTTAGTTGCTATAAATTTGCGAGTTTGAGAAAAAATGTCACAATTTTGGAATGTGCGGCTTTTACATTCCAACATTGTGACATTTATTACCGATGAAATCACTGATGTTTATTTCCCAAAAATACTTTCAATCAATCGATCGATTAATCAGGCTGACCAATGCCATTGCCAATGGCAGCAATTGGCTCTATGAGCCACCCCCATCACGGCTAATTATAGAGGCAATAAAGTTTTCGAGTTGCGGTGAGATCATCGGAGATGCAATCTTGACTTCCAGCCAATTGCACGTGTTCGCGTCGAACCTTTTCGATTCTTCGGGTTCACCGCAGGCCCAGATGCCAAGACCTGTTCTCGTCTCCTCGAATGCGATCGCCGATCGGTTTCAATTTGTGTAACGGCACCTGGTCCCCATCCTCCTCCGATGGACGACGATCCATTGCCGCAGTTGCAGTTGCATAAGCTCGTCCTAACGGTTCTCGAGTGGTTCTAGATGCTGTTTTTCGGTTTCTTTTCCGATCCAATACGATCCAAACCGATCCGATCCGATCCGATCCGATCCGATGCGATCCCTACGATCGTCCCAATCGGATGGTTGCCTCGATTTGGCTCGTTCGTTTCGTTTCTTTTCGTTTTGTATCGTTTTTGGCTTTCGTTCGGTTTCGATCAGCGACGTTTTGGCAAATCATGCCAGGCCAAAAGAAGCCAAGAACGCTGCGCTGCCAACGGTATACGATGGCAAACAGTTAGGCGTGCAAAAAGCCAGAAAATAAAAAAAGATCGACGCAAAAGCTATAAAACAAAAAATTGGTGGTGGCGCAAAAGAAAACTGGTTCCGGCCATCGAAGAATGCCGCAGCGGCCACTTGGCCAGGTCCGAATGTCTCTGCCTGTCTTCGCGTCAGTGTGTGTGTTTGTGTGTGTGTGAGAGTGTCAGTGTATGCGTGCCACTTCCGTACAACAACGCCCTGACCCCCTCCCTCTCTCCCCTCTCCACCAATCTCCACCTTCCCCTTCTTAGTTGGCCTCTCTCCCGAGTTCGCGTTCGTTGCCTGAGTCTTTTGTTTTCCCTGCTCTTTGCCGTGTTTTCTTATCGCTGCTATAATTTTATACCCTGACGGAGGGTGATTTCATTAGGGTTCGCCTGTTGCATCCACAGAGGGGTCAGCGATGAGAGCCTACCTACATATATCAAGCTCTTAATCCAAAAACAATACATCAGGTTTTTATGGGAAAACGGTTTTGTTACGGGGTTTGTTATGCCATGGGTCATACATTTTAATAAAACACAATGTGCATATAGCGGCATGTGTCTGAACCTTTTCTCGAGTCCAGTACAACTGTGAGTTATGAACAGAAATCTATTTGAATTGGAATCTTAGTCCTTTGTCTTCAGTAATTTTCAGTTAGCTTATTATATGTACAGCAAGTTTTTAAAAGGTCAAGGAATTTTGTACCCAACAGCTAAGTTCTCTACAAGGAAACCCTAATATTCACATTTTTATTTAAAAAAAAAGTAATCAAATGTGCATGGAAAGATACTTTTCTTTGTATACTAAACAATTACATTCTTTCATTTAATTATTCGTCTAGTTAAACTCTATTAACAATCAACTGGGGAACAAGAGTATCTGGAATTTCCGAAGCTAGGTGTTCGGTCGTGCTATCGATAATTTTTTGCTTTTCGCTTTCGTGCTCATTTTCATGCTGGCGACGCTGGCGAAGAAAAAGCCCGGCCGCAAATGCTAAAAATGCATAACAAAGCCAGAGCAAACACCACCACGAATGCCAGCTCACACAATCACTCACACTCATGCTAATGCGACAAAGATGTTAATTGACTTTTACTTTATTTAAACAAAATAGTCACAGCGAACACGAGCAGCAACAAAAACAGCAAACCGATCTCCATTGAGTGAAATTTTTAATTTACGTTTTTTATTATTTTTTTTTTTTGTTTGGTTTTCGCGGTAAATCTTCGGATCTTCGCCGTCATCCTCTTGAACAGAGACCTCTTCTGTTGTCGTCATCGATTTCGTTTTTTGATCGAAACCCTACACACTGTTATTAAGTTTTAATCGATTTGGACGAAGCGTTAATTGGAGCCATCAAAAATCAATTTCGCCTGGGAACTTTTGCTAGCTGAGGCTTGATTTAATCAAATCGATTAAGTAGAGTTACAAATGTGGGCTAAACTCTGAAATTGTTTTGAGAAAGTAACGTAAGGGATGTTGATCTTATAATAATTATTGTATTGGTAATAGATTTTTGGAATTCAGTTTTCCTATTGCTGTAGAATTATTAAATAGAATTATTAAATATTATTTGGGCAATATAAGAAAGTACTTAGGTTTTCATCTTTAAAACAGTAAGAAGGGTTTTAAATTTATTTAAAAGAGATATTGAGTTTATATATATAATATATTATATAAACTAAAATTATATAATGTCTTAAAACTTTTAAATTTGTTTTCGAGCAATAGTAATTTCCTATTATTTTCTAACTTTTTTTGTTTAAAATATTTTTACAACTTTTATTCTTAGCCAACAAAGGATTTTTAATCGATTTATGATATATTTATTGAATGTGTAGTAGTCTTTTTTAAAAGTTCGTGTAAAACAGCGTAATTTCAAAATTTTGAGGCCCACATATTCATTTTTCTTCTTATGGGTTAACCTGAATTGATGAAGTTATTAATTACCGCGCTGTCTTTACAAGACTCGCGTATGGTCTGCATTTTTAATTGGGCACCAAAACCAAGTCGGAGCCCCATCTTTGGCGGCGGCACCTCCGCCAGATTCGCGTCTGAAAAACTGCAGTACCTTTTTGGCCTCGAACGTTGGCTTGTTGGCTTGGCCCACATTCCGCAACGCCCCCAAAAGACGCAGCTGTTTCCCAGCTCGTGGGCGCCCCTTCCACGTTTTGCAGCTCCGCGTGGATGGAGTTTCCAGTGGATATTGAATGGTGGATTGGTGGATTGGTGGATGGAGGTCCCGGTGGGCCCTTGTTTTGCCAATGCCGCCAATGTTGCGGGTGCGGCAGCAACTTCAACGGCGACGCATAGACGCAAAACGGCGATTGCAAAAAGCAAATCAAGCGGCACTCCTACAGTGAAGCCAACGCCAATGGACTCGAGTTGATTGTTAGAATAGTTTATGCACCGCCACTTTCAATTGTCTCCGGCGGCGCGTTTTCAAAATTTCCCTTTTTGTTTTTTTTTTTTTTTTTCTGCATGCATCGAGTTATCCGCTCTTGGATTTTGTATTTTGTATTTTGTATTTTGTATTTGATTTTGTGTTTGCATTGTGGGCTTGTCGCCGTGTGTATTTGTGATCGATGAGCAAGCTGCTGGCAACATGGCGCGCTTTTTTTTATTTCTTCCAAAGGTTTATTGGCCTTTTGGCTTACTCTCTGCACGCGCCTGTGTGTGTGTGTGTGTGTGTCGCCATTTTAGCTCGAACTTGGCTTATACCATTTGGCTGGGCTCTGGTTTTGTTTTTGGTCTTGGTTTTGACGCTGCTGCTAGTGAAATCGTGCGCCGACTCAACCTTCTTGCTAAATATTTCTTCTTTCTACATGAAATTTTCTATTTGTCCAACCCGAAAACGAAAGACGAAAAAATGCCAGGCCCAAGAGCAGCAAAAGCAGCAACAGCAGCAGCAGCGCCAGTGGCAATTAAGCCGCTTACTGCAACAACGGAGAATAATATATATGACTAGTCACTCCCTAGACAAGCGAAGCCAAGACAAACCCAAGAAAAGCCGCGAGCTGTGAGTGCGTGCTGCTGACTGTTGACTGTTTTTGGCCAAAGCTTTTAGCCAATAAGTCAAACTGTCAGTCAGGCAGTCGCGGCCAGACGTCGCTGGCATCGCCGTTGGCTTTAATTGAAATGGCACGGCTCGGGGAAATGGGCCTCGGACCTCGGACCTCAAACCTCGAAGCTCGGCTGCAGTCCGAAATTGAATTAGCCTGGAATTCTGCGGAGCTGCAGGGCAACGAGCTGCAGATTATCGCGGATCTTGGCGGGATATTGCTCCCGAGTCTTGGCCAGATTCGAGGGGAATTGGCCAGTTTTCTCTCAAACGAGCTTGGAATGTCAGATCCACTTAGGGATTCTGCCTGATTTCAAAAAAAAAAAAAAACAAGATCTTGTCAGCGCTCAAATTGGATATTATTATTCTTAAGTCTTATCCTGAGCTAAGATATGAGAAAAATATATCACTTTTTATTTAAAATATATTAATACAATTACATATTAAAGTAAAAGTAAAATATAAACAACTATTATTTTCCATATCCAAAACAAATAAAGAATGCATTAAATGTTTTAATTTTTATTGCAACTATTAATTTCCTTTCCATATTCAAAATTGATTTAAAGACTTATGTTATGAAATCAAATGAGCTATTTAAATTAATCAAACCGATTAAAACAATAATCTGTTACCAACTTTTCGTAATTAACCTTTGCGAACCCAAATTTTGATTTGAATTTCAATTCAATCCGAAAACAACATATTTATTACTGAAGGCATGCAGCGCCTATGATTATCGTTCAATCTGTGTTTCAAGCACGCAGCCTAAACGAAAAATCCGACTTGCATATCGAAAAACAATCAGCTTTGAAAATAAAACAAAAGTAAACAATAAATAATGCATAATTGCGGCGAGCAAATAGCGAATGTGTTAAGTGGGTAAAAAAACGCAACTTGAAAGTAAACCGAAGTAAACCGAAATTAATTGCTGCTCGAATTGCAAATTGCAGTTCGTCAAACCGACTCAATTAAAACAAAATCGAAATCGTAAACGAAAACGTTAAATTAAATAGCTGGCGCAACATAATTAAAGATCGTATTTGGCTGTGCGTGTGCGAGATGGTGAGGTGTTTGTCGAGATAAAAAAAAAACAACACTCGGCCGTCTATTGAGTTTCACTTCGTGGCAGCCGGAGCCGCACCTCCTCCCCCTCCCCCTTTCCCCCTCCCCTGTTTTGGCCATATTTCTAGGGCCATTCAGACTTCTCAGCTATGCCAAGAATGTATCAATACACTCGAAACGAAAAACTTGCTGCCAAGCCAACAGAAACACATTTTTTCCAGCCACAAACACACACAGACATCAACACCTGAAACCGACTTGTGCATAACTTAACATTTAAGCGTTTTAACAGGTGCGGTCTGCTGCCTTTGTGTGTGTGTGTGTGCATGTGTGTGAGCATGTGCGTGTGTGTCATGGATGATAACAAATCATTTTTAGAAATCGAACACAAGCATCTCATACAGAATTGGATTTTGTCATGGGAACACGCTTGCCACAAAAACATTTCCCATGTTAAAATGGAAATGAGGGGAAGAGTCTGTTGTCTGAGATATTTATTTATATATATTAATTTTTATATAGACAAACTTAGCCAAGGAGCTTACACACCTATGATAGCTGTACAAGAATTTAATAAAGTGTTTGTAAAAGCCCAAAGATAAAATACTTGACACCAAAAACAAACGACTTAGGCGACGAACTTGAGTAGTTTTTGAAAGTTGTTTACTTTTAATGTACAATTATAAGTAACGCAAACTTATGTTTTTTGAATATATAATAAACTATGAAAATTAACATTGCTCAAAATGTTAAAATTAATGCAAATATTAAGTGTCTTGCGTTTATTTAAGTCGGCATTCTTTCGTTATATCAAAATCAAACATTATTGCATGTCTAATAAATTTTCAATTAATCAAATTAAGCAGGGAATCCTAATGTAGGTATCTTCGATTGCGTAATTTCCGCTAAGTGGGCTGCCCAACCCATGCCACAAAAATCAAAATAAAAACCCGACTTTACTTTGCCGTGAGTGATCGAAAGGCAAGCTGCAAATGAAATTCTTATGATTGTTATTCCACATCGTTGGATATTTGCTCATTGATTACTAACACACATAATCATGATGTTAATGCCGCGCTCGTTGTTATTGTTATTGTTAATGCTCTTTATGTTGTTGTTGCTATTTTCGCTGCTGCCGCTTTGGTTTTGTTGCTACCTTAGCATTAAACATGGACTGCAGGCAGCGACGTCTTAGCATTGGAATGCGGTCGAACCCGTAGCTAGCCAAGATTTTTGTTGGCTGCCTAGCCATTGTTTTTGTTATTGTTACACAGGGGAAAAGAAAAAGGGAGGGTTGCTTAAATCTTATTTAAGCCGTATTGAATAGTTTGTGTTTGTCTTTTTTAACCAGTGTAGTTAGCTATTCCAATTAGTAAATCGGGAAAATTTTAAAACAAGCATATACATTATTATTTAAATGTTCAAAAATTGTAAAATAATTCTAGTTCAATGCCACTGATTGAATCATACTTTGTTTTGCTGAATAGAGCTCTGTGCTTTTCTCTCAGTGTACGGCATGTGGCCCGAAAAGATCGAGGGAAGGAGAGGCCTGGCTGGTGCGTACGTGTTGGCCTGATGAAGCCGCGAACTGAATGAAATTGTCTGACGAAGTGTCAGCCTCTCGAAAACAAGTTCCTCTATTGACTCTCTTAATTCGTGAGCACTTGCCGCGCCAGTTGGCATCAAACAGATTCGTTACTCTGGCCCCAAACCCAAACCCAACTTCAACTTCAGCTCCAATTTTGAATCTGAATCCGAATCCGAATCCAAGTCCACTTGCAGTTAGCCAACAAATCCAAATCCGATTGACTCACTTAAGCCAAAACTGCTTGAATCAAATCAAATCAAATTAAATCGCGACAACTTCTCACTCTCTCGTCGTTGCTTTTTGCTTTTTGTTTTTTATTTTTATTTTCATTTGATGTTTCTGTTGTTTTGGGCATAAATATTTATGTATGTGTGCTAAAGGCATTTGCCGCGAAACAGGTGAAAGTTTTGCCTGAGAAAAGGCAGAGACAAAACAACTACAACATCATAAAACAACAACTGCAAAGGCAGAAGAAGCGTGTCTGAGTCTCCACTTTTCCTTCGCTCTTGCCGCATCTGTTTAATATTCTTTTGGCCAACCTATATACTATATATATATATATATATATATATATATATATATAGCGTATGCGGCGGGGCTTTTTGGGCGTTCGCATTTCATATTTATAATATTGCTTTTTCGGAAATTTCTTAATGAACTTGAATGTTTGGCTTCTCTTTCCCCGACGTTCCCTTTTTTGGGGCGCTCATAATTTTAAACGCATTCTTGGCATTTTAATTGGTTTTCTTGGGGCCTTGTTTCGATCGAACTGGCAATTCGAATTTATAGTATTGGTGACAACTTTGGCTTTGATAGCCCAATTCTGAGGCCAATTCTTTGGACTTCATTTGCTAAAGTTCAAAACCAAGTTGTTTGTTGTTAGATATACAAAAGGTTATAATGCTTAGGGCAATGTCAGGCAAAAATACTTTAATCATTAAAAAACGGTTCTGGGACTTGAATAATTAATCTTTAAGTGTTTGACAAAATACAATTAAAAATGCTTCTGCAGACGGCAAGTGAATGGTAAATTTAAATAGTTTGCTGGCAAAACTGACCTTGCCTTCACCTGAATTTCTTGAATTTATTTTGAAAATAGTATTTAGAAAAGATTAAAAATTGAATATACATATATTTGGACAATTTCTTAGTATTAAATTTATTGAAAATACAATTTTCAAGTGGCTTTGTGGAGTAGTGCAACTTAAAGCTGAGTCTATTTTAGGTATCCCTTCACCATAGCCTTTGGCATATTAGATCTTCCGACTGCAATCGTGAATTTCTGACGTGTCTTATTCAATCAGTTTGATTCCCTCGGATCTTCTGCAACGATGCGAACGATTGCTGCTGTCATTGTTGCCGCTTCACGATTTAGTTGCTTTTTTGTTTTTTATTTTTCCTCTGCCGTTGCATTTCATTGCACCCCGGTTTCGGTTGGCAAACGTTTCCACAGAGACAAACTGAGGGGAGAAAAATGAACATAAAAAGTTAACACTCGTATACTTGCTAAGATGCGAAAAATCTGTACTTTCATTCATGGAGCGGCCTTCGCGTCATTGACTCCAAATAGTTGCCGTCACCACGAACCGCTCACGATCCCCATTAAAATCACTCCGAGCGGTGGAGCTGTGGGGATAAGTCTGATAAGCCGTCCGTTCAGCAATTTTATAATTTTCATAAGGCAAGAGTGCGAGGTATTTCGTAGAAAGGCGCCATAGCTATATGCATTTTTCCCCCAAATACCACGATTTTTACCTTTTTTGCCTTGAGAAAACAAACAGTGTACTAAGCAAATCGCATTTTGTGTCTTTCTTGCAGCAATGAATCAACCGGTTTGAAGACCACATCCACACGGCAGTCCATTCCCAATTAGATCAGATCAGATCCGATCCGATCCAGGAATCCAGAAGAGCTACAGAAGGAAGGAGAGGCTACAGAAGCAGGAGATCGGGAGAGTATCGTTTCCACACCGATCCCACCGGAGGACAGTGATTAGAGAGTTGCGGAATACTCAAGAAAGCACATTGGAGCCATGGACTGGGCCGAAGGCGATCTGGTCTGGTTCGATCCGGGCATGGGACACCCCATTCCCGGCGAGATCCAGGAGGTCCACCGCGCTGCCCAGGTGATCGTCGTCCAGGCGCTCATTAAAGGAAAGGTGCGTACATTTAACTCGTTGAGTTTGAAACTTATTTTAAAACCAAAGCAGGGCATAATATTAGAAGTTGTGAATATTTAAAGAATATTTTTACGGCTTATGAGCAGGTTTTTTTTTAAAGCATGTTATTTTATTTATTAAAGAATCCCTTTAGAGAGACTAACATAAACTTAAACTGTTATGTTGAATGATAACAGAATAAAGGGGACTGAAATTTAGTATTAGTTAAGAAAATCGAAAAGTTTTAGGGGCACAACTAGTGTGACGGCCTAAAAAAATGGTGATTTTTGGGAATTTTTATAAAAAAAACTACTTGATCAATTCTTTTCAAATTTTCAGAATATATTTATACATGTTTTAAGAATGTATAGTAAAATTTTTAAAGAAAAAAGTTAAATATTTTTTAAGTTATAGTCGATCTCCAACGGCGCTAAAAAAAAAAGTGCCTCAACTGCTGCAGTGATTCCGGCCCTCTCCGTGGACGAAATCAAAAAATGATAATAATATTTTCCATACCATGAACTACGAAAAAAAAAAAAATATCAAAAAATGACAAAATGGCAGCGTTTTAAAAAAGAAAATCGAATTTTAACCAAAATTTTGGTCGTTTTTGGCCTGCCAAAATTCGATTTTTAATCGGATCAAAAAACCGATAGTTCATGGTACGTAGAACTATATAAAGAACATGTAAAAAAATTTGGTAGTGATCGCATCACTAGTTTTTGAGTTATCACTGCAGCAAATTTGGAAAATGCTGTTTCGAGAAAAACGCGCTTAAAGATAAAATGATCGTTTGCACTGTTATGAGAGCGGCTGCTCTTTAAATTGTTATAACTCAAAAACTATTTGAGATATCGATTTTAAATTTTAATGTGTTATTTTTAAAGGTTTTATCTACCGAAAAATGAAAAAAAAATTTTTGGATTTTTTTAAAACTTCACACTAGTTGTGCCCCTTTAGGCATAATGTTGTTAAGTTTGCATTGTTTTGTTTTGAACATGTTTGTTGAAAAAATAATTTACTTTAATATTGAAAACTGACTAAATTAAATCAATCAAAAATAATACAATTTTTTATTGTATTGTACATATAATATTTGTAGCAAAGCTTGAAGCAATTCAAATGCATACAAAGTTTGATTCACTTACTTTAATAAGTTTTATATAAAATTATTATTTGATTCAATTAATATTTAATATCATACTTATTTTATTTTGATTCCACTTTTATATATTTAATGATTTTCGAAATTTTAAGTATGTATTTGCTTTTGGTAAATAGGCTTTGATACTGGCACTTCTTCTTTTAACATCCACCTTGGTACCTATTCCGCATTTTTGTTTCTGAATTCCACTTAAACGCTAGAACTTTTTCTCCGAGTGCACTTTTGTAGCGTGGCCCTGCAGAAGGTGCGAATTCGCACCGTCGCCGTCGTTTGGCTCGGTTTCGTGGCTTACTGTTTGAATTTTCAATTTGTTTTCGGTTTTCGAGGTGGCCCATGAATGCGTTTCACTATTTTCACCCGACATGAACTGTTTGCACTTATTTCGGCCACCATTGGCTGGCTGCCCTGTGGTGTTTGCCAGGTTGGAGGGGGGAGAACTCCCTCTCGGAATTTATGGAATGTGCTGGCCGGGATTTATGTGCCGATTAGCTGTGCAACCACGAACAACCGAGCGTTGGTCAACAATAAAGTCGCGCCGAGGCGGATTTCTTTTTGGCCACCGGCCACTGCGTGTTTACTGTACTCCTCACTGTACAGAGTACAGTGGACTGTACCACCTGTGCTGTGCAACTAATTGCAGCTGCCAGCGGCCAGCGTTTCCTTTTTCCTTTCTGCCACTCGCTGCAATTATGAACTCGTGGAAGTTGCAAGTTGCAAAGTTGCAGAGTTGCAGAGTCGCAGATATCAAGATTGAGAACTCACGGCAATCAGTCGCAAGTCGTCGACTGACAGCCGAAGCCAACATTAGTTGTTGGCACAGAGGAAAAATCTGAATTACAACGAGTTTGACATGGCTGCCGATCAAATTTATCTTGTAAATCGGACACTAAGTCTTATGATTTGCATCCTGCAACTTCACATTGCAATGCAACAATTTTTGTTGAGCCTACACACTAAAAGAAGAGAGCAAGTTTGATTTATCTATTTGCTATACTGAGTTCTATTTAATATTACTGTTGAGTTGAATTTAAAATAAACTAATACCTATAAAATATAAGAGTAAATTCTGGCTAAAAACTAATTTACTCAATCAACACTACGAAAAATTAGGTACACAAATATTATGTCTTTAACAGGAAATAAATAACATGCATTGGAAATATCAAACAAATTTTCTTCAACTAAATATTAAATTAAATGTCAATGCTGATAAATATTGTACAAATGCAAAAGTGGAAACCTAAAGAGTGTGATAATGTATTACGAATTTGACTTTAAGGTTCTTTTATGATTAAAGTGAAAACCAAGACTTTACGTGCTTGGTTTTTTTTTTACTTTATTAGCAAATAAACATTTGACAAATTGCAAATTTCACTGCATAAACAAGTGCCTCTTTTGTTATGGCAACAAAAACTCTGTTTTCATCTTTAAGTAACCTTACGATCGAAAAAAAAGAAAGCAAATAGATAGTAAAACTATTTGTTTATTATATATAATATTTCCGGTTTTATTTTTTGCAATAGCAGGTGTAGTTTGCATTTCGTGTGCCTAAAAGTTTGGTGGTAACATTTAAAAATACATTAAAGAAATGAGTTAATATAAAAAATAAAAGAAATTTTTTTTTTTTTTTTAAATATGTATTAAATTATTATAAAAAAAATATAAGTTGATTTTTTTTTTTTAATTTTCCCAATTGTTTTTTTCTTGATTGCTCTTCTGGCAAATACCATTATTTTCGCTCCGTAGGCCGGTGAATCTCTGAATCGTTGAATCAGTGGCAGTAATGTCGGCTATAGCGGTACCAGAATCGGAAAACCGGCCACATGTGACTCGTATCCTGTTCGCCAGAACCTGTTGGCAGCACATGGGTTGCCTTGGATGTTCTGGCATCAAGATCGGTTACTTAGACCATGGGAAGCCGCTTCGCAAGTTGTAATCGAGCAAGTAGATCAATTATCGGCTAATGAATCGATGATGAACTACCCCTGGTTGAAAGTTAAATGGGATTCTTGTTGGTTTTCCTGGGTTTTCTCAAGGGTTTTTGTTGATTGGTTACCGTTGAACAAGTTATACAATAAATTAAAGGTTTATTAGGTTCTTGGATAAATTTATTTTATTTATAAACGTAGTTTATTAAGCTCTTGGATAAACGTTTTTTAATCGAAGGATAGCTAAAAGCTTTTTGTTGAGTTTTATGTAATAGTTGCACCTTCTTGATAAAAACTAGTTTCTTTTTTTTCCTATGTAGAGCAGATCTTGGTATATGTAATAGTCAAGTATCTTAAATGTTAGTACCTTTAATGTGTTTAGAGAAATTAATTGAATAAGAAATTGTTAAAATTATTCTAAAATTTAAAGACTTGTTAGCTAAGTGGTAATTTCTGTTACAAATTATAGATATTTGTATTTAATAGAAAATCACTTTTCTAATTATTACTTCTCAATTAATTAAATGTGCTCCTACAAGAATATAAAAGTTAATTTAAAAGCATAAACAGTGTAGATCGGTTGCATCTCTTAGGAACTAAAATCACTTTAAATGAGGCCTGAAAGTATGCTGCGGTAAAATTGAAGTGCAAAAGCCTCTTTGCCATTAGGAATTAAACAGAATTTTCTAAGCCAGTTTTCTGGTTGCAAAGACCTCTTCTGAATTACTATTTATTCGGGGCATTCCCCCGATCGATTGACTCACCTCATTTGACACAGCCATTGAAGCGAACACCAAATTCCGAATACCGAATAGCGATCAATATCAATGGGGAAGTCGCCGAAGCGAATGCATTCTCAGCGGTCCACAGAAGATATTTCACGCCTTTGTTTGGGTCGGCTATCAAATGACAATCCCCTGCCCCACACGACGAAGCTCAGAACTGAAGAATGAAGATTGAAGACTGGAGACGGAAGACTGAAGACGGAAGACTGAAGACTGAAGATGAGCCCAAGAACCCAGAGACACAGACACATCGAACTTGAACTGGTTGGCCCCTCGGTGAAAGTCCCACACACTGTCGCCTAATTGAATGGCGATCGAAAGACCGCTTCCATACCAAACATATAGTATATAAATGCGTTCGGTTGATCGGTTGAACGGATGATCGGGCGATCGGGTAATCGGGTGTCTTCTCTCCCCGGTTTCTCTTTATATAATCAGTTTTTGTGGCTCCGGCCAGTGCGTTCTTTTGGCCCACACTAACTAAATAGTTGGCCAGCCGAGTGGCCAACAGGGAGGAGGAGTGTCATCTGGTCTGGCCGGGTTCGATGTGATCCGGTCCATCTACCGACTACCGACTACCAACTACAAACTACCGACTACCAACTAGCATCTTCCATTTCCCAAGAACGTGTTTGGATGCGAGCGAGGCGAAAACCGTTTTAGAAACGTTTGGGGAAATTGTGGCAGTGCCGCCGCCAGATTTCGATTCCTTTCAGTTGCATTCGAGACTTCGGGCACAAACGTCTTTTGTGAGACGAGTTCTTGCTCGTTTCTCTGCTTTCTGGATCACCATAGAGTTCGAGCTTGGATTCGGGTTCGGTTTTGGTTTTGGTTTCGGTTTCGGTTTCGGGTGCAGGTGGGGGCTCCTCGCATCCAGATGCGCATCGTCCGGTTCCACTTGGAGCCGTGGCAGCGCGGCGGCGGCGGATCGGTGACCCCGAGTCCCGCCCAGTCGCCCTCGTTGGCGCTCCTCTCGCCGCATGTCTTGCGTCGCCAGCGGCCCGCCAGCTTGGAGGATCTGGAGGATCTACCGGGCCACCAGCACTCCTCCATCAAGCATCCGGCTGTGCCCTCCAGTCGCCTGCGACGCCTCAAGTGCAGATATCCGCAGGTCGTCAAGCGACTCTCCACCCTCTGCAGCGATGTCATCGCCCGCCATGTGAGAGAAGTTCCCGGAAGAGTTTGTCATAGGATAAGATACAGATTAGGAATATGTGGGATAAGAAACACACCGAGGGAAATCAAGAGCAATTTGAAGTAGATTTTAAATCAAAGCTAACAGCTTGCAATTTCATGCACAACAGCAAACAATTTGTCACACTGACCGAATTTTTCGTATCAAGTTGGCGCTGTTTTACAACAATTATAATTTGCTACATCTACGTACTAAGCTCAAATAATTCAATATTAAACTGTTCCTTTAAGCAAACTTAAGTTATATCCGTTTCAAATGTGAACAAGTAAATAGAAACTTCTAATAAGTTGATGAAAGAGTTGTGTTTACACAATGCCAATAAGGCCTATTGGATATACAAATACCTACAGTAAACGAAACTATTTAAATATATAATTAAATATTAAACGGTGATGGACATGTCAGCTTTAGAAAATTTGTATTTTTAAATATTTTCTGGGAACTGCATTTCTTCTATTTAATGTCATATATTTCAATAAAACGAAATCGTATTACAATAAAGCTAATTATAGTCAAATTATAATAGGCGATCGTGATTAAAAAGTTAGGCTGATAGGATTAATCACGAATAAATTTGTAAAATTTATAACCTCTAATTCCATTAAATTATCTTACATTTTGATTAAAACATATTATTATTTTTTGATACATATTAGATTCATAAAGGCATTAACAAAGTTATGTGCTTTTTAAGGTTTTTGTATTTTCTAACGATATTTCTAGAGTGACCAGTCCTATTTTTAAGTAAGCTACTGAGTGCAGTGTTGCCACATTTCTCTAATTCGAGTTTTTCCCTCCTTGCAGCCACAGACGTTCGCCTTGCAGCCAGGAGAGGGAAGTCTGCGGGCTCGTCAGGATCTGGGGAGCAGCGGAGTGGAGGACATGACCCTTCTGGACGACCTGCACGAGGCGTCGCTGCTGTGGAACCTGCGATTGCGCTACGACAAGGGTTTGATCTACACCTTCGCGGGGAGCATCCTGATCGCGGTGAATCCCTACAAGATGTTCCCCGATGCCTACGGACTGGAGGTGGCCAAGCAGTACGCCGGGCGTCCGCTGGGTTCCCTTCCCCCGCACCTGTTCGCCATTGGAGCGGCTGCCCATGCGGCTCTGCCCTCGCCGCAGGTGGTGGTCATCTCCGGGGAGAGCGGCTCCGGCAAAACGGAGTCCACCAAGCTGGTGATGCAGTACTTGGCGGCGGTGGTTCCCGGCGGTGGTTCCGCCTCGGCGGTGATCACCGAGCAGATCCTGGAGGCGGCACCTCTTCTCGAAGCCTTTGGCAATGCGCGGACCGCTCGGAATGACAATAGTTCGAGATTCGGAAAGTACTTAGAGGTCTACTTCAAGAGCGGCGCCATCGTGGGGGCCCGCATCACGCAGTACCTGCTGGAGAAGTCGAGGATCGTGACGCAGGCGCCGGGGGAGCGCAACTACCACGTCTTCTACGAGCTCCTCGGCGGACTCTCCGAAGCGGAGCGGTCCAAGTACGGACTCCTCGAGGCGGACAAGTACTTCTACCTGAACCAGGGAGCCACCGATTGCGCCAGTGGTCGCGTGGACTGGGAGTCGCTGCAGGGAGCCATGCAGGTTCTCGGGGTTTCCGAGGGCGAAAGGGAAGGGATCGTCCGTGTTCTGGCCGCGGTGCTCCACCTGGGCAATGTCTACTTCCACCGCAGGCAACTGCGACATGGCCAGGAAGGAGTGGAGGTGGGCTCCGATGCGGAGATCAAGTGGGCCGCCCACCTGCTGCACATCAGCGCCGAGGGACTGCATCGAGCTCTGACCAGCAGGACGACAGAGGCGCGAGCGGAGCGACTCCACACGCCACTGGGAATCGATCAGGCTTTGGATGCCCGCGATGCCTTCGCGAAGGCGCTTTACGCAGGACTCTTCAACTGGTTGGTCTCCCGCATCAACTCGATCGTCCAGAAGGGTGGAACCCACGATGCACATCGCATCAGCATCCTGGACATCTTCGGGTTCGAGGATCTGGCGGAGAACAGCTTCGAGCAGCTGTGCATCAACTATGCGAACGAGAACCTGCAGCTCTACTTCAACAAGCACGTTTTCAAGCTGGAGCAGGCGGAGTACGCCAGGGAGCGATTGGAGTGGACTCCCTTGGCTTGGGACGACAACCTGCCGGTGATCCATCTGCTGGCCAAGAAGCCAGTGGGCATCTGTCACCTGCTAGACGACGAGTCCAACTTCCCGCGCGCCACCGATCTGAGTTTCCTGGAGAAGTGCCACTACAACCATGCGCTTAGCGAGCTCTACGCTCGTCCGAGGATCGGTGCCCAGGAGTTCGGGGTGACCCACTACGCTGGTCAGGTGTGGTACTGCGTCGATGGATTTCTGGACAAGAACCGCGATGCCTTGCGGGGAGATGTCCTGGAGCTCCTCGCCTCCAGTCGACTGCCTTTGGTGGGCGAACTGACCAAGCAGTTGAGAGCACAGCGGGATGCTGGGAAGACCCTTCCGAAGGGCAGCAATGGACGCTTCGTTACCATGAAGCCGCGCACTCCCACGGTGGCCGCCCGCTTTGCGGACTCACTGCAGCAACTCCTGCAGTCGATGGGTCGCTGCCATCCGTGGTTCGTGCGCTGCATCAAACCGAACCAGGAGAAGCACGCCCTCCGCATGGACATGCCCTGTGTGCTCCAGCAACTCCGCTATTTGGGCATGCTGGACACCATCCAGATCCGGCAGCGCGGCTACCCAGTGCGTCTGCGCTTCCAGCACTTCGTGGAGCGCTATCGCCACCTCCTCGCCGCCCCACTTGCGAGGGGAACTCCCTACCGGGAGCTCTGCCGCGCTCTCCTGGAGGCGATGCCACGAACGGGAGTGGAGGGACCCGATTACCAACTGGGCGCCACGCGCGTCTTCCTCCGGGAGGCTCTGCATCGCGCTCTGGAAAGCGGACGCACGGAGCGCCTTCGTCGGGCGGCGGTCAGTGTGCAGCGACATGTGCGTGGAATGCTGGTTCGTCGGCAGTTGGCGCGTCGCCAGGCGGCGGCCACTCGGTTGCAGGCTCGCTGGCGAGGTCAGCGGGATCAGCAGCGGTACGAGCGACTGCGAAGGGGAGCCATCACTGCTCAGCGCTTGTGGAGGGGCAGGCAGGCCAGGAGGAGGGTGCAGCAGCTCCGCTCGGATCATCGGAGGCGCCAGGAGGCAAGGGAGGCGGCTCAGCGAGCTCGAGAGGCACGGGAAGCCAAGCAGGCGGTGCTGGAGCGCAGTCAACTAAGCTACCTGGATATTCCCGCAGAGCTCGCTTTCATCTACTCGAAGCTCCAGGGTTGGTCGCCTCCGCACGGAGATCGTCACCTGGTAAAGGTTCTGGGCACAGTGCCAGGACCTCCGGCATCCTCTGTCCAACTACCCGAGGATCTGGCGCAGTTCTCCTTCGGGAAGTTCAGCAGCGTCTACTGCAACGGATTGCGCCTGCAGCCGCGCAGGGAACCCATCACTGCCCCACTCCTCACGAGAGCCGCTTCGCGGGACCAGGACTTCCAGGATGCCCTGGCCGTGTTCAAGTTGATCCTCCGCTGGAGCAATGACAAGGCGCTCGAGGGCGCCAAGGAGAAGCTGCTGGCAGACTACATAGTGCACAAGGCACTCAGCTCGCGGGGATTGCGGGATGAAATCCTGGTGCAGTTGTGCAACCAGGTCCATGGATTGCCACCCAACTCCTCGGAGGCCACGCGATTGTGGCAACTGTTGGGCCAGTGCCTCTGCTGCTTCCAACCAAGTGCCGCTTTCAGCAAGTATCTGATGCGCTTCGTGGACGACGAGGCGCCTGCTGCACTGCGTCCGCTGCTCCTGCGCCAGCTGCTCCGCCAGCAGGGAGGAGGTTCCCACTCGGCGGTGGGCGGTGCCTGTCGGAGCTTCGTTCCCGCCTGGTTGGAGTGGCGTGCCTGGACGCGAGGGTGCGACATGGCCCTTCCCCTGACTCTCCCCGATGAGGCGAGTCAAACGGTGGCCGTGGACTCGTGGACCAGTTGTGAGGAAGCCGCCGCCTTGGCTGTTTCCTCACTTGGAGTGGCCAGCAGGGGATGGACTCTCGTGCTGGATGATGGACAGCAACTAACAGACAGCTGTGGACTGGACTACGTAATGGATCTGATTGCGGAGAAGGAGCTCTGTCCCGCTTTCCCAGCGCCAAGGAGCGATCTCCTCCGATCGGGTGCCAAGTTCGCAAGGACTGCACTTCCGGAGGCAGTGAAGCGACCAGCGGTTCCGCCACCCGCTCCACCCACTTCCAGTGGCAAGGAGGAAGTGCCCCGCGAAAGGAGGAGCAGCAGGGAACTCCTCTCGCGGAGCTCAGCCCTAAATGAGAGGTACTTCGAGAGGGAACCCAGCCCGGGAGCAGGAGGATCGGGCTCGGGATCGGGAGCGAGTGCCAGTGCGGCCAAGTCGCGTTCCAAGTCACTGGACGACCTCCTGGCCGGGGACATAGCACCCGTGCCACCAGACTGCGACTCCCAGGAGCCACTCCACACTCTTGGCCTCTCGGAGAGTCGCCTGAACGAGCGGTATCATTCCGCAGAGAGGCTGGCTCCCATGGGAAAGGAGGCGGCTCCGCGCTACCAGAAGTCCCAGCACGCCGGTCGACGTTCCCATGCCGCCTCCCACGGATCGCATTCGAGCAAGTACGCGGACAAGGCGGAGTACGCCACCCGATCCTCCGCGATGTCGGACACCAGTGAGGCTCCTTCCTTGGCTTCCCATGTGCGAAGGGTGAGGGTTCCCTCGCAGGCGTCGGATGTGGATCAGTTCCTGGATGACCTCTTCAGTCCGGTGTTGGATGGATCCTTGGACGAGTTGTCCGATGCCCGCTCCTTGGCGGCCAGCATTCGTGGCGGAGGTTATCGGCCGGGAGAAGAGGAGCCTCAATCGGAGATTGAGGATCTCGAGGAGTACATCAATGATGTGCTGCCCTTGATGGGTAACTTTGAACAGCTGAGCAACAAGGACCAGCTGGCCATCAAGATCAAGGGAGGAGGAGCAATCAATCGAAGAGAATCAATGAAGCAACAATCGAGTGAAGAGGATTCAGAAATAGAGGACCTAGACGACTACATCAACGAGGTGTTGCCACCCATCAATTTAGTTGGAAGCCTGGACAAATTGAGCAACAAGGATCAGTTACCCCTGATGATCAAAGGAGGAGGATCAAAAACCAACGCAGAAGAGGATTCCCATATAGAGAACCTCGAAGACTACATCAATGATGTCTTGCAACCCATTGAAGTGACCCAAACCCTGGACAAGCTGACCAGCCAGAAAGAGCTAACCCCAAGCATCCGCGGAGGTGGCAGCACGGACAGCAACGGAGCGGATCCACTGATCCACCAGCTGATGCAGCTGCCCGGGGAACCCGAATCCGGGCCAGCTCTCTACCAACAGCAGGTGCAACGCGCCTTCCTGCAGTCCGCGATGGCGCAGAACCTGCAGATCCAGCAGCAGCTTCTGGCCCAGAACCAAGCACTCCAGACGCTCCTCAGCCAGCAGGCGGCGGCAGCGGCGGTGGTCAGTAGTTCCGCCTCGCCACCACCTGCTCCCCCGATCCTGGGAAGCCTCTCCATCTCCCCGCCGCCTCCGCAGTCGCCGCTGCGGATGAAGGCCACGCGGAGCAGCCTGGTGGTGATGGAGGCACTGCAGCCGCCGCCTCCTCCTCCTCCGCCTCCAATGCCGCCGCCACTGGAGTGCAAGGACCCCTCGGAGACGCGCCACTTCCTCGATCCCTACGGACGCGCCAAGACGGTGCGGATTGGCAAGTGGCGCTGGCCGCCGCCGCAGGACGAGCCCCAGTTCCAAACGGAGGAGGACTTCTTCGCCTTCAAGATGCGCCAGCACCAGCGGAAGACCACGCCGCAGGCACAGCACCACCAGCTGAGTGGCAACGGGATGGACTTGAGTCTGAATCCGGGGGGCAGGGGCTCCTCCTCCGCCACGGCCATCGAGTGGGAGGAGTTCGAGATCGAGAGTCCCACTCCCCCACCTCTGGGTGGAGGCCAGGTGATGCGCAGCAGCATCCGGATGGAGACCACCACCACCACCACCACCACAACTGGAGGAATCAGCAACAGGGAGAGGGAAAAGGAGCGGGAGAGGGAGCACCAGGAGGTGGGTCCACCCTTGCAGAGCGTGGTCACCACCAAGCTGGCCAAGAAGAGCTTCGAGATCGGAGCAGACCGACCTCCGCCTGGCAGCGTGGGCAAACTGAAGCTCAGCTCCGAGATGCGCCAGCGGTTGGAGCAGGTGACCGCCGGTCACTCGGTCCGCTCCACGGTGTCCACCAAGTCGGAGCAGCGTGCTCCGGCCAAACTGGAGGACACCCGCAAGCTGATGCTCCAACAGCAGCTGGGAGGACTCTTCGCCAGCGTTTCCGGAGGAGGTGGCCCCTCTGCAGGAGGAAACGGAGTGGGAGGCCTGGGAGGAGGAGTATCGGATTCCCATGCCACGGTGCGCACGCAGATCGAGCGAATGGAGGGAAAGCTGTCGCCTCCACCCGCTCCTCCCACCGGTTCCTCCTGGCCGGGGGTGCTCCTCCCTCCGGCTCCCAGTGTCCCAGCCCCACCACCACCCATCCGACCACCCAGCATGGCGCCGCCTGCTCCACCGCCGGCTCCACAGAGTCCACCGACCACGAGGAGTCCCGAACCGGAGCCAGACTACCGGAGCACCAAGGAACATGTTCCAGCTTTCATCCAACGCCAGGAACGCGACACCTTCGGTGCAGTGCGTCAGCAGCAGATGGGAATGGGAATGGGCATCGGCATGGGAATGGGGATGGGAATGCACGGGCAGCACAGCCTGCTGATGGAGGAGCACTCGGCGGGGGGATCCTCGCCGGCGACGGGCGCTGGCTGGGATCAGGCGGACCGGGAGAGGTCGCGCAGCCGGAGCAGGAGCCGCGACCGCGAGGACTACTCCGAGTCCGTGTGGGACCGCGCCGAGGTGGAGGGACCCGCCTCCGGGAGCGGGAGCGAGAAGGAGCGCGAGAAGCGGGAGCGGGAACGCGAGCGGCTCTACGAGATGCGGCAGGTGGAGCGCGAGCGGGAGAGCCACAAGGTCTACCAGCCGGCGCCACCTAGGGTAATCCAGGCCAGCATGGACACCACCGGGGGCCACCACCGCTCCGGGTTGGCCACGTTCCGGACGCACATGGCCCAGAAGTACGAGCACGAACGGAAGAGAAAGAGCTCGGCCAGCTCCGGGATGCGCGAGGAGCTGGACTCGATGCACACGACCACGCCGCCGCCGGTGATCGTTCCCGCTCCAGTGCCTCCGCCGGCGACGAGCAGTCCGCCCAGCCAGGTGGCCATCGCATCCGCATCCGTTTCGGGATCGGGATTGGGAGCCGGGAACAGCAGCGCCTGCTTGACCTACAACCGGGTTCCCTGGAAGCTGCGCGTGCGCAAGGAGGTCTTCCAGCCGCACGAACCCATCGGACCACCGGTGGCCCTGGATCTGCTCTTCGCCCAGGTGCTCGGCGACGTCTTTGGCGTGACTCCTTGCCTGAGGATCACTCCGCAGGAGAAGAGCTCCGCTCTGAACATGCTGCATGGCCACGGAGTGAGTGTGGACACGCTCTCCAACCGGAATGGAAGTGGATCTGCAGGAGGAGGAGCAGGAGGCGGAGGAGGAGCAAGTGGAGGGCAGGTGCGTGCGCTGGTGAAGCGCCACCTGGTGGACATGGCGCGCGACTGGCCGCTCTACTTCGCTCGGTTGTTCGCCGTGCAGGGAGCTCCTCTCTATCCCGACGTGAGCATCATGGGCGTCTCGCACAGCGGACTGTACCTCGCCAGGCGGGACGCCGACTACCTGATCGTGGTGCAGGCCATCTCCTTCGGGGAGATCCAGAGCGCCGTCACCCTGCCGCGTCCGGCGGCCCTCCAGCTCAACCTGCGCAACGGGAAGCACCTGGCGCTCCACGCCGCCCGCGCCGCCGCCATCCAGTCGATGGTCACCAGCTTCGTCCAGGAGTTCCGCAAGGTGAGTGCCAGACTTTATATTTTATATGGGGCTTGGATTTGGGGATTACTCATATGCTTAATTGATGTGATCAGATTTGGCATTACTTTTGATTTTTAGTTACCTCTAAAACCTTATATATAAAACGTACGATCTCTAGTTTTTAGATAGTTATATATTCACCGTTTTGCTAGGGTTTTCTAAACAACTAAGCAAGTTAAGCTGTTCAATTGGTCTTTGCCTTGTGGAGTTTTTCATTTTAGGTCACAATTCAAATTTATGGGGTCTTAAAAGTCATGGGATATTACAATTTAAGAGTCATCTAAAATACAAATTTGTTAATTTTTTTAATGTAAGTTTTTTTCGAATTACAAAACAAACACTTTGTACGGATTTCAAAATTTCAGTTATTAAATTAGACCTTATATATTTAGGTGATCCTAAAAGATCAAAGGCTACATATTCTCTTTGCTCTTGCTACCAATAGAAATACTTTAATTGATTTCATTTCATGTATGTGACGAATAGAAATCCAAATTTTTTATATTCTTGGACGACTAAAAATTATTTATAGGTCGTCCAAAAGCATGCAAGAAATATTTAAGAGCTTTGAAGCATTTGGAGATTGTAAACCAGGTTTGAAAATGTAAAAGTCAGTTAGTAGTTGATTTGCCATTTTGGAAAAGCACTCAACATTTATTAAAAAATACTTAGGTTCGATTGTTATCAATTAAAGTAGTTTTTCTGCTTTGCTCTAAGCTCTGCCATGCTAAATCCTTCTCAACGATTGATTGACATTGATAGTTATCTTCATACAATTGCATTTTTTTGGCGCACCAATTATTTTTACACCAATTATTCCGTAAGCCAATTTACTCGGGGTAAATACAAAAATAATTGCATTAATTGCGTGAATAATGGCAGACATTGGTCGTAATAACGTGGCCTTAATGAAACTGCTAATGTTTTTACGGCCTCAAGATAATAATATGGCAGCTGTGCAGTTTAGAGGTGTTGTTTTCATATCGAGCAGACAAAAGAGTTAACACTTTTGGCCTAAAGCGATTGAATTTGCAGATCGGAGTCACTTGAAATAATCATTTTCCATATGGCCTAAGGTATTACCTTTGCAGGACCTTCTGGAAATTCGTACTTCTCTGTGGTTTTTAGTTTAATGGGTTGGCTTGATAAGTGAGTTTTCAAATGGTGTCTTGGGTTTCTTTTTGCACGCTTTGAAGCTCAGTGGGTCTCAGTGGCTCCAGCCGGTTTGCATTGCCTTAAAAGCCCCATCCGCGCATGGCTGATATTCATAGTTGGCGCACGTCCATCACTCGAATGGATTGTACTCCTATATATATATATAGTATCTCCCCAACTCCAACTCCAACTCCAGTGTTTACTTTTGTTTTCTCCTCTTGCTTGACACTCGCAACGGGTATGCGTTTTTCGCCAATCGCACTTCAAGGAGATGCAGACGGGGATCGTGGTAAAAGTGTTTGATTTTCATTTGTGAATATTTGGGGAGACTCGAAAATGTTAATGAAGGCCAAATATGGAGAAATCATAAGGTTGGGGTCCTCTTGAACCGAAATATTGTAGTCGTTTTTGAGACACAAAGATCAATATTTGGTTGTATTTGTTATAACTGTGATTATATCTTCAATTTTATATCTTACAATCCCCTAAATGAGAAATACAGCTTAGATTTTGATTTGAATTGGTTGGTAATTAAAGATCAATTTACATAACCCTATCCATTACATATTAATATTTTAGATATGTATTGGCTGGATTTCTGTATTGCAAAAGATTTTTAAGTGTATCACATACAAATATATCATATCTGTATAAAAACAGAACCAGAAAACATTTGAATTTTACATATGAAACTTTTTTTGTTAAACCATTATGCGTGTGAAAACTCGGTATATCAAGATGAAAGTCGGTTATTATCGGTTGGAAATATTTGGAAATCAATTTTTTTTAATCATATTATATTTACTATATTAAATAAGTGGTTGTTTTTTGCATTCATTTATTTCAATCTTCTTATCTGAACTAATGAATATTAAAGGAACTTATATGAACTAAGGCTAATTTACACTCAATGAGTTATGAATAATCAGTGAGTACTATTTTTTGCTAGTTAATAGTTGATTTCGGAAGTGAACTTTCTTAAACCGTAATAGGGTATTTCCGGTTCGCGTCGCGCACTCGCACTTTGTTTGATCAACAAAACGTTTTCCATTTCCCCCCTTTTCTCATTTCCCCGTTTCTCCGATTCCCTCTCCCCCTCCCCAGCGGGCATTTCTGAAGCTGTCTTTTAATTCAATTCATTTTATGCGTGAAAACTCGTTAAACGCCAGAGCTGGCCATTCGGACTGACCCATCTGGGCAATCTGGCCGATCTGAGTGGCAGAAAGAGTAGAAATAGTAGAAGTGGAGAGAAGTGGCAGAAGTGGAGATGTGGGGAGAGGAGGAGATGTGGAGATTCGGGAGCTGAAGAGCGCTAAAAACAGTTAGCTCAGCAGGGAATGGGAATAGGAATGGGGGAAAAGGAAAAAGAGTAGGGGCGAAAGACTTTCGCGCTCTTTCCGCTCGGCTTGGCCAACAGTGGAGAGAACAGAGAGTGGAAAGTAGAGAGAGTAGAGAGTCGGGTGTCGAGAGTCGAGAGCCATGTTTTCACTCAGCTCAGTTGGATCTTGGGCTCTCTGTTCTGCTCCGCTGCGAGTGAAATGGCCAGTCGGTTGGTTCGTTGGTTGATTCGTTGGTTGGTTTGGTGGATGGATGAGATGGAATGGAATGGATGGCTTTTTTCCCGTCTTGACCAGTCGGTCCGTTTCGGCCAAGTTTGGTTTTCAGTTTTCAGCATTTAGCTTTTAGTTTTCAGTCGTTAGTTGTTACGAGTGTGCGGTAACGGCATCACGCAGCGCGCTCCCGCAATTCCATTTCGAATTCGAGTTCGAATTCTTCTGGCCTTTTCTTAGCTTTCTGCTAAGACTGCTTCTGGTGGCTCCGTCGTGCCGCCTCCATTCGATTCGATTCGATTCGTTTTGACCAACTTAAGCTTCTTTTTTTCCGTGCTCAGCCGTGCTAAAATGTTTTTCTCACATCAACAACAACAAAAACAACAACAACAGCAAAGCTTCGGCCCAAAGTGACCCAAAAGACCGCAGATCGTGAACAAATGTATGACAAATCGAATGGAGAGGAGTGCAGTTCGAGTTGATAAACCAGCGACCTTTGTGGGATCAGTTCGAACTCGACTTTGGTCAAACACAATATAGAAGGCCATTCGGGGAAAACACTTTCCATTGCCACCACTCCCGGATGGCTTAAAAAAACGGTTTGAAAGGCGGTTAGGATGGTTAGCAAACAATTGCCAGGCGATCGGTGAAATCGTAAGAAATAAACAAGCGGGAGTTTGTACTTCGTGTTTACCACACTTTCAGTAGCAGTTGATTGTTTCAATTTTATGACTGGCTTCCAATAAAACGATCACTTGTTTTTTAAACTAAAGCCAAAGTAAATATTGAATTAACTGTATACTTACACTTTATGAAGTGGCTTTAAAAAAAAAAGAAGAGAAGCACAGACATTTTTTTTTATTTTCTTAATAATTGATAATATATTTTAATATATAATACAATATATTACATTCAATATGTTTATGGAATACAATTTCTTACAAATCGAAGTGTTCATTTTGGTTCCAAAATTCACTTTTACAAGCTGCAAATTAAAGAAGTAAATATTAATGCTCTACTCAAAATGGATCCTTAATGTTTAACAACCTGTAAAGGTTTTTCCAAATCACTTGTGATTTATGAACTGAAAAATAACGAAATCCAATGAAGACTTATTAAACAAAGTGGTAACTGGATCGAAGTGCACTTTTATTGTTCATCCCGTGGCTTGTTATTTTTTGGTTACTTCATTTCGATCGCGGTATCGCCTATTGGCAAACAATTTGGCCAACCATCCGTGCTGGTCGAAACGCGCAATCCAACATTGATTTCAATTATATGGCCATATATATAATTTCGAACTGCTCGCACAGAGGAGATAAATAAAAAACAGAGGCGACGATCGGGGCATTTTCGCCAGTCCATCAACTGGAAAGACAAACTGCAAGCTGCAAACTCCAAACTGCAGATGCAAGTGGCAAGTGGCAAGCTGCAAGTGGCAAATTAAAATAAATTGAGGCAAAAAAAGCGTAAAAATAACAAGAAAAAAATAAATAACTGCGAGCGAAACCAACAAAAAAAACAAAAAAGAAAAGAAACAAATACGGCACGCATTTAAAACTGCATTGCCAATTTCCACACATCAGAAAAAGAAAAAACAAAAACAACAACAACAACAAAAACAAATTACAACCGATGGCAAGGAAAATCGCGTATACTTGATGTGTGTGTCCGACCACCGAATCCAAAACCGAATCCAAATCCGAATCTGAATCCGAATCTGAATCCGAATCCGAATCCGAAACCATTCCACTCATTTAGCGGCAAACGCTGGCCGCATCGGTTGGTTTTTCATTTTTTCCCCCGCTTTCTGTGATTTTTCCCCGCTTTCCCCTCCCCCGCGGAAAACTCGCAAACATTGCAAACAATATTTGGATTGAGATTGGATATGCTGGAGTAGTGGAGCCTGCTGGCTGTCCACTAACTTTCACTGGTGTTGCAATGGCCAGTTGATCCTGAATTCGAGAGTCCAGGAATCCAGCCCAAGTAATCCAGTTGGCAGGATGTCGCAGAGCGTGCGGGCCACCAAATCCTGCCAGGCGGTGCAGCTTGCCACCAGCGGCGGCAGTGTCCCACACAAGTTCAGCAGCATTGTGAACAAGGTGGAGTCGCTGATCAGCAAGATGCACCACGACAAGGTGAACAACTTCAAGCTGCTCCAGCAGCAGAGTCAGCATCAGGATCAGAATCAGCAGGATCTGCAACAGGATAGGGATCGGGATCGGGATCGGGATCGGGAAAGGGATAGAGATCTTCAGCAGGATCATCAGCAGA